ATATTTTAAACTTTGCTATTTTTAAAGAAAATTTTTGTAATGAGATGTTGGAAAAAAGAAAAAAAAATCCCTTAAAGCTGTCTGGTGCTGAGGTGTTCAGCACTAGCTCTTATTCTGCCAGGTTTTTAGAGAAGCAGGTAGCCTAGGAAGGGGAATAGCAGTGAGTGGCAGAGCAGGTCAGGTCTCAGAGATCTTTGAGGGAAAAAGTCAAATTTAAGAATAATGCATAAAGCAGGATGCCATTTATGTAAAATAAAAATTAAAAACAATTATAAGTAGTTATATGTGCAGATAGTGTGTGTCGTATCAAAAGAGACCGGAAGGATACACACCCCACTCTCTCAGGAATTACCTCTAGAAGGCGGCCAAAAAGATTTTACTCTTATATGTCATGCTTAAAAAACTTTGTGGGAGATGTAGCCATGTATTACTTGTATAATTAAAATTTAATTTAGGGACGCCTGGGTGGCTCAGTTGGTTAAGCGACTGCCTTCGGCTCAGGTCATGATCCTGGAGTCCCGGGATCGAGTCCCGCATCGGGCTCTCTGCTCAGCAGGGAGTCTGCTTCTCCCTCTGACTCTCCCCCGTCTCATGCTCTATCTCATTCTCTCTCTCAGATAAATAAATAAAAAGAAAAAAAAATCTTTAAAAAAAAATAAAATTTAATTTAAAAAGAGAAAGTAAGCTGGAACATGGGTTTGGAGGATCCAACAGATTTCGAATTTTAGCTCAGTTACGTACTATATCTTTGGACAGGCTAACCTCTTTGTGTCTTAATTGCCTTATTTGTTAAGTGATTTAATACTATTTTTATAGAATTATTTTTTTGAGGATGAAAGTGTTATATAAAATGACTGGTACCTACCTAGTGGACACCCCATAAGTAGTAACTGTTATTAGTACTGAGCCTTGAGTACAGAACTTCAGGGCTATATTCATGGAGACACAATTAATGTCTTAATAAGTGACTTGTACCTGTGAGGAATACAAACTGTAAAGCCCAGAAACCGACAACAGTGGAGTAATGCCCAGCCTTGGGCATGAGGGATTCCTCCATCAATTTGTGCCCAATAGTCTTTTGTAGAATGTGGTGGTTCTAACACAATAAGCAAAGAGTACCTCACTGCAATCTATGACCTTGTGGTAGAGAGTACCTCTGACTCGGTGATACATTCTTGGTAAGAAATAGGAGTTTATGCTCCTGATAATCCATGAATATGGTTGTACAAGTCAATCGATATTTGTTTGACATTCTAGGAAGTGTTATCAGGCTGAGAAAGACTTCTTGGAAAGAACTCATATTTCTTAGACAAAAAAGAGACTCAGCAGGTCATATACGGGAGAATATGGGAGAAAGTAATTCTCCTCAGGAAGGCGTTGTGACCAAATATGCCATGAATTGCAATATACCAGAGAGGATCTCTGGTAAAATATTAATGGGTCAGAGGTTGATCCTGATTCCACATTTTTTCTTTCACTTTGATATCCAAATGTGTTAAACAACAGAAGAGATTCTAAGAATTGGTGCAGCTACTTCATTCATACTTGGATTACTGAAACAGCTTTCTATGATTTCCTTTCTAGTCTATGTAATGCCACCCATTTTCATATTAAAAGCAAATAACCCCTTCTTAAAATCATATTAATAGCTCCTAATAGAAGAGCATTCTGGAGATGTCTTTGCATCCTGACCCTTCTTTTTTTTTTTTTTTTTTTTTAAAGATTTATTTATTTATTTGAGAGAGCGAGAATGAGAGAGAGCACATGAGAAGGGGGAGGGTCAGAGGGAGAAGCAGGCTCCTCGCTGAGCAGGGAGCCCGATGCGGGACTCGATCCCGGGACTCCAGGATCATGACCTGAGCCGAAGGCAGTCGCTCAACTAACTGAGCCACCCAGGCGCCCGCATCCTGACCCTTCTTGCTCTAAAGAACACTACCCCACAGGAATGGGCCCCAGCAGCATGTTTGTGTTAGTTGACCTTACTTGCCTAGGCAGAGGTGAACATCTGACACAAACTCAGCCCATCTGGAGTTGAGATGGAGACACACTAGGCTGGTTGCTGGAACTGCAGCAGTGAACAGCTGGAATATGGAAGCCATGCGTGTTAGATAGACAGAGGTGAGACTATGGTCCTGATAGCTGTCTTGTTCTTGGACCAGGCTCCTTTGAAGCCCAGCTGTGTTCTTGCTCTTGGATTCTAGGCGGTTTTCCTGCATCCATATGATAAATCTTCTACTCCCACCCTCATTTCATTTTTTCGTGAGCTAGTTTGGGATTTTGTCACATCGAAATAAAACAGCTTTGACTAAGACAGCCTTTAGGATAAAAATCAACACTTTAACATGGTCTGCAATGTTCTTTATGATCTAGTGTCTACCTTCGCCTCCATTTTACCTCTGACCTCTCTTAATCAGCACCACACATAACTCAGCCCTGACTGGTCTCCTCCCCTCACTTAAGTCCTTTTTCTCAGACAAGAAACCGTGATAACCTTCCCAGCCTGTGAGGTTCCCTTCTTGTGCACTGGTTATACTGGTATTATGCCTGGTGGTTTACTTGTCTCTCTTCTACTGACTGTATGTCAATGTAGTCAAGACTAGGTCTTACATTTGTTAGTGCTATGCTTGTGCTAAACCCTTAACAGATACCAGTAAATAGTTGGGCGCCTGGGTGGCTCAGTCGGTTAAGCGGCTGCCTTCCGCTCAGGTCAGCTGTGAGTTGATAAGGAAATGCCAACCTCTCTAAGGCAGTCTCTTGAGCCACAACCACATCCTGGGCCAGCAGTCCTTAGGATTTTTACATAAAAGAAGGCCTGCAAAACAGTTTTACCTTAATAGTAGCCAAAGCTCATGGAAGGACTTGCTTGCAAACAGCTCTCATAAGCGGGTCATCCCTGTTAAATTTCAACTTGGAAAATGGTTGCCTTTAGAATTTTCCAATGCTTTATGGAGTCACTGATTCTTTTTTTTTTTTTTTTTAAGATTTTATTTATTTATTTGAGTCAGAGAGAATGAGAGAGAGAGAGCACATGAGAGGGGGAAGGGTCAGAGGCAGAAGCAGGCTCCCTGCCGAGCAGGGAGCCCGATGCGGGACTCGATCCAGGTGGAGTCACTGATTCTTACATTTGTAGGAGTCTTAGCCATGTTTCACTGAGTTCCTTGAGGATCAATAAAAAGTCTACTAATCACGAAATGCTTACTAAGTGCCTAATATCCCAAGCCAATGTTACAAATGGTTTACACAGTATGTCCTTTAATTCTCATAACCCTATCATGTAAATAGGTTTTACCTCTGTAGTAGTCTGACTCCAAATCCTAATGCTCTGTAGCACTTCACTATACTAGAAGGTTCAGTTTTCATAATCTAGTTTTTACATCAACACTGTGTAGTTTTATTATGAATAGATTCTCATTCTTTTTATTTGCTATTTATTGGTATCTTTTTTTTTTTTAAAGATTTTATTTATTTGACAGATAGAGAGAGAGCCCAAGTAGGCAGAGAAGCAGGCAGATGGAGAGGGAGAAGCAGGCTCCCCGCTGAGCAAGGAGCCCGAAGTGGGACTCGATCCAGGGACTCCAGGATCGTGACCTGAGCCGAAGGCAGTCGCTTAACCAACTGAGCCACCCAGGCGCCCTTTTTTTTTTTTTTTAAATCTTTTTAAGAGCTGGATTGGATTCTGTAAGATTGTCCCAATTTCTTGCAACAAATTTCCTTTCCTTAAGCTAGAGTAGGTTTTGGTTTTAGTTTTAAATATATATATATTTTTTTAAGATTTATTTTGAGAGAGTGAGAGACAACATGAGCAGGGGGAGGGGCAGAAGGAGAAGCAGACTCCCTGCTGAGTGGGGATCCTGATAGGGCGCTCGATCCTGGGACTCTGGGATCATGACCTGAGCTGAAGGCAGATGCTTAACTGACTGAGCCATCCAGACGCCCTGGTTCGTTTAGTTTTGAGGCTCACATCAAAAGATTGGTACCAAGACTGATGGGAAGCCCCAAGGATGCTGTAGAGTTGGGGTGAAGAGGGGTGGTTACTATGGATCTCAGTGTGAGGATCTGACAGTCTGGGGGATTGAAGTGGAAAAATAGCTATCTAAGTCCCTCCTGCTGGACTATCTAATAGCTATTTATAGGCCTCCTGCTGGATCAGGGGGCCAAATACTCTATCAGGATGTGATTGCTCCTTGGGACCTTGAGTGAAGTACAACAGTAGAGGCAGTCTGAGGTTTATTGGGCAGAACTGGGAGCAGATATAGTAGGAAGAACTTTTCTTCCCTCCTTAACCCTTCTTTCCAACTCCTTCCCACCCATACCATTGGGAGAATGTATCGGAGTTATATTGTGAGACATGGCTAATATTAGCAAGATGTTAGTCTTGTAGATTCGCCAGTCGTATGAGTAGAAATTAAAGCCTCTTTCTATGAGGCTCTGTAAGAACCTTCCCCTGCATGGTAGAGAAGATAGTGAGGATTGTGACAGGGAAAAAGAAGAACAGAAAGAGCAGAGTATCCCAGATGCCCAAGTGAAGCACAAGGACTCTATGAACTAGATACTGGAGAGTGACTCAGTGGGAAAAGCATAGAGGTATTTGGCACCATCCAGAGGACTCTGTGTTTGGGACCCAGTTAATAGATTTTCATATACACAGGACAAATCCTTATTTACTAACATTCGTAATACACCTAGCATGTACCTAGTGCTTTATACATTTTAACAACAGAGTGTTTTCATCCTTTAAAAGATGAAGAAACTGAGGCTTTGGCTTTACATAACTTGGCAATGCTAATATGATAACAACTTATTTACAACTAGTAATAAGTAGAGTAAGGTTCTGAACAGTGGCCTTCTGAATCTACAATCTTCAGACTTTTTCCACCAACCAATCTGTTTACTCTAAATGACATAAATTCAAAATACAGATATAAAAAGATAGAGGGTTTAAGTGAATACTGTAATGTTTCTACTTTTGATATCAATGCAAATATACAAGAACAAACAGCTTTTGAAATCATTCTCAAGTGTTTAATTAAAATCCATATAGCATTTAACATGTATAGATGTTTAAACTCTTTCAGTGACTCTTATTTTAAAATCCTTCTGCACAACATTTTGAGGCTAACTTCATGCGAGAGATCTACAAATGTACAACTTAACACAAAAATACATTCGGAGTCCATTACAATGCAAGTTTAAAACACTTTAATTGCAGACAATGTAAAGATATTTAAAAAACAAAAACTACAAAATGAGCACATAAAAGTCTTCCCTTTTGAATTTTTAATAAAATACTGCTCTGTATAAGATCTAATGAAAAAGTCCAGTTACTTATAAAATAGCTATGTGAGAAAAGAAATGAATTAAGGTATATATGTATGAATTATATTGTTTAAATGAACAGAGTGTTGAACACTTTGATGATACAGCACACTATTTATTATTCATATATCAAAATAGAGGAAAACCCTCAAAGAAGCAACTGGGTGCAAGCAAAAGAAAATGTAAGAGACCTGAGGCAACAAAACAAAACAACAACAACAAAAAACCCCAAACCCCAAAACAAAGGAAAAAGTCCCTTAGCTATAAAGGGAAAGGAATAAAATAACTTAAAGCAAACTGTGGACCAAATTCTCAGTCTTTTTATTTCATGAGAAATAGTATGAGAATTTGGCTTCAAATTACTAAAACATCTGTATAAACTTAATTATTTGGCCTAGGCAATTTAATAGTATACCATTGCTGAAATCAATAGCAATGGATGTACTGCTGGAAAAAAATTAATTTTTACAGGTTTAACTATGTAAAACTATCTACTGGAAACCAGAGTCTCCATCACAAATTGCACTTGAGATGGCTGAATGCATTGACTGAGCAAGGCATAATTGTTGGTTCACTGACATACATACAAACACAAAAGCAGCTGTAGATTGCTGATATTCTTAATTACTAAAACTATTTTACACATTTTTCTCCCCTCTCTCTCTTAAAAAAAAAAAAAAAAAAAAAAAGGAGCGATACCCGAGCTGTTAACTCAGTATGGTAACGGGCACTTCCGCACGCCTGCTGACTCAGTGCCATTGCCTGTCTGTTTCAACACGGTCTCCTACTGCTCCCTGGCGGAATATGGAGAGGTCTGATGGAAATACGAACCAGGTCAGTTTGAAATATTCATTTCTGGAATTTTAAGCTTTATCCTCACTAGGAAAGGAAGCTCCTGTGAAAAACACTGTTCCACTGACAGAGCTTACAAAATATAAAGAACACTGCCAGTCTGCGTACTATCACTATCTCTAGAAAAATGATAAAGGAACTTAAGTGATTTTTTTTTTAAAGTAGAGAATGCTTGTCACAGTTATATCTCTCCAATAAATTAATTCTCCTCTATAGTAAAAACACAATTTGGAAGCAAGGTGATCCTAAGAAAGATAGCAAGCTTGAAAAGCTGGGAAATTATATACTGTTGCTTTAAAAAAGATGCTCTGAACAATGAGACAAAGCACGTTAGGCCTAACTTCAATGGAGATCTGGACAGTTTTCTCTACCTTAAGGTAAAAATTAGACAACTACTACAAAAACGTATGATTCATTAATACAAATAGAACAGATGATTAAAAAGTGAGTAAATAAAAAAGCCCCTGCAACTTATCTATTTCCTTGAGCTAGAAAGAGATAGTCTGAAAATGCAGTGATTGGATATATCTTATTTAATTGGTTTCCTTCTTCCAACTCCTCCTTCACTGCTTCTCCCCTTAAATGAAGACTGTAGATTAGTTTGGAAATAACAGTCTAAAACCAAAGCAAATACCTGATCATAGGAAAGGAAAAACAACAAAAAACCTGCATCAAGAGTTCTTCATCTCTCCCACCAACAGAAAAACAAAAACAAAAACAAACCTTATCTTTTCAGTTTTAAAAGAACTCCTTATCCCTCTGAAAAGCAAGAACATCTTAAATTGAAACCAAGGTACACACAGAGGCAAAATTAATGTTTCATGCAACTGACTCTCCGATGTTTAAGATTTTCGTCTACATGATGTTTAAATCAATTAATACATTCTGTCAAATTATAAAACTAGGTGATGATCAGGTAATGCAGGCAATTGTAACAAGGAACAATGAGACTAGAAAAATCAATTACAAAATTCACTTAATGCACTCAAAAAAAAAAAAAAGAGGGAAATTACTGAGTAAGAATATTTAGATTTAATTTCTTCGGTTATGTGGAAGCATGAAGCAATTTGGGCACTCTGCTCTCCTATGCCCTATAGAGACCACAGCTTTCACAGAAAGTTTACAGCAGATTCAACAGTCGAATGGGCATATTTCTAAACTTGGAGCTGGTCTGAGTTTGCCCCATCCAAGAGGGAAAAACTAAGTTTCCCATACTATCAACGAATCCAGTCTCCTCGAGATTATCATGAGATAAAAATAGTCTCTGTTTCTTATGTCCTGCACAGGGAGGCACGAGTCCTGCTGATCTCCTATTGATCTCATGCCCATATTTGGAACAGGTCTACAAAGGAAAAGGAACAGAGATGAAGGCTTGACCACTAATCTAGTCATTATCGAGCTCTTTCCTATTTTAATCTCGCTTCAATCTTGACCTTTAGAATACTGTGTGTTTTTTAAAAAGGGAGGAAGGAACAAAAAGAAAACACTTTTGCTGCCTATCCATGTAGAATTATAAACTCACTTTGCTCAAACACTGGGGTGATATCCTTATGGGTTCAGTGGCAATATGCTTGTTGAAATTTATCTTGGGAGTTTTCAGAAGATGGCACATGCTCTTTCCTTTGTACTCTAAAAAAGATGTGGATTGTACACTGTTTTTAGGGGGGCCACATAGCAGTAATGAGCGAGGCAATTCTTGAATGCTGGAGTTTGCACAGGTACATAAGGTGACAAATATTAACACACTTTAAAGTAGTAAGATGTTAACAGAACATTATTGTCACAATTTAACTTTTTTGTATTGTATTCTCATAATAGAGATTTCCTTTCAAAACAAACACTGAGAATTATTTGAGCCTCATTATTCAAGATCCCACTACAGATAAACATTCCCAACAAGGACGTGCTGGGAACCAATGAACATCTGATTCTGGAAAATTAACAGAAAATAAAATCACAGACGCTCACATGACTATAATAAATGACAGATAATGAACATTCATCTCTTACACTAAAGGCACTACTAATATACAAATATCCTCTTAACATTTAGACAAACTCTGAAATCAGCAGTTAGAGAAAGGAATCCATTTAGTTCAATACCAGCATTTAAAAAAAACAAATAGACTAAGACTCATGGCAGGGTTTTTAATGAGTAAAATGAAACTGGATATAATAATAAGCAGCTCCATATAAACATTATGGTTCCTACTTTTTAAAAAAGTATGATAACTTACTTCCTTAAAAATATAAGCATATCACAAAAACTAAAGGATAAATGTGTGTGTGTGTGTGTGTGTATACATGTAAAAACTCAGGCCCTGGTACCACTGAGAAATTTTCATAAATTCTAAAATAATTTCAACAGCCACAGCTTGAACAATACACACCCATACATGACATGCAAAGACAAAATGCCAGAGTCACTGAACAGTTCAGCATAAAGCTAAAAATATGGAAACAGAATGAGACAGGCGTTTGTCATGTAAATAAAGTACATCACAAACTGATTGTGCCTGTATTTAGCACACCTCAGAATTTTTTTAAAAAATTAGAATTTCATCAGTCTCAAGAAGCACTACACATGGACCAACAAAGAAGTTCTCATATATGTTTAAGCAGGTAAAAAGCTATACAAAAGAATAACACAATTTATTTCAACTAACATGATTAATATATTTTACTTTATTCTATTAGAAGATTAATTTGTAGTCCTTGTACCCTGTAGATTTTGAAACTTAATTTTATTAGAAATTTCTAATGCTGGTTCTTGAATAATCTAAAAAATTGTAATTACTTGCTCAAATCTAGATTGCTATTTATAGTTCTAAGCAGTTAAATGAAATACTCTGATCAGTATTCTAAAGTTGCTTTGGTACAAAATTTAGAATAAAGCAAAACTGGCAGCACCACAACAAGTGTGATCATTTCACAGCAGGTCTAAAGGACCCTCAGAGAAAACAAAATGTAAGTTAAAATACTTTAAGAGCCGTTCTCCTGACAAACCTGTCACATTAAAAAGAGAAATAAAATCCACTCAGTAGATTACACTTGAGGCCCAATTTTCATGCTCCATTTAATTATCCCTCAATAGTATAACAATTTTTTTTATTATTATTGCACTATGATGTCTAATTCATAGTTCGGGATACTTCTATTGATGAGAGGCCAAGAGTTAGAGTGGTACATTTTAATGCTTAGTCCACTGATACTATTTTAACACAAGGTTTAATTTAGTTTTTCTTTTTTACAGCTTTACTGAGGTATAACTGATGTAAAACTGCACGTTTAAGATGCACAATTTGATATAGCATGAAAAGTGCCTGACAACCAATTAAAAATTTTAATTGAAAAGAAAATTTTTAATCAAAACATATTATTTTAAAATAGCACATTCTAATTTTTTATGAGACACAGATATGGATTTCTAAAAACGTGGGTGGAAAGGAAAGAAATTAATTTAATTCCGAGTACCATATTTATTCAGAAGGTTTAGAAACGCCAAAATTGACAGCCAGTTTTCTTGATTTTCTTCTTGAAGATGAGCTTGGTGTGGACTTGTGATGAGACATACTATGGCCTTGGGAGGCAGCTTCAGCTTGAAAAGAAGATGCAGGTTGAGTAATCTGAGAGGACTTTAAGGAGGCTGATGAACACTCCTGTGGAATCACTTTGGTGACATTGGAAGACCCTGGCTGGCTAGTCTGAAGCGGGGTAGCTTGAGAACTCTGGGCCTCCTTACTCTCAAAGTTCTTTTTATTTGCAACCCTTTTTTTAGTAACCTTTAAGGAATAAAAGTGTCGTTAATTAACAATGTACACAGAAAAAACTAGTGTCATAAACCATGTTGCTAATATCTGTCAATTATGCTGTCTTGTGACTTCCACTTATAGTCTCCAAACCAGACTTCAGAAATTAAAGGAAATTTTAAAATTCTCCATAACTTAAAAATAAAGAAAATTTATATTCCTGATTTTAAAATCACTTCGTGCTAGAAAAGGGTATTACTTGCTGTAATTATTACTGGTCACTGCTGGTCATAATGTATATTCTTTAAAAAAAAAAAAAAAATATATATATATTTTTACATAATCTCTACACTCAATGTGGGTCTTAAACTCATGACCCTGAGATCAAGAGTCACATGCTCTACTTACTGAGCCAGCCAGGCACCCTGACCACTGGTCATTAATATATATTCTTAGCACCCAGACCAGTACTGGGCTTCTGGTTGGCATTCAATCAGTAATAAGTAAACAAATTCTTCTCAATAGTTCTTAAGCATTAACAAATTAACTCTCTTAAAAATATAGTAATTGTCTTTTCAGGTCTCACCTGTAGAGGTATGAACTGATTGTGCACACCACCTGGCAATCCCCCAGCCATGGGCATGGTCCCAGAGTATGAAGTATGATGAAATGGCTTCCCAGGAACTGGCACTGGTGGTCCCCATGGCATGGAGCCAAAGAGATGAGATGATGAAGGCATTATATTAGCTGTTAAAAATCATAGACAATTTCTTTTTTAGTAAAATGGTATCATCAAAGTTGTAAAATTTAAGATCTCCTTCTGCTACCCTTTTGTGTGTTTTTTTTTTTCCCATCTTGGCAATGGGCATACACTTAACTTATGATTAATTTTGCTTACAACATTCCACCTTGGGATCGCCTGTTAGGACCATGAACTATCTACGTAAGACACCTTGTCATTATGTTGTCTGGCTTACAAAGGCCAATAGTACCATATACTTATATGAGCTTTAGGAATATTTGTTACTATTTAAAAAAATAATAAAAGGATCATGAAACTGTCCCTTGGGGGAGAAAAGCCAGGGCACAAAGAGAGAAATCTTAAAGATCTCACCTGCCCCCAATGCTAAGTTGCTTCCATAGTGATCCCAGCCTACAAAAAAACCAAAAAAGCTCAAGTCTTGAACTCTGATCACTTTCATATGACATGTAGAATCTTTCTTTTTCCTATTCTAGTACTTGTAATTAAAGGATTTTTAAAAATTACATTTTATTTCTTAAAAGTACACTGAATCGTGGTTTCCAAAACTGATTTGTGTATTGGAATCACCTGGGGAGTTTGTGAAATACAGATTCCCGGGCAGAGCTGCACGCAGGCCTAGTCAACCAGACTCAGAAGGGCCCAGGAATCTGTAATTTTTTTTGAAGTATAGCTGACATACAATATAATATGAGTATCAGGTGTACAACAGTGATTTGACAGTTAGATACATTACAAAGTGCTCACCATAAGTGTGGTTACTACCTGTCACCATACAAAGTTATTATAATATTATTGAATATATTCCCTCTGCTGTACTTTTCATCTTTGTGACTTGTTTATTTTATAACTGAAGTTTGTACCTCTTAGTCCCTTCACCTGTTTGCCCATCCCCCCATTCCCTTCTCCTCTAACAACCACCAGTTTAATCTGTATTTATGAGTCTGTTTCTGTTTTGTTTTAGATTCTACAAATAAATGAAATCATACGGCATTTATTTTTCTGTTTTACTTTGATGGACACTCAGGTTTCTTCCATAAGCGTGCATACATCTTTCTGAATTTGTGTTTTTGTTTTCTTTGGGTAAATACCCAGAAGTGGAAATTCTGGATCATATGGTACCTCTATTCTTAATTTTTTGAGGAAGCCAAGGAAATCTGTATTTTGTTTGTTTGTTTTTAGAGGGGAGGGAGGGGCAGAGGGAGAAGGAAAGAGAATCTTTTTTTTTTTTTAAAGATTTTATTTATTTATTTGACAGACAGACAGAGAGAGAGGGAACACAAGCAGGGGGAGTGGGAGAGGGAGAAGCAGGCTTCCCGCGGAGCAGGGTGCCCAATGCAGTGCTCAATCCCAGGACCCTGGGATGCTTAACGACTGAGCCACCCAGGCGCCCCAGGAAAGAGAATCTTAAGCAGGCTCCATGCCCAAAGTGGAGCCTGATGTGGGGATCTATCCCACGACCCTGAGATCATGACCTGGGCCGAAATCAAGAGTCAGACGTTTAATCGACTGAGCCACCCAGGTGTCCCAAACTTGTTGTTTAATGTAGTAGTTCCCAAATGCTGTATTGGTAGTGACTGCATAAAAATCCATGTGTGGAGCTTGTTAACAATCAGATTCCTGGGGCGCCTGAGTGGCTTGGTCAGTTGAGTCTCTGACTCTTGCTTTTAGCTCAGTCATGATCTCATGGTTGTGAGATCGAGCCCCATGTCGGGCTCTGCACTGAGTGTGGAGTCTGCTTGAGATTCCCTCTCCTTCTCCCTCTGCCCCTCCCCCTGCTGCCACAGGCGCTCTCTGTCTCCCTCTCTCTCAAATAAATAAATAAAAATCTTTTTTAAAAAGATTTTTATTTATTTGAGAGAGAGAGAGAGAGCATGAGAGGGGGGAGTGTCAGAGGGAGAAGCAGACTCCCCACTGAGCAGGGAGCCCGATGCAGGACTTGATCCTAGGACTCCAGCATCATGACCTGAGCCGAAGGCAGTCGCTTAACCAACTGAACCACCCAGCCTCCCTAAAATAAATAAATAGGGGCGCCTGGGTGGCTCAGTCAGTTAAGCGTATAATTATACTAAAAATTTATATATAGTTACTGGGTTCATTTTTGAAAGTGAAAAGGCTGTCAAATTAGATTTTGGAAGTCACAGTGAACCTACTCCCTTAAGTTATATGAAAACATCAGATTTATTTAGTCATAAAAATTTTATGACTAAAGCACTGTTTATACAGGCAAAGAAACGCCAGTGCAGTACAGTAACAAAAGCATGGACTTTGGATTCAGAAAGACTTGGGTTTGAATGCCAGTTTTGCTACTCAGGAACTTACGTCCTTAGACAAATTACATTTTCTTAAAAAGTCAAAGTAGTACATAGACATTGTAGTAAAAAGATTTTCAACATAGTACAATATCCCAGGTTTAACTGTTTTTAGCTATTTATTTCCACCACTGTTCAATAATTTGCTTCTACTACTACTGATTTTTCAATGTTAGGCATTTTTAGGTCTGACTTCCTATTAAGATAGATCAAAATTCAGGTAGATCAAAATCAAAATTATTTTATACCACCCCTTACTACTAGCTCTGTCCTTCCAATATAAACGTATCACAATATTTGTTTAAATATATACGTGGGGTTTACAGTATGTGGTTGCGTAAATACTGTCATTGCAGAGCCAAACAGGGTACTCTGATTATGTTCTTTTCTTGTAAAACTTTTTTTTTTACTCTTTTAAAAGTAATTATCTTTTTAAAACTTCTTGATCTTCTATGTACTTATCCTTGATGTTTTTCCAAATGCCACCCATTTATCAGATAACTATCTTCATTTATCAGATAACTATCTTACCTTCCAAGACCCCACCTCTGCTCTTCCAACTGGGACTACTTTCTAGACCTGCTGAGCAGCTGACATGCTGGGACTTCCATTTGTTGCGTAAGTATACGAGATCTCTTGTGCTGTAGTCTTATGGTTTTTTTCTTTTCTTTTTTCTTTCCTTCTTTGTGTCTTCCTTTTTTTCTTTCTCCTTTTCTTTCTCTCCCTCTCTTACAGCTACTTTGTTTATAATCCTCTAGCTTCTTAAGAAAGGGTGCATAAGAAGTAGATCTGCATGTCTAAAAATGTCTTTATTCTACCTTACACTAGATTCATAGTTTGGCTATACAAAGAAATCTATGATAAAACTAATTTTGCCTCAGAATTTTGATGTATTCAATGCTCAAATGCTTCCCAGTTCTCTTCAGACATCCTTTTTATCACTGGTATTCTCAACTTCAAGGCAATCTCTATCTCTTTTCATGCACCGTGCTAAGCATTTGGTGGCCCTTTCAATTTAGAGTTGCGTGTCCTTTAGTCCAGGAAATGTTTTTATCTTATTTCTTTGATACTTTCTTCCTCTCCGTTTGTCTCTGGTTTATTGTTCTGGAACTCCAATTAGATGGGTACCAGATCTGTGTACTCTTCCTCTAAATCTCCCTTCTTTCTGATTTTCCAGTTTTTCTCTTGTTCTTCCTGAGATTTCTTTGGCTTTGCTAAAGCTTTATCTATTGGAATTTAAAATTTCAACTTAACAATTTAGTTCTTATTCTCCAATTAATCTTTTTTTCCCCCCTTACATTCTTTCTTATGTTTTGGTTGCAATACTGTTTTATCTAAGTATATTAACTATGAGCTATCTTTGAAGTCTTATTTCCTACATTATCTCTATTTCTAGGTCCCTTTCATTTCTCTTTATTTTGGGTTGTCTCTTTTAATTTTAGAGATTTCCCCAAAATGTTCAGGATCTCTCACAGTCTAGTATCTATTCATATTAAAGAGCAAGGCACTAAAACTGTGATTAGAAGCAGTGTTTGTGTTAAGGGGCTACATGACTTGAGGGCTTCTCTCTAGAATAGTCCTAGAGAGATCCACTTCTTACTTGGTAGTGAGCCAGCCTTTTGGTTGGAGTATCTTCCAAAAGTCACCAGTCACTTTCTTTAGAGTCCAGTGAATTTCTGAAAAGAACCATCTTCCCACTTCCTGTATGAGCTATGGCTGGCTACAAACTGAGAATAGGCTGGGAAAAAGGAGTTTTACCTTAATATCAGTTTTCAGCCTTATATCTCTACTCTGTGCCTGGTGTCCCCATATTTAGGGAGCCCTCTGGAGAACATACCTCCAGTGCTCTGCCTGAAGAGGCAACTGCCTGGCTGTGTGGGGGAGGGATCTGAGGAGGAGTTGCATTCCTCCAAATACAGACTTTGAAACAATCCTCTTTTCAGCCCATGCCTCTCTGGAAGCTCTGATAGCTTAACACTTCCAAGTTCTGAATCTCTTGGGATTTGTGAGGGCTGAGCTGCTCATCAACTCATTAAGATACTTCAGTTTGCAACTTACCACTGCTCTGTGAAATTAGTTACTACTCCTTCAATTGCTTTTCTTATCACAAACTCTTTTCAAATTTCTAATCTGCTGGGGTATTTCCTCTTTCACCTCTCTGTCCTTGTAGGTTTATACTTTTAAAATCACTTATTGTTCAGTTTCATGTAGTTTGGGCAAAGAGAAAACTTGTTTAATCAGCATTATTAAATTTTCTAATGCTTGTAGTGAAGATTAGATATATAGAGCTCCTAGAATAATACCTGGCACACAGTAGGCTCAGAAATTTTCTAAACTTGAAATAAACAAATGATTGGTTTTAAAATGATAATGATTAGGATATAAAGAAGTCAAATGCTATTAGGAAAAAGAGGTGATAAAAGACATGTTTAATGAGCTAAAGATTTAGAATCATATAATTACAAAATGGTAGTCTCAAAGAAATCCTGGATACAGTCTAGCATAAATAAGAAAATGGAGTTCCAAAGAACTTACATGATTTTCTCAAAGTCAGTTAATAAAAGAGCCTGGACAAAAACCATCCTGATTCCACAGTGATCTTTTCACTCCCTCAGAACATCAGGAAGACCCCAAATGGCTACAGGAAGCAGGGATCTACCTGCTTGATAACTCAGGCTCTACATTTGAAGGAGGATGATAGTTAAGAGAATCTTAAGAGATACACAGTAAGCTTAAAAACTCCTTCATTCTTCATTTCCTTCATCATCAAGGGCAGTTTCATATTCACAGCTTCAAAGCCTTATCTGTTTATTCCTTCCCTTCCACCTCTGTTTTCTCTCCCCTTTCCCCACCTGTGTTTTGATGTCTGACTTAAACCCAAATTCATCTGTTGGCAGCTACTGGGGAATAAGGGGCTGCCCAGAACAAAGAACAGTCCTGCTTTAGCCACACTGGAAGCTGTAGAAGGGGAATGATATTTCTAGATGAATCTGCAGGCTCTGGTTTCAGACTTACTTCTCCCAATTCCTTCTTATATTCATTAGACATTTAAAGAAATTTTTTGGTTTTCTCAAAATGATGCTTCTTAAAATAACTTTCTAAAAACAGTAACTCAGTAACAAATATTTATTTTATTTTTTAAAGATTGTATTTATTTATTTGAGATAAAACGAGGGAGAGAGAGAGCATGAGACGGGAGGCAGAGGGAGAGGGAGAAGCAGACTCCCCACTGAGCAAGGAGCCCGATGAGGACTCGATCCCAGAACTCCAGGATTATGACCTGAGCCAAAGGCAGACACTTAACTGACTGAGCCACGCAGGCACCCCAATAACAAATAATCAGAAGAGCCAAATACCTGGGGCGCCTGGGTGGCTCAGATGGTTAAGCGTCTGCCTTCGGCTCAGGTCATGATCCCAGAGTCCTGGGATCGAGCCCCGCATCGGGCTCCGTGCTCTGCGGGAAGCCTGCTTCTCCCTCTCCCACTCCCCCTGCTTGTGCTTTCTCTCTGTCAAATATAAATAAAATCTTTAAAAAAAAAAAAGAAGAGCCAAATACCTTACCAGTAGGTTGAGGAAAAACTGGAGGAATGGTTCCGGGTGGTACAGCAGGAGGATAATTTGGAAATATTGGTGGAGGCAAAGGGAAATTCACTCCTAAGGAGCCCTATGGAAGTATTTAAAAGTTAGAAGACAATGCAACCAAAACATCTATAGAGATTAATTGAAAGTTTAGTAGAGAAGTCATGATCAATTCTTACCAATTGTTGTAAAGCAAAAAGTGCGGCTTTTTCCTTGGCTTCATTTTCAGAATGGCACTGTGGTCCATGTACCAGTAAGCCATTAGATAATTTTACCTGGCAAACTGTCATTGTCTAAAAAAGAGAATATGAATGTCTATGAAGTTATCTCTCTAGGATATTGACCTCCTCCCCACCAAGTTTAGTCTAAACAAGCATGTGACATTCTGTAAAAAATTCAAAAATTCAAAAGAGCAATCAATTTAGTTTTGGGTTGCCCTGCAAAAACTTTAGAATTGTTTCCTTATCTTGCAATGTTTACAAAATAAAATGCTCTTTAAGCTAGCTGAAGGGTCAAGAATCCTAATGCAAATGAAAGCCAACAAAATTTTTTCTTTATACCAAGGACTGGAATCTGGGCCTTTTGCTCGTTTTTGTAAATAAGATTTTTTGTTTGTTTGTTCTTTTGCAATACAGCCAAGTCCATTCTTTCATGTATTGCCTGTGTCTGTTTTCATACCATAACAGCCCAGCTCAGTAGCTGTGACAGAGACCACAAAGCCTAAAATATTTACTATTTGGCCCTTGAAAAAAAATTTGCTGACTCCTGCTTTACACTGTCCTCCAAATAGCAGATATTTCATTAATATGAATTAACTGCCAAAATCTAAAAGACTTAGTGGTAATGACCAATTTTATGTTCACATTTAAGTTATAACTCTCTATTATACATTATTTTCTTTTACAAAAAAAATTTTTTTTTTAATTCTACTTTTTTAAGAAGGTAGTCATTTCTATGTAATAATATTAGTTTAAGATTGCTTTCTGTTTTAGGTGAGAATGTATCAAGAACTTGGATATAAAGAGGATAAAACAACCTTTCCTGTAGTAAGTGGTTCTCAAGGTGCAGTCTGGGGAGCCTGAAACCCTTTCAGGAGGTCCTTGAGGTCGAAACTATTTTCATAATAATATTAAAGTGCTATTTGCCCTTTCCACTCTTAGTTTCTCACAAGTATACAGAGGACAGAAAACTCACTGATATAGCTTTAGATTCTACATTGCAACTAACTTCTAAGAAAATACCACATTTAAATGTAGTATCAAAAAATATCCATTATCTGAAAAGGTTATTAAAATTCTCTCCCTTTCTCTATCAATCTGTCTGGGGCCAGATTTTCTTCAGGTATTTCAACCAAAACATATCATAAGAGATTGATATTAAGAAGCAGATATGAGAATCTAGCTTCTTCCGTTAAGCTAGGGATGGAAAAGATTTGCAAAACTGTAGAGCAGTGCTCCTCCTTCCACTAAATTTTTGAAGTTATTTTTAATAAATATTTTTAATTTTTTTCAGTTTCAATTTCCAATAGAGTTAATAAGGACATAACACAAGTAAACAAAAATTTGGGGGGGTCTTCAAAAAAAAAAGTGGGAGTTTATGAGGTCAAAACTTTGAAAACTACTGCTGTAGACCAAGATCCCTAGCTCTATCAATCTGTCCAGGGTACGTGGTACCCAGGTTCCTCTCTGTCAGCATCTCTGTGGGCTCTGGCATAAATGTGAGTGAGCCATAGTGGGAAGTAAAAATCTATGCTGCTCATAAAGTAAAAAAAAAACAAACAAAAAAACCCAGCTCCATTATATTATTTTTGACAAAGACTTTCAGTCGATTTATTTAAGTTCAGAGTTAAAGAAGTTATATAAATGGAACAGTAGTATACTATACCTGTGGTGTTCTAAGAAAGGAGAAATCTGGTTGTAGCATTCCAACAAGGGAACAAATTCGAGAAAGTTCAGTTACTGGTGTGGACACAGGAGGGATATGGCTGGGAGCAGGCCAACACACATGGTCCATAGGCTGAACATTATGGTATTCGCTAGCACTGTGAGGCTTATTCATATAAGATGCTACCAAAAAACAGAAAAGGATATATATATATATATATAAAATATATATAAAATTATATATTGAACTGTGTGATTATTATAGGGTTTTATAGACAGCAAGCAGAAAATTGTTAAAAGGTTAAAAGAGGAATCTCTTGGGGCACCTGGGTGGCTCAGTTGGTTAAGCGACTGCCTTCCGCTCAGGTCATGATCCTGGAGTCCCAGGATCGAGTCCCACACCTGCTTCTCCCTCTGACCCTCTCCCCTTTCATGCTATTTCTCATTCTCTCTCTCAAATAAATAAAATCTTAAAAAAAAAATAATAGAGGAATCTCTCATGAAGCAAATATAGGAATTATTTAGTATTTCCTAAAATTACCAAGAATTCAATAGAGGTTTTTAGATGATTATAACTGATTAATGATACATGACTAAGATAAAGATTTTAAAATTTGGTAAGTAGCAGACTACCAAAAACTGACATCTTGAGAGATCAATGACTATATAGTTATGTTTGAGCAAAGCAAAATTTGAACAAGCAGTTTTCTTGAGCTGATTTACAATGAATACCTAAGTTTTGAGGCTTTGGCTTCAGTCTTACTTGTCAAAATTCCATCTTACATTCTGAGACACATGGATAAACGGTTTTGTTGCTCCCAAATGATGCTGCTTAAAAGTTTTTCTAAAAGTAACCCTTTTAGGGGTGCCTGGGTGGCTCAGACGGTTGGGCATCTGCCTTTGGCTCAGGTCATGATCTCAGTGTCCTGGGATCAAGTCCCGCATTGGGCTCCCTGCTCAGCAGGAAGCCTGCTTCTTCCCCTTCTCCCTCTGCCTGCCGCTCCCCCTGCTTGTGCTCTCTCTGTCTTTCTCTTCCTCTCTCAAATGAATAAATAAAATCTTAAAATAAAAGTAACCCTTTTAAAAAGTGCTTTTATAGAAGATGATAAAAACATTCTAAAAGTTCACTTTCTTTATGATCAACAAAAATAGAACAAGAGCATATCCCAGTGAAGAATGAAACTAAGCCTCTTATTATTAAAGATGAAAAAAAGGTAAGTGGCTTGTCCAAAGTCACAGAACTTATTAGCTCTGTAATTTGGGCTAGATTCTGAGCTCTTGACTCTAAGAGATACGATATTCTTCACTATTCTGAAATAAAGTTACTTGTTTTTGACAGTGGAACCATCTTTTTCCAGTTTTGTTTTAAAATTTTTATTTTGTTCTTTTTTAAGAGCATGTATGTCACCATGATAGTTTCCTAATAGTTACTGGAATTTTAAATTATTTATTCTAATATTCACTAAAATAGAAAATAAATGAAGCTAAGCTCTGATTTTGATCCTTAATGAACTCATATCTGTTTATTTCAAAATGTTTTACCTCTAGAAACTTCTGTCCCCACTTACTTTTATATTTAGTCATTCTTCCTAGGAGGCTTCTGCAGATAATTTACACAGGCAAAATACTAAAGTATAGGGGACACAGAGAGCAGGAGCAATGATGGACGTGTATTAAAATCTGGCTATGTGCCAGATGGTATGCTACAGGCTTCACAGTTTTAAGTACCTACTTTCCAATGTCTACCTTCATTAATTTTTTTTTTTTCCCCCAGAGAGGGAGAGAGAAAGGGGTTTGGGGCAGAGGGTAAGGGAGAGAGAATCCCAAGCAGGCTCCTTGCCCAGCGCAGAGCCTGATGCAGGGCTTGATCCCACAACCCTGAGATCATGACCTGAGCCAAAATCAAGAGCTGTACGTTTAACCGACTGAGCCACCCAGGCACCCCTCCATTAATTATTTTTAATTGATTTTATAGCTTTTTCTATTTTTATGTTGGTCAAGCTATTGTAACATAGTATTAGTATCAATTATTGGTACCTATAATATGCCAGACACAGTGCTAACTGCTTTATATGTATCATATAATTATCATAAGTCATTTGCAATGTTATTCTCATTTTGTAAATAGAAAAAAAAATCTTAAAATCTTAGTAAAGTTAAATAATGTATTTAAAGTAACATAATTGTTTTTAAATTACTGAGAAAAAAACTAGAATGTGAAAACTTTTCTAGGTTTGGGTACTACAGAATGAGTATCTGCAATAGCACTATTTAAGTAATCACAAGACAGGGACTATAGGTCTATTGGTTACATAGTTCTATTATTATTTAATGACACAAGCATAAAAATTATACTCTTATTTGTTACTCTTAATTATACTCTTTTAAAAGTATAAGTAGTTTTGGGGGCGCCTTTGGCTTGGGTCATGATCCCAGGGTCCTGGGATCGAGCCCCACCTCGGGATCCCTGCTCAGCGGGAAGCCTGCTTTTCCCTCTCCCACTCCCCCTGCTTGTGTTCCCTCTCTCGCTGTCTCTCTCTCTGTCAAATACATAAATAAAATCTTAAAAAAAAAAAGTAAGTAGTTTTATCTTCAAAAAGCACATGACAAAAAAAACCCCAAATGAATTGCAGTTTTGAAATGATATTGGTTGTTAGTAACAGTACTTAGTTTACGTACTTAATTTCTTATTTTGTTTAGCCTGGGAGGAAGGTCCATACTCATCTCTTCTATTAGAGGAAACAGTGACTTCGTTACCAAACTGCTTCATTTCATTTTTATGGTCCACAGCATCAGAGCCATCAATTTTTAGTATTTCTTTAAGCATCCGAGTTCCCTTCTGTTTTGAAAATGATTGGTATGGAGATGGTGGGGGTAGGTAGAGAAAAGTTAACATTAGACTTACAGAGCTTATAAACCCTTCTTTTAATGAGTTCCATTGTTAAAAATTAAGATGGTAACTACATTCAGAAAGGAATTAAGCAAAATCAACAGTCTAGAGTTGAAAAAAAAAACCCACATTTCCTGCCATAGAAACAATACTTAATCCTTCTGGTTAACCTAACCAAATTGCCTGGTAGCAGTGTTTGAAAAGCAAGGGAGCTATATGGTTTAAAGAGGAAAACAAACAAACAAACAGCTAAATTGCCCAGGGCAGCCTGGTTTTCCTCACAAAATGACAATAATGATGTAACACACCAGTACACGGGAGACAAAACTGTTTAACAGTTGCATGGGGCATGTATGCATAGGCCACAACAGTGAAATTACTATAGTGTAAAAGCTCCTACAAAATACAAACCATAGCAAATGATTGTGGTGACAAAAGTTCTTCACTTGGAGGCTCTTCATGATGAGATGACTGTACTTCATTTTCTTTGGAGATATTCAAGGATGCTAAAAAGTTCTCAATTCCAGGGTTAGGCTAAAAGAATAAATATTTTGTGCATGAAGATGAAAATATAAGGACATGGAAAATTTTAGGTACAAAAATGATCATTTAATGTTCCCTGAATCATCTTCCCAGGTGCTAAAGTTCGGGAAGAGAAATTGAATAAATGGTCTTTTACCTTATCAATAGCATTTGGGTAACTGGTCACAACCTTCTGGTTTTCTGACACTTCTGCACTTTCATTTCTCTTCAATAGCTTAATATTACATTGGGCAGGCCCTCCAAGCATCTATAAAAGAGTAAGAATGAGCTTTCTGTGCAAATAAAATAGCTGTTACTTAATAGTGTTGTAAATAAATTGCTGCCAATTTTTTATGTGCCATTTTCTTTTATATCATAAGAAGGGGACCTATAAACTTGGATGAGGAAAAAACTTAGATCTTTATCTTCATTAACTTCTATATGAATTTAGAAGTTTTCCTTCAATTATGAATGTAGGCAATAGAGGTGATTCTAATCGTATTTCAATATAATTAATTTTCTTTCAAACGTTATGTATTTTATTTTAGCATTAAAAACATTATTCTGGGGCGCCTGGGTGGCTCAGTTGGTTAAGCGACTGCCTTCGGCTCAGGTCATGATCCTGGAGTCCCGGGATCGAGTCCCGCATCGGGCTCCCTGCTCAGCAAGGAGTCTGCTTCTCCCTCTGACCCTCCCCCCTCTCATGTGTTCTCTCTCGTTCTGTCTCAAATAAATAAATAAAATCTTTAAAAAAAAATAAAATAAAATAAAAAATAAAAACATTATTTTGGGGCGCTTGGGTGGCTCAGCTGTTAAGCCTCTGCCTTCGGCTCAGGTCATGATCTCAGGGTCCTGGGATTGAGCCCGGCATCGGGCTCTCGGCTCAGTAGGAAGCCCCCTGCTTGGGTTCCCTCTCTTGCTCTCTCTCTCTGTCAAATAAATAAATAAAATCTTAAAAAAAAAATTATTCTGAGAAAGAATCCATAAAAAAGTTTATAAATCCCTTCTCTAGAAGAAAGGAAATTATAGCTAAGAGTTTCAGAAAAAGAGGGTCTTAAAAGTCAACCATTTCCTGGTATCTAAATATTAATGGGTTCCATTTACTGAGACCTGTTATGTGCTGAATATTCTGCTAAGATGTCTTTTATAAATTTGATACATTACTAGCTTTTAAGAGATTTTTAAAAAACTTTTTATGATAATACGCATATAGAAATACATATACTATAAGTGCACGTGAATGTTTTTAGAGTAAAAATTTGTTATTCTTTGATTATAAAATGTGTATATTCAGGCGCCTGGGTGGCTCAGTTGGTTAAGCAACTGCCTTCGCTTCAGGTCATGATCCTGGAGTCCCTGGATTGAGTCCCGCATCGGGCTCCCGGCTCAGTGGGGAGCCTGCTTCTCCCTCTAACCCTACCCCCTCTTGTGTACTCTCTCTCTCTCTTTCTCGCTCTCTCAAATAAATAAATAAATCTTTTAAAAAAAATGTGTATATTCTCCTTATCAATCAGCAGAGACTATACAAAGTAAAACATAAATGATCTCGGCTTCCTCCTACCAAGCTACTCCACAGAATTAACCATTAACTTTTCTATGTTGATTCTAAATGATTCACTGAATACATACACATTATTTCCACATATTTTATACATATATACATACATTCATGTATGTAGGTATGTTCGTATGTATGTAGGTATGGTATGTATATATAGACCACATACATGGCGTGAGGCAAGTGATCTATTTTTATTCCATTTTAAAGATGAAGATAGTTGAGGCTGTGAGAGGTATAGTGAATTGCTCAAGGCCACCCAACTATTAAATATATATGTATGTATATATACGTGTGTGTGTGTGTGCATAGTGCCAAATCCTGATTCTAGTTGTGTAACCTCCCATCCAAGTCAGGCAGTTGCTATACTTCAGCAACCTTCTTGCACACACCTTATGGATTTGTTTTTTTGTTTTGTTTTTTTTAAAGATTTTATTTATTTGACAGGGAGAGACACAGCGAGAGAGGGAACACAAGCAGGGGGAGTGGGAGAGGGAGAAGCAGGCTTCCCCGCAGAGCGGGGAGCCCGACGTGGGGCTCAATCCCAGGACCCTGGGATCATGACCTGAGCCGAAGGCAGATGCTTAATGACTGAGCCACCCAGGAGCCCCCACCTTATGGATTTGGGCTGCAAAATTCAGAGCTACCAATTGTAACAAAAAGTTGGCTACTAGAAATATGATTTAAGATAGCTTACCTGCTTATTTGCCATTTTTTGTAACCGACTCTCAGTTTTAGGACTCTTACACTCTTCTTTAACTAAAAACAAGAAAATAGGAATTTTGGTAAGTGAAAAATATTGCTACAAAGCAGTTAAATTTACCATATATTTGCCACAGCAAGGCACTATGTTGCTGTTTTGAACATTCAAAGAATTCTAAGAAGACAAAGGCCCTCATTTTGAAAAACCTGTAGAGGAACAGAAGAGATACTCACAGGTAACAACAATAAGGGAAAATGAAAGGTGACATGTAATTGAGTCTTCAAGTATGTAAGTCTGCAAAGGGCAGAGTAGGAGGCTAAGCATTCCAGGCAAAGGAAATCATAGGAGAAAAGAAATGGAAGCAAAAAACATGGAATGTATTTAGGGAACTCTTAAATAGACTAGTTCCACTGGAGGTCAAGGAGTATAATGGAACTAATCTGGTAGGCAAAGGGCAACCAATCACAGAAACATTTTGAGCAAGTAGTGATCTGATCAGAATTGTGTTTTAGGGAGATTAAAATATGGCAGTGGCTTATTGAATAGATAGGAGAGTAAGAGAAAAACTAGGAAGCTATTTTATTATTCCTGTTAAGGGGAAATTGGGAAAATGGTAGGAAAAATGAAAAGGATAAATTAGAAAAAGGAAGGAAGAGGGGTGCCTGGGTGGCTCAGTTGGTTAAACGTCCTGGGATTGAGCCCTGCATTGGGTTCCCTGCTCAGCGGGGAGCCTGCTTCTCCCTCTCCTGCTCCCCCTGCTTGTGCTCTCTCTTTCTGTCAAATAAGTAAATAAAATCTAAAAAAAAAAAAAAAAGAAGAGGAAGGAAGAAAGGAAAAAAAGAAGAAAGGAGGGAGGAAGGAACAAAGGAGGAAAGAGGGTGAGAAAAGAAGCAGGGAGAAGGGATGGGAAGGAGGGAAGGGATGGGATGAAGAGAGAAGGGAAGAAATGAACAAAGATAGGAAGACAGGGAACAGAAGAGGGGAAATAAAAAGGAGAGGGGAGGAGAGGTAAGGGAGGTAAGGAAGAAAAGGAAGGACGTAATCTTGCAAAAAGGAGGATATGAAAAAGCAAGTTAACATGTATTGACATTAAGCCTTTGCTGAGACACACACACAATAAAACTAATTGGAATTCCAAATAATGTAGTTTACACACATTCATGTAAATAATAATTTGAAGAAAAATCACAACACATTTCAATTAAATATAAAATCTTTAAGCTATATTTATCAGATTTATAGGGACATTAATCTATAGTTAAAATGTAAAAGAAACAAAAATAACATATAGATACTTGTGCAAATAATAGTTTAGCAGTTATCAAACTGAACCAAAGTTATAAAACCACAATTTTTTTTTTGGAAAATAGCTTTTTAGAAAAATATTTAAAAAGACCCTTCTTGGGGTGCCTGGGTGGCTCAGTTGGTTGAGCATCGAACTCTTGGTTTCGGCTTGGGTCATGATCTGTGGTCATGGGACCGTGGGATCGAGTCCTGCGTCATCAGGCTCCATGCTCAGTGGGGAGTCTGCTTCTCTCCCTCTGCCCCTTCCCTCCATTTCATGCTCTTTCTCTCTCTCAAATAAATAAATAAATCTTAAAAAAAGGGCCATTCTTATACTATACGTAACATATATATATATACACACACATAAAATACATGCATGTATAAAATATAATAAATTAGACTCAGGACTCTGCACGTGATTATTTCCTCTGCTGGAAAGCTCTTCAGCAAATGTTTTGCATACTTTATCCCATCCACTCCCCTTTATTTGGGTCTCTGCTCAAATGTTATGTCCTCAGAGAGGCATTCCTTGACCATTCTATAAAACACCCCCCTACCTATACTTTTAATATGCTTTATTTTTCATCATAGCACTTATCATTACTACACATTATGGAATTTATTGGATAGTTTTGTTTGTTTGTTTGTTTGTTTTTTGCCTATTGTCAGTCTCCACCTTAGAATGTAAAGTCCATTAGGCTGGAAAAACTTGTCTGTCTGGTTCAGTCATATATCCCTAGCACCTAAAACGGTACCTTGTATATACGGCTCAATAGATAGAATCTGAATAAATAAATGAACAACAAATGAGTCATATTTTGAACACAAAGAGCAATTTGCAGCAATTTGGGAATATTCTGATCAAGAGAAAAACTAACTGCAAGATGAAGATTCTCATCTCTGTATCTGCATTCCCTACTGTGCCTGAAACATAGTAAACACTACTAAAGGACTTAAATAAGTAAAAATATATAAATTATGTAAGAAATATTAACAACAAAATATACATATTTTTAATAAAAAATTATAATATAGGTTAGAGTAACTTAATAGGCAAGTGTTTACACACAAAAAAGTAACTGGATTACGCTGAATAAAATTTATTCAAAAAGTAGTGAGGGGACATCAGCAAAAATGTCAGAGTAAGGACCTTTAAAAATTCTGTCCTCCATAGAGGCCTAGTATCCAAAATCTATAAGGAACCTATCAAACTCAACAAAGAACAAATAATTCAATCAATAAATGGGCAGAAGACATGAATAGACATTTCTGCCAAGAAGACATCCAAATGGCCAACAGACACATGAAAAAGTGCTCAACATCACTCGGCATCAGGGAAATCCAAATCAAAACCTCAATGAGATACCACCTCACACCATTCAGAATGCCTAAAATTAACAAGTCGGGAAATGACAGATGTTGGAGGGGATGCAGAAGAAGGGGAACCCTCCTACACTGTTGGTGGGAATGCAAGCTGGTGCAGCCACTCTGGAAAACAGTATGGAGGTTGCTCAAAAAATTGAAAATACTCTACTCTATGACCCAGTAATTGCACTACTGGGTATTTACCCCAAAGACAGAAATGCAGTGATCCGAAGGGGCATGTGCACCCCAATGTTTACAGCAGCAATGTCCACAATAGCCAAACTGTGGAAAGAGCATAGATGTCCATCAACAGATGAATGGATAAAGAAGATGTGGTGTATATATACGATGGAATATTATGCAGCCATCAAAAAAAAAAGAAATTTTGCCATTTGCAGCGACGTGGATGGAACTAGAGGGTATTATGCTAAGCGAAATAAGTCAATCAGAGAAAGACATGTATCATATGATCTCACTGATATGAGGAATTTGAGAAACAAGACAGAGGATCACAGGGGAAGGGAGGGGAAAATGAAACAAGACGAAACCAGAGGGGGAGACAAACCATAAGAGACTCTTAATCTCAGGAAACAAACTGAGGGTTGCTGGAGTGGAGGGGGGTGGGAGGGATGGGGTGGCTGGGTGATGGACACTGGGGAGGGTATGTGCTATGGTGAGTGCTGTGAATTGTGTTAAGACTGATGAATCACAGACCTGTACCCCTGAAACAAATAATACATTATGTTAATAAAAATAAAATAAAATAAAAATTCTGTCCTCCATAAAAGCAACAAGAAAATGGGCATAAATTACCCGAATCCAAATTTTTAGAGTTATGGAAATTAATCAAAGGCCTGTAGCAATCTGGGGGGTATTTATTCAAGAAAAAAGACTGACTCTCAAAACAGTGAGCTTTATGGTTTAACTTGCCGTAGTCTCAATCCCTACTCTACAACTCTAAGTAGCCTTGAAAAATAGCAGCCAGCACTTTTTGGTGGAAACCAATAACCTGGCAGCCACCAGAGAGATCAGAATGAGGCTGAGCTCTTCCAAAGTGTTATTCCCCACATTCTGTAAGGTATTACCCTGATTCACAATCAAAGATATCCCAAGAAAATAAAATGACAAATATCCTCTATGAATATAAATGCTAAAATAAAATCCTCAACAAAATACTAGCAAATCAAATCCTGTATCATATAAAAAAGATTAAACACCAAGACCTGGTAGGATTTATTCCAAGAATGCAAGGTTGGTTCAACATAAAAAACAATCAATGGAATCTACCATATTAATTAAGCACAGAAACAGCAACTGACAAAATCTAATATCCCTCCAAGGGATATTACAGGCAAAATCAACAACCAAAGAATAGAAAGGAACTTCCTCATCTAATAAAGGGCACTTACTAAAACCCACAGCTAACATTACACTTAATGCTCACAGATTGAAAGCTTACCCCTAAGATCAAAACAAGGGTGAACTGTTCACTCTCACTACTTCCATTCAACATTATGTTGGTGGTTTTAGCTACAGCAATCAGGTAAGAAAAAGAAATACAAGAAATTATATAAAAAGAAGTAACACTATTGCTATTTGCCAAAGCCACAAAAAATTAGGGCTAATAAACAAGTTCAGCAAAGTAGCAGGATATAAGATCAATATACAAAAGTCAGCTTTATCTCTATAAACAGCACTGAACAATCCACCCCCAACCACCAATTAAGAAAACAGTTCCAGTGACAATAGGGGTGTCTGGGTGGCTCAGTCGGTTAAATGTCTGACTCTTGGTTTTGGCTCAGGTCATGATCCCAGGGTTGTGGGATTGAGCTCCACATTGGGTTCCATGTTCAGTGCAGAGTCTGCTGGAGATTCTCTCCCTCTCCCTCCCCCACTGCCCCTCCCCTGTTTTCTCTAAAAAAATAAAATCTTGAAAAAAAAAAAAAGAAAACAGTTCCACTGACAATAAATAGCATTAAAAATAATAAAATACTAGGAATAAATTTTTTTAAAAGATGTAAGACTTGTACACTGAAAACTACAAGACATCATTGAAGGAAATTAAAGAAGACAAATAAACGGAAAGACATTTTACGTTCATGGATAGGAAGACTTAATATTGTTAAGAGGACAATGCTCTCCAAAATGATCTGTAGATTCAACGTAATCTCTATAAAAATTCCAGCTGCCATTTTCGCAGAAATAGACAAGGTGATCCTATAATTCATTCAGAAATGTAAGAGATCGGAACAGACAAAACAATGTTGAAAAAGAAAAACAAAGCTGGAGGACTCAAAGTTCCCAATTTCAAAACTTACAACAAACTATGATAATTAAGATAGTGTGTTCTTTGCATAAAGATGGCATATAGATCTGTGGAACAGAATTGAGAGGTCAGAAATAAACCCATACATCTATAGTCAATTGACTTATAACAAGGGTGCTAAGAAAATTCAATGGGGTGCCAAGAGAATTCAATGGGAAAAGAACAGTCTTTCAGCAAATGGTGCTGAGACAACTGGATATCCACATGCAAAAGAATGAATAAGGACCCCTACCTCATACCATATACAAACACTCAGAAATGGAAAAAAGACCTAAATATAAGAGCTAAAACTACAAATCTCTTAGAAGAAAAGATAGGTATAAATCTTTGTGACCTTAGATTATGTAATGGTTTCTTAGATATGACACCTAAAGCACAAGTAATCAAAGAAAAAGTAGAAAAGATAAATTAGAATTGATCAAAATTAAAGACTTTTGTTTCAAGGACACTATAAAGTTAAAAAGACAACCCACAGAATGACAGCACATATTTGCAAATCAAATATCTGAATATGCACGTTATATACAGAAGATGTAAAGGACTCACACAACTCAAGGACGAAAAGAAAAGTAACTCAAAAATGAGCAAAGGACTTGAATAGACATTTCTCCAAAGAAGATGTACAAACTGCCCATTGGCACATGAAAAGATGCCCAATGTTATTAGTCATTAATGAATCACAAATGAAAACCACAAAGAGATTTCACTTTACACCTACCAGGGCTGCGGTAATAAAAAAGATGGGCAATAACAAGCATTATGGAAGATGTGGAGAAATTGGACTCTCATATATTGCTGGTGGGAAACAGCAGTTGGAAAACAGTTTGGTAGTTCCATAAAAAGTTAAACACAGAGTTAACATATGACTAATTCTACTCATTTGGATGTATACCCAAGAGAACTGCAAACATATGTTCAATCAAAAACTTCTACATGGATATTCACAGCAGCATTATTTATTATAGCCCCAAAGTGGAAACAACCCAAATGTCCATCAATGGATGAATGGATAAACAAAATGTAGTATTCATAGAATGGACTATTATTCAAAAGGACTGCAAACAAATCAATCAACGTGATACAATACATTAACAAAAGAAAGAACAAGAATCATGATCCTCTCAATAGATGCAGAAAAAGCATTTGACAAAGTACAGCATCCTTTCTTTTTTTTTTTTTTTAAAGATTTTATTTATTTATTTGAGAGAGAGAGAATGAGAGAGAGCACATGAGAGGGGGGAGGGCCAGAGGGAGAAGCAGACTCCCCGCCGAGCAGGGAGCCCGACGCGGGACTTGATCAGGGACTCCAGGATCATGACCTGAGCCGAAGGCAGTCGCTTAACCAACTGAGCCACCCAGGCGCCCTACAGCATCCTTTCTTGATCAAAACTCTTCAGAGTACAGGGATAGAGGGTACGTACCTCAATATCATAAAAGCCATCTATGAAAAACCCACAGCAAATATCATTCTCAATGGGGAAAAACTGAGAGCTTTTCCCCTAAGGTCAGGAACACGGCAGGGATGTCCACTATCACCACTGCCATTCAACATAGTATTAGAAGTCCTAGCCACAGCAATCAGACAACAAAAAGAAATAAAAGGCATCCAAATCAGCATAAGAAGAAGTCAAACTCTCACTCTTTGCAGATGATATGATACTTTATGTGGAAAACCCAAAAGACTCCACCCCAAAACTGCTAGAACTCATACAGGAATTCAGTAAAGTGGCAGGATATAAAATCAATGCATAGAAATCAGTGGCATTCTTATACACCAACAACAAGACAGAAGAAAGAGAAATTAAGGAGTCGATCCCATTTACAAGTGCACCCAAAACCGTAAGATACCTAGGAATAAATCTAACCAAAGAGGCAAAGGATCTGTACTCAGAAAACTATAAAATATTCATGAAAGAAACTGAGGAAGACACAAAGAAATGGGAAAACATTCCATGCTCATGGATTGGAAGAATATTGTGAAGATGTCATTGCTACCTAGAGCAATCTACACATTCAATGCAATCCCCATCAAAATACCATCAACTTTTTTCAAAGAAATGAAACAAATAATCCATTTGTTTGGTTCCATACCAAACAAACTTGTATGGAACCAGAAAAGACCCCGAATAGCCAGAGGAATGTTGAAAAAGAAAAGCAAAGCTGGCGGCATCACAATTTCAGACTTCCAGCTCTATTACAAAGCTGTCATTATCAAGACAGTATGGTACTGGCACAAAAACAGACACATAGATCAATGGAACAGAACAGAGAGCCCAGAAATGGACCCTCAACTCTATGGTCAACTAATCTTCGACAAAGCAGGAAAGAATGTCCAATGGAAAAAAGACAGTCTCTTCAAGAAATGGTGTTGGGAAAATTGGACAGCCACATGCAAAAGAATGAAACTGGACCATTTCCTTATACCACACACAAAAATAGACTCAAAATGGGTGAAAGACTAAACGTGAGACAGGAGTCCATCAAAATCCTAAAGGAGATCACAGGCAGCAACCTCTTCGACCTCAGCCGCAGCAACTTCTTCCTAGAAACATCGCCAAAGGCAAGGGAAGCAAGGGCAAAAATGAACTATTGGGACCTCATCAAGACAAAAAGCTTTTGCACAGCAAAGGAAACAGTCAACAAAACCAAAAGACAACCGACAGAATGGGAGAAGATATTTGCAAATGACATATCAGATAAAGGGCTAGTATCCAAAATCTATAAAGATTCTTAAACTCAACACCCAAAGAACAAATGAACCAATCAAGAAATGGGCAGAAGACATGAACAGACATTTTTCCAAAGAAGACATCCAAATCGCCAACAGACACATGAAAAAGTGCTCAACATCGCTCAGCATCAGGGAAATCCACATCAAAACCTCAATGAGATATCATCTCACACCAGTCAGAATAGCTAAAATTAACAAGTCGGGAAACAACAGATGTTGGCGGGGATGCAGAGAAAGGGGAACCCTCTTACACTGTTGGTGGGAATGCAAGCTGGTGCAGCAATTCTGGAAAACAGTATGGAGGTTCCTCAAAAAGTTGAAAATAGAGCTATCATATGATCCAGCAATTGCACTACTGGGTATTTACCCCAAAGATACAAATGTAGGGATCCAAAGGGGTACGTGCACCCCGATGTTTATAGCAGCAATGTCCACAATAGCCAAACTGTGGAAAGAGCCAAGATGTCCATCAACAGATGAATGGATAAAGAAGATGTGGTATATATACACAATGGAATATTACACAGCCATCAAAAGGAATGAGATCTTGCCATTTGCAATGACATGGATGGAACTGGAGGGTGTTATGCTGAGCGAAATAAGTCAGTCAGAGAAAGACATGTATCATATGATCTCACTGATATGAGGAATTCTTAATCTCAGGAAACAAACTGAGGGTTGCTGGAGTGGTAGGGGGTGGGAGGGATGGGGTGGCTGAGTGATAGACACTGGGGAAGGTATGTATTATGGTGAGTGCTGTGAATTGTGCAAGACTGTTGAATCTCAGATCTGTACCTCTGAAACAAATAATACAATATATGTTAAAAAAAAAAAAAAAGAAGAAGATAGCAGGAGGGGAAGAATGAAGGGGGGGAAATCGGAGGGGGAGACGAACCATGAGAGACGATGGACTCTGAGAAACAAACTGAGGGTTCTAGAGGGGAGGGGGGTGGGAGGATGGGTAAGCCTGGTGATGCGTATTAAAGAGGGCACGTTCTGCATGGAGCACTGGGTGTTATGCACAAACAATGAATCATGGAACACTACATCAAAAACTAATGATGTAATGTATGGTGATTAACAACGATAAAAAATTAAAAAAAAAAAAGGATTGCAAAAAAAAAAGGAATGAAGCATTGATACATACTACAACATGGATGAACCTTGTGTTCATTATGCCAAGTAAAAGAAGCCAGTCACAAAAAGTCACAAATTTTATGATGATATGAAATGTCCAGACAGGTCAATCCATAGAGGCAGAAAGTAAATTAATGGTTGCCAGGGCTGGAGGAATGACTGCTAATAGGTATGTTTCTTTTTAGGGTAAAGAGAATGTTCTAAATTTAGATAGTGGCATAGGTTGTACAACTTTGTGAAAACACCAAAAAAATCACTGATTAAAGACTTCAAAACATGAATTTTATGGCATGTGAATTATAACTCAATAAAACTGTTGTAGTTAATAAAAAAGGAAGCAGCATCGTAAGTATATTTTTAACTTTAAACTTACATTTTCTGTGAGGCTCATGTTTTCTTTGCTGACATTTAACACTGTTGTCAGTAAAGCCAGATTTATGATGTTGAGTTACTTGACTTACTTCTTGAGGTAGAACTGCAACCTGAAAGTTAAAATTCTTATAAATGATTTAAAAACAAACTCTTCTAACTACTTTTCCTCAAAGAGATAGAGTATTTGGTTGTAGAACTAAATAATAGGAGAGCTGACACTTGAGCTCTAACTCTAAAACCCATGTTCACAGTACCATATCAGAGAAAAAGTATCCAGAAGTTTAATTAGAAAATATTCTAGTTTTGGGTATAGTTTTGGGGTTGTTCTATTTGATATCTACATAAAGCTATTTATTACTCACATTGTCATATTTTGTCAATAAAGACTTAAATTTATTTATTTATTTTTCAAATTATTTATTTATTTTTTAAAGATTTATTTATTTGAGAGAGAGAGAATGAGAGAGAGAAAGCACATGAGAGGGGGGAGGGTCAGAGGGAGAAGCAGACTCCCCGCCGAGCAGGGAGCCCGATGCGGGACTCGATCCTGGGACTCCAGGATCATGACCCAAGCCGAAGGCAGTGGCCCAACCAACTGAGCCACCCAGGTGCCCTGACTTGAATTTTTTTAAAAGACTTTTTAAAGAGCAGTTTTAGGTTTACAACAAAACTGAGAGAAAGGTACAGAGATATTTCATATCCTTTCTGTCTCTACACATGTATGGCATTCTTCATTATCAACATCCTCCACCAGAGTGGTACATTTACTATAATCAATGAACCAATCCTGACACATCATTATTACTCAAAGGCCATAGTTTACATTGGGTTCACTCTTGGTGTTGTACATTCTATGTGTTCAGACAAACGTATAATGACATGTATCCACCATTAGAGTATCATACAGATTATTTTCAGTGCCCTAAAAAGCTTCTGTGCTCTGTCTATTGATCTTCCCCTTAACCTCCGGGCAACCACTGATCTTTTCAGTGTCTCCATAGTTTCACCTTTTCCAGAAGCTTGAATACTTTTTAAAAAATCATGTTGAGTTGTCTAGAATGTGCTTATCAGATGAATACCAGGTTGCTTATTAATGCTTCATGGATTTAAGTGATATATGTGGTGGCTCATAATTCTTGGTATGTGTAGGAGGAAATACAACATGACAGTGTTTAGTTAATATAAATAATGAAATAGCACCCAATACCAAGAGCAAGATGCAGAAGATTCTGAGTAAATATAGTATCAAGTGTTGAGTTCCATCTCAAGGCAATAGGCAGTAAAATGACTAGCAGACCTTGCTGGAGATCTAGGGGAATTTTGGTAGTGAGAGAGGAAAGTGGAAGGAACAGTAAGAACACATAACCTGAAATGGGAATTATCTACTTGTGGGAAAGGGAAAATAAAGAGACCAATCTTACTAGAACAGACCATTTTACTAAGGAGTTGGATATACTTTATATAAGAATTAGGTAGAGTTAGATACTAGTTTCAGTTGAGGTTGAATTCTACTAGTACTGAACAGAGAGCCCTATATATTCTATAATATTTGAATAACATTCTTTGGGGCACCTGGGTAGCTCAGTTGGTTAAGCGCCTGCCTTTGGCTCAGGTCATGATCCCAGAGGGCCGGGATCAAGCCCCACACTGGGCTTCCTGCTCAGGGGGAGTCTGCTTTTCCTTCTGCCCCTCACCCCACTCTCGTGCTCCTTCTCTCTAATAAATAGGTAAAATCTTAAAAAAAAAACAAAACTCTTTTTTTTTTTTTAAAGATTTTATTTATTTATTTGACAGAGAAAGACACAGCAAGAGAGGGAACACAAGCAGAGGGAGTGGGAGAGGGAGAAGCAGGCTTCCCGCGGAGCAGGGAGCCCTATGCGGGGCTTGATCCCAGAACCCTGGGATCATGACCTGAGCCGAAGGCAGATGCTTAATGACTGAGCCAACAGGCGCCTCAAGAATAACATTCTTTTAGGGCTGGAAAAGAGGTCATCTAGTCTAGTGCCTTAATTTTGCATATGAGGCCACAGAGGCCCAAGAAAATTAGAGTTGCTCAATTTGAGTCACCAAATCTGATTTCCTGATTCTGAGTCTAGTACCAGATTTATCACACCACAGTGCCTCAGGGAACAAACTAAGTTCAAATCCAGAAGCTCTTATTAATTAGATATTTTGCCCAATAATGCCATTGGGCCAACACAGGTGAAAGGATCACCAAGAAAAATCATTAGGAAAGATACGTCAAACAGTATTATGTAAGGACTAAAAAGGAAAGAGGCAAGAAGCAGGAAGCACAGATAGGAGGTTAATCTAGGTTTAGGATGACCATCTAAGGCCCAGTTGTGGGAACTGCCAAGAAATAAAAAGATTTCGGATCTCATTGCAAAAAAAAAAAAAAAAATAGAGGGGAAAAAGGAAAAAGTTTTTACTCCATGCTTTTCAGATTATTGCCTGGGGAAATGGTAGTGTTAGAAATAAGGGTAAGAAGCTTCAGATGAGGTGAATTCTAAGACATCTTTCGGCTGAGGTGATGGTGGGGTGTCTGTCTATACCTGTCTTCTAGGAAGTTGGAGATACTGGCTTAGATTGATCCTGATTGAGAGGTATGGAACACATATACTGAGTGGTTAAATTAGCAGCAAGGTAAGAGTCAATGTCACCAAATGATAAAACAAAAGGGGGAGAAAAAAAACTATTGTTCAGTAAAATACTGCCCAGTTGAATGGTTGGAAAAACAGAGGTTAAGAAAGAAGTTGAATAAAAAGCAAAAGGCAAGAGGGGAGTCAGGGTAATGTTTCCTTTTAGAGTATAAATCCTTGAAATAATTGCCTATATTTGCTACCTCCAATTTTTCTTCTCCCCTTCTCTCTTAAACATACTCTTCTTGGTATTTCACTCTTACCACTCTACTGAAACTGCTCTTGTCAAGATTTCCAATGACCTCAGATATAAAACACTATGGTCAATTCTCAGTTTTCATTTTAACTGATCCATCACCAGCATTTGACACACTTGATTACTCTCCTTGGCATCTAGAACACCATACTTTACTGGTCTTCTTCCTGTACAATGGCCATTCCTTCTCAATCTTGTTTGTCAGGTTCACCTAATCTCTCTGACTCTTTAAGGATGGAATTCTCTAAGGCTAAGTTATTAGACTTCTTTGGATGTAGATAAATAGATATAGATATATAGATACACACATACATGCCCAAATTTCTCTCTCCAGCTTGGACATCTTCCATAACCATCAGAATCAATGTCCAACTCTACATCTCTACTCAAATATCTTTTTTTTTTTAAAAAGATTTTATTTATTTATTTGAGAGAGTAAGTGAGCAAGGGAGCACGACCAGGGGGAGAGGGAGAAGAAGACTCCTGGCTGAGCAGGGAGCCTGACGTGGGGCTCAATCCCTGGACTCCGGGATCATGACCTGAGCCGAAGGCAGACACTTAACCAACTGAGCCATCCAGGCACACCTCTACTCAAATTTCTAACTCTGTATCTCCACTTAGATTTTTAATATACATCTCAAACTTACTATGACCAAAATTGAACTCCAGATCTTCCCCCACAAACCTACTTGACTTGCAATCTTCTCCATCTCAGGTAACAGCCACTCTATCCTTTTAGTTACTAAGACCTTAAGAGTCACACTCTTTAATCCATTTTTTTTCTCTCTTAACCCTATATCCAATTCATCATTAGATGGCAATTCCTTCCAAATATGCCTAGAATTTGATCACTTCTCCAGACTCCTACTACTCTGGTCCGAGTCAGTATCAACTCTATCTTGATGATTCCAGTAGTCTCCTAACTAATCTGTTTCTATCCTGACTCCTCTACATTCTATTCTTAAGATAGCAGACAGAATGATCCCTATTAAAATATAAATCAGATCATGTCATTCTGTTGCTCAAAACCCTTCACTGATTCCTCATTTCACTGAGTAAAAAACAATGTCCTTGGGCGCCTGGGTGGCTCAGTCGGTTAAGCGACTGCCTTCGGCTCAGGTCATGATCCCGGAGTCCTGGGATCGAGTCCCGCATCGGGCTCCCTGCTCGGCGGGGAGTCTGCTTCTCCCTCTGACCCTCCTCCCTCTCATGCTCTCTGTCTCTCATTCTCTCTGTCTCAAATAAATAAATAAAATCTTTAAAAAAAAAAACAAAAACAATGTCCTTATAATGACCCAGAAGGTCCTGCATGGTATCTAATTACAGTTCCTACAAATCAGCCTATTGATTAAAAGCCATAATAGTCTTTTTCTCTTCCTTGAGTATACCTGGAATTGTCTTCCCAACAGGGTCTTTGGACTTCTCTGGAATACCCTCACCTCAGGTATCTACATACTCTACTCCTCATTTCATTCAAATCTTTACTCAAATGTTACCTGATCATTCTCTTTAAAACTGCAAAACCTTGCCTCCCCACCACCCCGCCAACATTCTCTATCCTCCCCTGAAATTTTTCTCAAACTTCTGTATTACCATCTAATATACCATGTAATCTACTTGTCCTCTCCTCCCCAGAATATAATTTGTTTGAGGGTCAGACTTTTTTTTTTGTTTATAGCTATATTCCTCATCACACAGAACAATGAACATGATAGGCCCTCAATAAATACATGCTGAATGAATTAATGAAATGAATGAATGATAACGAAGCATTCCTAAAAAATGAATGGTTAGTGGTATCAAATAAATTAGAGAGGAAAAGAGGGTTTGAAACTCTGGATATAGACTGCATTTAGATAGAAAGGATTTATGGATGATCTAAGAAAAACTTAGCATATTAGCAGAAGAGAACTATGTATTTTGTCACTCTCACTTTTTCTGTTTATTTCACCATCATTTCCTTTGCTATTTTCTTCTCTCTACTCTGAAAATGCCACCATCACTGGAGGACATTAGAATAAATGAGGCTTGGGGCGCCTGGGTTGCTCAGTCGTTAAGCGTCTGCCTTCAGCTCAGGTCATGATCCCAAGGTCCTGGGATCGAGCCCCACATCGGGCTCCCCGCTCTGCGGGAAGCCTGCCTCTCCCTCTCCCACTCCCCCTGCTTGTGTTCCCTCTCTCGCTGTGTCTCTCTCTGTCAAATAAATAAAATCTTTAAAAAAAAAAAAAAAAAAAAAAAAAAAGAATAAATGAGGCTTTCATGGTGCAGGCTGTTGGTTTATAAACTTGAGAGAATATTCTTTCTTTCTTGACCAAAGCTGAGAAGATAGGTCAGTTACCAGCAAAAAATGTTGTAGGAATTTATTCTTTACCTTTTTCCTTTTTTTGGTCTGAGTCTACCTTTTTAGCAGAATTTCTTTTCCCTTCTTAATCTCTATTAAGGAATGTGAATTTGCTCATTCATATTTAAGACAACCAAGTGCCAGCATAAAGCTCCACATTCAAGTGGAAATTAATTAGTTAATAATAAGTGCACTAAGGCCTTTGTTGAATTTAAAATATAGTTATTAGGATTTTGCAAACAGCTAAAATAAAATCCAAACTGATTTAAAAGAAAAATTATCTATATTCCCTCTCATGAGTCCAAAAACTTTTATATACGGCTGAAGAGACTTATGAAAATTCATGATTAAAACGGTTATTCTATTTTATGAGATTTTAGGAAAAAAATAATCATTGCATACTCACAAGAAAAATGTAAATTTGTTTTTTTAATTTAAATGTCTATCAAACAAGGTATACTAACTTTCTCTTGTAGAGTTGGCTGAAAGTGTTGAACCTTTCCAGATCCCTGTAAGGACTGCCAAATGTTGCAAAATTCATCATCATCTTTAGTAGGTACCTGGTAAAGCACAAAAAATTTCTTAAGGAACTGAAACATGAAAAAAATAAAGATTTATATTAAAAATAAAAAAATTCATTAAAGTTATTTAGCAGTAGATAGAATATTAACTTCCATTATCTGAAATCTCAGTTCTTTTTTTCTGGCGCTCAGTACAGTCATCATAGAAATATTCTATTGGACTGTAAATGGTCTTAAAGCATGACAAATGTTATGGAAGATTATACTAAATCAATATCCCTACCAACAGATTTTTTTAAATCTCCCAATGTACTGATATCTCATTTAAGCTAACATTTAACAATTTTATTTTTAAAATCTTCATCTTACACAAAAGTAATCCAACAGATTAAAAAACCAGCTATTACTTATGAGGAGTTGATTTTGGGCAGATTAATAGTGATTACCTATGAAATTTGATTTTTGCTTCTGCTTCCTTTGCCATTACCTCCTTATCTGGGCTTTCTAATTAGTCTATAGCGAACACATTATTACTTGGATTAAAATGTGGTTAAGATTTAGGGACATGGAGTTAAACAAGGTTAAATGTCTCACACAAAACAATTCAATTTTTTTCCCCAGAAAGATAAAATAGAGGAAATCACCCATGAGTTGCATGGGTAGGAACCTGAAAATGGCTTTTGATAAATATAATTCTCTCTCTGTTAACCTCTCAAATTCATGTCATTTCATAGCAGATTGAATACAACATTAGAGTTATACAAATGTAGCTTGAAAAGTAAATACATGAAAAGAAAACAGACATTCTCAAGCTCATATTTAAAAATGTATTTCTTCTTTAACTATAATTTTATAACAAATGTAGGATGTTATCAGTAGCGTTTTTTTTTTAATTCTATTTATTTGAGAGAGAGCATCAGCGGGGCGGAGAGGGAGAGGGGGAGAAGCAGACTCCCCACTGAGCAGGGATCCTGACGTGGGGCTCCATCCCAGGACCCTGGGATCATGACCTGAGCCAAAGGCAGATGCTTAACCGACTGAGCCACCCAGATGCCCCAGTAGCATTCCTTATTAGCCTATTAACTTAAAACAAATCTGAAATTGACTTGAACCAAAATTTCTTAAAAAACTAAGTCAAATTAGGTTTTACTTACAAAGTCTGCCTGAGATTTATAAGAGGGCAGAAAGAAATGAAAGACTAAGAGCCTTACTTGAGTAGGAACAAAAAGTGATTGAGGGGAATGGTTCAGGCCTCCCAAATGCCCAGATGAAATTGATGAATTTGAGCTATATTGATTCACAGCTGGTTGTGGTTTCACAATGGCTGTCAACTTCTGATTTCCGGTTTCAGAGCGACTCCCATGAGTAAGATTCACCAAGGCACTTGTTGGCAGTCGATAACCTCTACCAGGTGAGCACCTAAAAATAAACAGTTATTTCAGAGGGAAATAATACTAGGGAGCAGAAGAGCCAAATTATTTTTGGGTGGACAGTCAGTCCATAATCTGAATTAGTAAACATTACTTTTAAATTTAATAGAGGAAGCTGAAATCCTAGAAAGATCTCCACTTATAAGATGATATATTTCTGAAACCGGACTTTATTTAATCCTCACAATAACCTAGTGAAGTATGTATCTTCATTACAAACGAGGAAACTGAGGGTCAGAATGCTTTTAACGACCTACCCAAAGTAGCACAAAGGTTAAGTGACAGAACCCATTCCATGCATCTTTCGTTCTATCATAATCTTTTTTTCCTGTAACTTTAACTTTTCTATCAGTGCTGCCCCAAAATAAGTAAATCTCACTCATATAAGTTAAAAACAAAAAATCCAAACCTCTGGCTTTAAACCTGCTAACCTCCAGTTATTTTTTCTCTCCTTCATGGTCAAACTTCTCAAGGGTCAGCTCAATTTCCTGCTTCCTCAAACCACCCCAGTGTGGCTGTATACCCACAATTCCACTAAAATATAAATCTGTGATCATGTCACATCTCTGATTTTTATGACTTCACATTGCTTTAAGGATAACGACCAAGATACCAAAATCATTAGCATGTCCTCAAAGTTGGCTTACAAGCTCCTGCACAGCGTGTTCCTTGCTTTTCTCTCTTACTCTAATCTTACATAGTTGCTGAAGTTCAGACACACTTGCATTCTTTGTTTTTTTGTTTTTGTTTTTAAAGATTTTATTTATTTATTCATGAGAGACAGAGAGAGAGAGAGAGAGAGGCAGAGGGAGAAGCAGGCTCCCAAGGATCAGGGAGCCCGATGTGGGACTCGATCCCAGGACCCTGGGATCATGACCTGAGCCGAAGGCAGACGCTCAACCATCTGAGCCACCCAGGTGCCCGTTTTTTTTTTTTTAATGAATAAATCCTTTGTTGCCTCTTCTTGACCACCTGTCATTCTTCTTCCCTCTTCCTCCAGTTAACTATTATTCAGTCTTCAAGTCCCATCTTAAATATCACTTGTCAAAGAAGCCTTTCTAGAAGTCATACTCTTACAGAAACCAGAACCTCTCCTTTCCAGCACTTCTCACATTTTAATTAAATAAGTAATACTATAATCAGTTACACAATTATCTCCCCCACTAAAATGAAAGCTTTGTGAGACTAGAAAACATGTCTATCTTACTCATTGTTACATCCCTACTAGCATGTATGATGTCTTGCATATAACAGGAATTCAAATTTTGGACAAATAAGTAATGTAAAGTCACTGCCACGTGGATATATTTACAAAGCGTAATTATCATCAGGAAATACAAACCTTATTGTTAAGCCTCCAGGAAATTCTTCATCAAATAATACTTCAAATAGTATATCAGCTTCTCTATTGGCTGTTAAATAAGAGAGATTTAAAAATTATATGATGAAAAATTAGCATTTAAGTTTTTGGCTTGTAAGAGGCATTACAACTATCAGAGAATGGTATAGGGGATTATAGTAAATGAAAAGTAGATAAACTTGCAGATTACCTTACTGGTATTAATTTAAAGTAAAATAATATTTTAAATTAGATGCTATGAGGGGATTAATTATATTTTTTTCTGTGCTTTTGTCTATGTTGGAAATTATTCATAATAAAAGTTAATAAAAGAGGTAACTTCGGAGTTTGCAGTTCAGAAGGTATTGCAGTAAGACAGATAAAAGACAATGACGATTTGAAAGCATGGCAGTTTATTTAATAAAGGGAACAGGATGGAGAGAACAGAAATATTACTAGATAGAACTGGCAGGAATTTGTGGCCTGTGTAGATAAAAAGGACAGAGATGCCAAAGATGACTCCAAGGTTCTGGCTGAGATGACTTGGTAGATTATGGATGCCATAACTGAGATATGAGACACATGAGAAAGTGCAATAAACTTAGATAGGAACAGAGAAGAACAAATTTGGCAGAGAGGCTGATGAGATATATCTGGCAAGATTAAATTTACCCGAAATGCCAAGGTAAAGTGAAATAATTAGCTATATTTGAATTCTAAGCCCAAATTAATAATAGAGTCTATCACAGTACTTCAGAATTGACCAACCCTACCCCCTTCCCTCTCCCCTCCTCTCCCTCCCTTTCTCCTTCACCCCTCCCCCTCCCCCTGTCCTCGATTTCTCTCCACCTTTCCACCACCCCTTTTCCACTTTATTGGTTCTGTTTCTCTAGAGAACCTGAATACAATATTTGATAATATCCTAGCCAGGGGTAGGAGTGGAGGGATGTCTGTCCCCCATCCCCAGTCCTTCATTGCTCAGCTGAAACCAGGCCTGCAGAGCTCACCCATTCCCCAACATCCACCTGTATCTTTCAACCTACTTTTACCTGAAATCTAAACTCAAGAAAGTAAGGCTCAATGAGAGGCAGGAGTTTCTCCTCTGAAGGCTTAAAGCTCACCTTTTAGGTTCTTATTCCCTATCTGAGGGAGGGGTATTCCTCAAAAGATTATTAAGATTATAAAAGGTAAGAGGACTGTTTACTCCCTTTAGCGAAATTGACTATGGAGATGAGGTCTCAGCTAAGGGCAGTAATGAAATATTCCCCTTTTTATCCATGGCAGACATGGTTAATCAATGACAGAGCTCTTTCCCACTCAGCATAGATACAGCTTTAAAATCCTTCTCAAGACAAATCCCAAGCAGTCACTATTACTGATAGGAACTGTCAGAAGAAAGGAAACTTCTATGTTATCAGAGTCCTAGGGCCTTATATCAAGACAACTTAACTATAATACAATCTAATAAGCCCAGTATTTGAACAGCTGAATCAGGGGGTTGAGCAGATAGCAGCAGGAGGGTTATTTCATTATACCCATGTGGCCCTTACCATTCCTAGTCCAGACAATCAGACCAAGGTTGAGTGCTTGAGAGATGAAAGGACAGTGCTGCCAATACCTTGACCCCTTGGCACCGGATTTGCTGCTTCATGCTAGGCTGACTTTTTTTGGTATCTACACTGCAAAGCTGCTCAACCAGGCATCCCTTTGAGCACATTTAGATCCTTAGTTGCTTCTTCCCTTTTCCTCCATTCTCTCTTTTTTTTTTTAAATGAAAAATACGTGACATAAAATTTACCATCTTAATTATTTTTAAGTGTACAATAGTGTTTGTTAACTATATGTACATTGTTGCCTTCTGCTTAGATATAAGGCACAGAAATTTGTGTTTTACTTTACAATTTTAGATGCAGTTGAAGACATGCCAAGTATTGAGATATTACCCCCTTTAATTCCTATGATGGTGCCCCGAAGGCCAACTGGAACTGAAAAGTTCTCTCTCACATTTACCACACGGTCAAAGAGATGAAATTCTGCATCTCGATCAGGAATGACTCCATGTTGCTGTTCTAAAGGCTGAAGAGAAGAAAGCTTTAATTATTATTAACTCTAATTTGAAATAATTTTTCTATTACTATAACAAAAACATTTTGTTCCTTCTATACTTTCAAAATAAAAACAACTTGGATAAGAAACTTACTCTGTACAGCAAATGGGGCTTCACTGTCACTCGTACCTTCTTATTATTCTTTCTTTGCTGAAGAAAGAAAAATTTTTAAATACTTAAAAACATTAAATTATAAAATTATTGTTATCTGGATTTACATTAAAAATATAAAATTATTATTATTCAGTTGGACATCATTTATTACTATTCATTTTTAAAAGCCAAATGAAATGAGCAATTTAAAGAATATTTGAAGTTCTTCAGATGCAGCAGGGAGGAATAATAAATTCTTACTTAAAAAAATTTTGGGGGGCGCCTGGGTGGCTCAGTTGGTTGAGCGACTGCCTTCGGCTCAGGTCATGATCCTGGAGTCCTGGGATCGAGTCCCACATCGGGCTCCCTGCTCAGCGGGGAGTCTGCTTCTCCTTCTGACCCTCCCCCCTCTCATGTGCTCTCTCTCTCTCTCATTCTCTCTCTCAAATAAATAAAAATCTTAAAAAAAAAAAAATTGGGGGGGCACCTGGGTGGCTCAGTCATTAAGCGTCTGCCTTTGGCTCAGGTCATGATCCCAGGGTTCTGGGATCGAGTCCCATATCGGGCTCCCTGCTCAGCAGGAAGCCTGCTTCTCCCTCTCCCTCTGCCTATGGCTCCCCCTGCTTGTGCTCTCTCTCTCTCTCTGTCAAAAAAATAAACAAATAAAAACTTAAAAATAAGTAAATACATACATAAAACCTATTTTCCTTACAAAAATTTTGAAGGTTTTATTTATTTATTTGAGAGAGAGAGCGCACAAGCAGTGGGAGAGGCAGAGGGAAAGGAGGAAGAAGGCTCCCTGCTGAGCGGGGAGCCTGACCCAGGGCTTGATCCCAAGACCCCAAGATCATGACCTGAGCCGAGGGCAGATGCTTAAGCAACTGAGCCACCCAGGTGCCCCTTAAAACTTTTTTAAAGTTAAATTTTTTGTTGAAGTATAAGGCATAGAAAAATGCGAAAGTGTATGTATACAGCCTGATGAATTTTTATAGTATGAGCCTATCTACGTATAACCATGCTAAGTTCAAGAAAGAGAACATTACTAAGCACAACATAAGAACTCCTGTATTCCTTCCCAGTTACTACTACCTTCCCCAAAGTAACCTTACTGCTAACAAAAGATTAAATTGTTTAGAACTTTATGTAAATGTTATCCTATTCAAATGCTTTTTTACTCTTTTTTACTCTAAAAAGAATTGTACATGATGGTCAATGAAGATCTATATTAAAAGAAAAAAAAGTATAAAGTACTGATCTACGACAATACTGTGGGTTTTATGGGTACTTATAAAAATTAAGGTGGCACTGATTTAATAAAGCCCTAGCTTTTGGAATCTCTTATGAAGTTGGCTTTGATGTCTGAATTTTTTGATCATGTAACAAATGCTGGAAGAAGAGTTCTGTCCCATCTTTACTCCTTGTCAATTTTGTGAACTCACACTCACCTTAAGCATCAGCCTCCTTCTACTGTAAAATAGAAATAACATTACCTGTTCTACCTAATAAAACCATGAGGATAGTTTATATCCATTGCAATCCATAACTACCCCCCTTCACATGAAATATTTTTAAGTGAATTCTTACCAACTAAGACAAACGGCAACAGTTCACTTATTTTGCAGCCACCTACCTTTAGAACATACCTTATGGAAATAAGTACAAAAGAGAATAAAACAACTCCAAGCTATAGAGACCATACACTACAGAGTTCATGTATTTATATATTATAAAATGCTCAAGACTTTAAACAGACCCTATTATCTTTTACTATAAAGGCATTTCATTTATTCTTTCAACAAATCTTTACTGAGTTACATTTATGTGCCATGTATTGATCTAGGTGCTAAGTATAAAACAGTAACCTGTTCCTTTACTTAGGGAGACATACAAGCAACAAATGTTTGAAGGTAAAAAGCATAGAGAAAAATAAAGCAGGGAAGGGGGATCAGCACTGTGGAGAGAGAGATCGCAGTTTTAAATAAAATGAATAGTGAAGGCAGTACTGGCAGGATGTCTATGCTTTCAGCCCACAGCAGACTAGGACTAATAGGGTACAATTTGTGCCCCCTGATAACAGCAAGAAGGAGTAAAAATAAGTATTTTAAGTAATTTTAAGAAGCAGACCCCAAACTTATGCCTGGAGTTCTGTATATGAAAAAAAACAAACAACCCATATGCTTTAATACATCTCTAGGCATTACTAGATTATAGCACTGATTAGAAGACATGGCAATCAAACCCGATTCATTAAGCAAATTAATAAACTCAGGAATTTTCACAATAGGCTCCAACCCACAGCTACGAAATGAAAAGTTCTGGGTCTGGCTATTCAAAATGTGATCATCTGGGAGCTTGTTAGAAATGGAGACTCTCAAGCATCAAAATAAAATTTGGGGGCTTAGAGTAATAAACTTTTATTAAGTGGAAAACTCATTTCAAAAACAATGCTGTACAAATGGATTTTACTCTAGGTTGAAAGACAAAAAAAAATGCCGGTTAAAAAAAAATGAAATGCAGGTTTCTATCCTTATCTGAGTATCAGTGACCTTTCAAATAATCAAACTCTTGGCTCTAAGCCGTATATTTTTTCCTAAAGAGAAAAAGAGTCATCCAGTAGTAATTTTCCAGACTGTCTTCACAGCTCTTGAATATGTGATAAGAGAATTCAAATAATAATAGCCAAGCATTGTTAGGCATTAAAAACAGGCATTATTAGAAGGAGTTTACATGCTTTAACTTAGTTAATCCTTTCCATGACCCTATGAAGTTGTACTGTTTTATTCTCATTTTACCAGTGAGGAAATGTAAAAGTAAGTATCTTAAGTATCTTGCCTAAGGTTAAAAGTATTGAAAGAGAAATGGGGGAAAATGGCTTCAGAGCCCATTTCTTAACTTAGTTTGCTATTAGCCTGCTGTGTTAGCAACGCAACATCATTTTAATAAAAAGGCAAATGTGTGGAAAATAAAATCAAAAGTTAAAAAAGGGAATATCATCAATTCATTTTCCATTATATCAAGATAGAGGATCAAAATAAGTAAAATAGTTAAGCCTATACAGAAGATTATTGCTTTTCAAAATCAAGACATAAAAAAATAGGAAAGATTAAACAGGATTTAAAAAATATTGAATGTGTTTGTGGGTGGGAAAGTACACTTTAGAAGAGATTCTGTAAAAGTGAACTAAACACAATGTTTATGTTCTATAAAAAGAACTATGTCTTTAAAGAACTTAGAATAAGAAGGCAGAAGGGATTAACCTTCTTCCTTAATCACAAACTTTGTATTTTGGCTAGAATTACAGAATATTAATTCCTAAAATTAGAAACATCATTAGGACATAAAATTTAAATGTTATAGCTTTTATATATTAAAGTGCATTTCTTTTTATTCAGATAAACTTATTAATGGCCACTGGAAATGGCTGGAACTTTTTTTAAAACTAAAGGATTACCTGACATAAATTAAAATCACTGAGTTCATGTTTATTTGGTTGAAACAAAATTATTTGTAGGATGATATACAGTCCATTTAACTTCAAATCTCATCAAGCATCTTGGGTTATTGAAAATTAGTACCTTGCACTTTTCGACTTCTTCCTCAATTTTCTCAACAATAGCTGCATCCAGAATTTGTAAATCACAAGAAGAACGAGACAAAGTACTGACAGGATGTCCCTTTAGCCAAGTAATAATTTCTTGAACTTTCTCAGCACTACATTAAAAACAATAATTTTTTCACAATGATTAAAACTTTGAGGTTTTATACAAAAGGCCTAATATAAATTTCCTGAGGGCTGTGAATTATAAAAGACATAAAATACATAAATAATAATTAATCACTAAACATTTTAATTGGGACTAGTTATAAATCTAATGTGAACATGGACATATTACTTCTCAGTAACTTAAAAAAACCCACAAAATTAGTTTAAAAGTACTTTACTGATATAAGTGAAATAGATTATATGAAGATCTTAAAGCAAATATATATATATGAAATTATATATATATGAAATTATATATATATATATAAAACCCTCCTCACAAAAGTAATATAAATTCTTGATAAACTAGCTACTGTACCTTTCACTGGAACACTAAGCTGAACTATGAGCCAATAAATACCACAAATTTTGCTTACCCGTTCTCATTTTCTCCAGGCCAAATGTCATCTTCATAGAATACATCCTCTTGGCTATTTTTGGCTATATAACTAAATAGTTCTGGAGCTCTAGCCAAACAAACAAAAATACTGCTTAGAAAATATATATGGCTAACTTCACATAAACTTCCCCATCAAATAATTCTGGATCCCAAGGGGACATATAAAACATATTGAGGACTGATTGTAACACACAGAGTATTAATAAGGGATAGAGACTAAATGATTTGAAAGTATTCACAGGCCCTCAAAAAACTTCCAGTAGCTGAGGGAGAAATGATTCAATTCATAAACTGTAATAAACTTTAATTACTTATTCAATTACTAACTCTAATCGTTCTCAGATTATAATGATAGGTGATAAATGGACAAAAATAATACCTACATGTTCATTTTCTAATTTTCACAACTAAACTGGAGCATCCCACAATAAAGAAAATTAAAATACACTAGAAGTTTCTTTTGATATTCCTCAAAACTCCACTGCTTCCTGAATAGTGCAGGACTTTTAAATACACATAGCAGATTGAACATATGTGCTTAATTTTTTGCTTACTTCCCAACCTACTAAAAATAGAGTAAAGTATAAAATAGGGCATAGACCCAGAAAGGCATGAAAAGAGAGGTGGTGAGTCTGATACCATATATGAGTTGTTAACAAAATTTTAGAAACTGGAAACTGGATGGGTAAGCATTAACTGGTTTGAAAGATAGGAAAAAGCTGCACCCTAAGCAACCAGGGTGGGAAGTCAACAACAAACAAGATAATTTAAACTGTGCAAGTCTGCAAAAGCGCAGGAATTACGGGCTCCAGGTACATTTTAATGCCGTAGTATGGGCAGGGTGAAGTTTACTAAGCTTTAGTTGAAAATTTTGTATAATAAGCAGTTGGATGATCATGTGCTTACTCACCTTCACCCCAGCATAAGACCTGTCTGTAGTTTATCTTTTGGAGAGGGTGAACAGGGGATGCTCTAGCTTTAGGTATACAAGGCACAGGGAGACGGGTGGGTAGGGCATGAAGAGATGATAGGGAATTAATGAAAGTGTAACTACTACATAACATGTTGCTAGGAAGCAGGCTAGGAAGTGTAACTTCTTTAGGAAGCACACTCTTGAGATGAAAGTAAGCAAGAAGAAAGTTTATCAGAGAGCTCTTGTGGAATCAAAACATGTAGAAGGGAAGGAAAAAAGGAAGGAAGCAGAATTGGGCAGAGGGAGAAGTTGGGTTGTGATCCACTGTTAATGAACTCCTTGGTCAGTCCTACAGAGATCTCAAACTAGGATGGCCCTTCAGATTTATCCTGAACTGGGGCAATCAGGTCGGCTGGGTCTTTCACACCTCCTTGCAGATCAGGTGTTGGATCTGCGGCTGTTGTGGGAAGGGGATATAACTTTAGGTGAGGCAGTTCTCTTCTGCAAGGCAATTCCTGAAGAGAGCTCACAGCTGAGGGCTGTCAGACAACAGCATTTAAGCTGCCATAGAAATAAGTCCTTTAAAGGGAGGTTTGGAGGGCATTTCATAGTATCCATTACATAATAAGTTCCCTTTACCTTGGTTAATATCCAAAACACTGGAAGTCAGTTTTGTTCCTCACATCTGTCCTCCAAGGAAAAGGCTGGAGGCTACCTCTCTAGGAAGACTAGCCAGCCTGAGAGAAAATATACACATACAGGTAGTGATAGCTGGAGGTTCTTTGCAGAAATAGCAAAGTCCCACCTGACAAGCCCCACCAGAGCACACTAAATTTCCAATCAGCTTTTTAGTGCCTCATTCTTAAATATGATTAGACACCAAAGAACCACCAGACAAGTAAAAAAAAAAAAAAAAAACAACAAAACTTTAATGTGAAAGGTGCAATGAAATCAAACAGAAAAAAAAGAGCAATGTGGAGAAAACAGAAAATATAGAGAAGAAAAACGATCTTCAGAGAAAGAGACACTATAAAAAAGGAATGTCAGAGAAAAAGGACACACTTTTAGAAATTAAAAATGATTAAATCAAATAAAAATAAAAATGATATAAGTTGAAGAAATCTCCCACAGAGTAGAACAGAAGTGTAACAATATAGAAAATGGGTGAGAAGAGATAAGAAAATAAAGAGGATTAATCCAGGTCTATCATCTAACAGAAGTCTCAGAAAGACAGAACAGAAAAAAAGGAGAGGAGGAAATTATCAAAGAAATAATACAAGAAGTTTTCTCAGAATGGAAGGTCATCAGTTTTAAGTGTGAAAGGACTGAATAGCCAAAGGAAAGAAAGAAGACCCATACTAAGGCACACGTCATCACATTATTAAAACAGCACTGGTAAAGGGAAGATTCTGAAAAGATTTCAGAAAATGAAAACGGATCACACACAAAGATTCCGAAATCACAATGGCACAGGACTTCTCACCAGCAAAGGAAACAAAAAGAGAATAGAGCAGTACTTTTCAAATTCTGAGGGAAAATAATCTCCAATTTAGGATTCTACACCCAGGCCAGCTATCAATCAACCCTGGTCAGGGAAGAATAAAGACATTTCCAGACACACAAGCTCTCTCAGGAAGCTACCAGATTAAGTGCTCCATCAAACTGGAGACATAAAACAGAAAAAGGTATGAAAGCCAGGAAATAAAGGAATCCTACAAAGCAGAATGGTGAAGGGAATTCCTAGACAGTAGAGAGAAGCTCTAGAATGAGAGCTGTGTAATAGCCCTAGAAAACAATTAGTTTACACTGAAGCAGGAAGACAGAAGGTTTCAAGGAGGAAGTCTATAAGAAAAAAAATGGAACTGAGAGATCTCCTGATCTGTTTGACTATATTAAGTCTTTCAGCTATGACAAAGAGTTTAGGGCTGAATTAGTTATATGAATATAGACAATAAGCAAATGATTAAACAAGAGGGGGAAAACAAAAATGTGTACAGAAAGGAAATGCAACCATAATACTCTACAGGGTCCACCTGTGACCATTTACATTATCTCAATCAGGTAAACCTTAAATACAGATTTAATACAACTATAATGAAAGGGGAAATACACACACATGTGTGTGTAATGTGCAGGAAGGTGAGGAAATAGAAAGGGTAGGTAGCAGAAGAGAGCTAAAGCTTCATCTTTCATGGTATGAAATCAATGCATATGTCAAGTTGAAAAATAATGAAAAAGTAGGATAAATACAACATTTGAAAGAAATATGAAAGTGAACAAAAGAAATAAATTTTCAGATGGTAATATAGGATTGAATTACGTTCCTTCCCAAAAAAGACAGATTGAAGTCCCACTCCTACTACTTTCAGAATGTGACTTTATTTGAAAATAAGGTTTTTATTGAGGTTATAAAATAAAAATGAGGCCTTTAGGGTGGGCCCTAATCTAACATGATTTTTCTATCTTTATGAAGTGTCTTTATGAAAAGAAGAAATTTGGACACAGAGATAGGCATTAACAGAGAAAAGATCATGTGAAGATGTACAGGGAGAACACGGGAAGGTTGAGGACTGGAGTTAAGAACAAATGTGTGAGGCCACAAGAGGCTAGCAAAGAGGCATGGAATGGTTCCTTTCCTATCATCTTCAAAGGAAGCACATCCCTACCAAACACCTTGGTTTTGGACTTCTGGTCTCCAGAATTGTGAGACAATAAATTTCTGTTGTTTTAAGCCATCCAGTTTGTGCTACTTCATTATGGCAGCCCTAGTAAACTAAGAGGATCCTCAAATACAAGGTTAGAAACCAGTAGAACAAAGGAATGAATATTCAATTGTGAATGAGAAGTAAACGTTTTCCCTATAAATCTTTGTCACTGAGTAACTCAGTTAATCTCAGTACACAGTTTTCTCATTTTTATAATGAGGAGCTGAGATTTATTGATTTCTTAGACCATTTCAGCATAAAATTCAATAATTTTAGGACAGTAACCTATTATTTGGTTGGAGTTTTAAGATTCAGAAAATCCACTGTGTGAAGAGTTGTTTTGTTTATCCATACCAATCCTCTTACTACTTAGACATGCAAAGTAGTGAATAATTTATGATAGCAAGTTAAGGAAAATTTTCATTAAAAGGAGGCCAAGGGGCACCTGGCTGGCTTAGTTGGTGGAGAGTGCAACTCTTGATCTCAGGGTTGTAGGTTCAAGCCCCATACTGAGTATAGAGATTACTTAAAAAATAAATAAATAAATAAATAAAAATTAAAAATTAAAAAAGATAAAAGGAGGCCAATTCTCATCTTTTTTTCATTTCTGAAACAAATAATACATTATATGTTAAAAAAAAAAAGAAGATAGCAGGAAGGGAAAAATGAATGGGGGGAAATCGCAGGGGGAGATGAACCATGAGAGACTATGGACTCTAAAAAAAAAAATGAGGGTTCTAGAGGGGATGGGTTAGCCTGGTGATGGGTATTAAAGAGGGCACGTTACTGAATAGAGCACTGGGTGTCATACGCAAACAATGAATCATGGAACACTACATCAAAAATTAATGATGTAATGTATGGTGATTAACATAACATAATAAAAAATAAATAATATACAGTATTTTTCTATTTTCTTTTAGCTAATAGCTATGATGCTCCATGATATAAAATTAAGTTTACATGTAATATGTCACATTATTTACCAAAGGAAACATTTTTTTGTCTAAAATTGGTATCAGCAAAAGCAAAATAGTTATTACATTCCACATTTTTGGGATGCTTAGTAGAATCTTGTTAGGCACTTACCTCTCTAAGTACTCTGCAAGAAGCTGTTCTGCTGCAGATGAATACATCCACTCACTTCCAACTTTCTTGGTATATCCAGGTACCTCCTCATTTTTTTTGTTGAATTTGAGATTCAAACCCACATTTGCTTTATGGTCTCCATGAGGGCTGAATTTAAATCACACACACACACACACACACACACACACGTTTTAAAATTTTGTTCAAAGAATACAAAAAGTTTTGCTTTCAAAAAATTCTTAGAAAAATTTAGTTTTGATTGTTCTATAGTTTTCATGGTTATTTCCAAAGTAGCAGTAAGGCTTTGAAACCCAAGTTAACAAATCATATAAATAGGTTCTGTATCTAGAGAAGAGAATGAAATAAGAAAATGCAGGAAATATATTATTGAGATTCACACACACCTTCTGATACCTTTTTTCAAGGTTCAATTTGTTAGCTGCTAAAAATAGGAACTGTCTTTCCAAACACCTAAAACATGTCCCATTTAGATGAAAGATCACCATCAGAGGAATTTATGCATAATTTTTAAAGAAAATTCAGAGCAATTAATAAAAGAAAATACTAAAATATTAACGTTTATCTTTATCATTTAATTTTTTCTGCCACTTTAAATACATTTCTCTAACATAAACTTACTTTCTCCTAGATCCTCTTCCAATAAAAATACTTCCTGTAAACCTTGAAACAAGGTATCCACTCACTCCAAGACGACTGGCCAACACATATCCTGGGTTGTACTTTATAGAATATTTCTTTAAATATAAAAACAAAAAGGTCAATTATGGAAACACAAAGCATCAAATGTTATTTCTTTACCTTTAAAATCTGGAGATAATCAAGACATCACTAACCATTGGAATGTGGCAATATAAGGATTCTCAAAAGTAAGTGATCCATTTCCCTTTTTTTTTTTTTTTGAAAGGATCTGTAGGCAGAATTTTTCTGCTCCTCTCTCTCCTTAAAGGACAGAATTCCCAAGGATGGATGAAAGGGGGAGGAAATATACAATTTGTGAAACTGTCTCAAGAAATAAAGTCTACTGTAAGTCTAAATGGCAAACTCTGCAGGCAAGAACTATTTTTAAACATTAATTTTCATATTCCAAGTAAGCATTAGTAAAGTACTGGGACATAATGAGGCCTTGATGATTATTACATTGAACTAAAACATGAGTATGTCATCAAAACAGTTGCTACTGAGCAAAATTAAAAATGTTCTTCATATATGAATATAAGTAATATTCATTTTCCCTTATATTTACTATCATATGAAAGTAAGAAGTATGTATAGGCTTATAGTTAATACAGTCAAAGAAATATAACCTTAATTTGTGTACTTAAGGGAAGAAACTATGAAGATTAAAAAAAATATATCATATCATATAATTTTTAGCCAGGAAGCAAATTATAAATCCAGTACCAAAAAGGGTAAGCTACCATATAACCCTAACATAATGTACATAATAATGACACACATTTATTTTATATGGATTTCATATACTATATTCATATGAATGTATATAAATATAATACATATTTATATGAATTATATGCATATTTTATATGTCTACAATAACCCCCAAATAAGTAAATTTTTTTAGCTGCATGGAATATATAAATTCATTATTAAAATATGTTAATATCCTAGTAAAGAATGCAATATAGTTTTTCCATCAAGAGTATTATTAGGTTTAGAAATAATACAGACAAATCAAATATGCTTTCCAGAATAGATAGGAAGAAATAAGGTAGTAGTTCTCTATCACAGGTAGCATCACCTATTTTTCTACTAAGCATCTGGAAATGTATAGGGGCACATCATTCAGTTATTGGCATGGGCTACTACCTCTTCGTGTTCAGGGGACAAAGATGCCAACTATGCTGTCATATATAGGACAGTCTTATTTTACACATTGTTGTCCTATCCAAAATACCAATGGTATTCCTTTTGAGAAGTATTTGGTTATGGTATAATTAAAATTGATGAAGACCATCACAAATATTCTAGAAAATGTAAAATAAAAAGCAGAGAACATTGGAGTAGAGAAAGAAGGCTTGAGTAAAAGTTAAAGAAAGTATGTAAAGAGAAAGAGAGCATAGTGGAGAAGGCATGCCTAGCAACACTGTACGTTGGAGATGGGTAGGCTCATTCAGATCTAGAAAAAGCTAGGGATGAAGGAACATAAATAAGTTGTTCTACCTCCACTAACTCCCAGAACAGAGAGCTCCAGCATCTTAATCAAATGGGACACTCTTCTGGTTTCCTGACTGTGCTTTCTGAATTCTTTCTCCAAAAGACACCTGATGGTAAGAATTTAGGGACTTGTCTGCCTTCCATAAAGTTTCTTCAAGTATATGCTGATGTTCAATGCCTTGAGTTCATTTTACAGGATATAAAGCTTTAGAATTTACAATTAGAGAGAATAAAAGTGTAAGTATCAATAGCTGGCTGATTGTGAATTAATTTCAGTCAAATTAATTATCTAGTTAATCAATAAGAATATACAACAGATATCAGAATCCTCCTCCTATTGTAATAGGGAAAAATAAAAGGAGGTCAGTGAACATCTTTGGAGAAAAAGGTCCTAAAAAAGGATGCTGTGAATTTAAAGGCAGTTTCCCAATTTTTTCTAGTGATTGTTCATCTTTAGCTTCCATTGCAGAAAGGCCATTACTTGTAACTAAAAATGTAGGCATTGATTATGAAAAGTTTATTTAAAAAAAATCTAAATCTATTCTCAGAGGGTGGGCTAAAAAATGTGCCCCTTCTTAAGCTTGAACATGATAACCCATAAAAACTATTATAGATTAATAATGGGATTTCAGTGATTTTTCTCCCCTGAACATTTTTTTTTTAGATTTTTATTTTTATTTATTTGAGAGAGAGAGAGAGCGCGCGCAAGCAGGGGTAGTGGCAGAGGGAGAGGGAGAAGCACGCTTCCCGCTGAGCAGGGAGCCAGATACGGGGCTCAGGGATCGATCCCAGGACTCTGGGATCATGACCTGAGCCACCCAGGCGCCCCTCCCCTGAACATTTGCATGAAGTTTGAGCACAGATTCCCCACACTCATTTTTAAATACTAGATGCAACTGTGAGATAATTTAATCAGTATTAAATAAAAATATTTATAATATATTCAGAGGAGGTGATAAAAATATGCTTCTAACACTTTTAAAGTTTATCAGTTCTAAATTAAGCAATATGGACTATGGTACTCACATGCTGGTTCTGTATTAAAGCATCAAGATTGGGTTCACATGGAATGCTGAAAACCACACGAATCCTACCTTCTGTAATCACATCCCCTGAATCTTGAACCTTGGAGGGAAAAAGAAAATCACAGTATGTTTTAGTCTCTTTCACATTTTATTTACTTTTCTACTTATTTGAACAGTGTTTATTTCTGAAATACAGTAAGACAGTAAAGTTGGATACTGGAGATTCACTTAGAAATTATAAATGAATGTGATTATATTATAAATTTGAGTCATTGTACATTGCTTTAATAGCTGTTAGCAAATAATTTTAAATTACCAAAAAGCTGCAAACACAAAAGCAGGTCACTTATAAAACATTCACCTAGATGTTAACATTTTACTCCATCTGCTTCAACATTTATACTCTGTGTATTTACATATACATAATTATTTTTTTGAACTTTTTGAGGGTATATTACATATATCATGTCCCTTACCTTTTTTTTATTCTTATGTTAATCCCCATACATTACATCATTAGTTTTAGATGAAGTGTTCCATGATTCATTGTTTGTGCATAACACCCAGTGCTCCATGCAGAATGTGCCCTCCTCAATACCCACCACCAGGCTAACCCATCCTCCCACCCCCCTCCCCTCTAGAACCCTGTTTGTTTTTCAGAGTCCATCGTCTCTCATGGTTCGTCTACCCCTCCGACTTCCCCCGCTTCATTCTTCCCCTCCCGCTACCTTCTTCTTCCTCTTTTTTTTTTTTTCTTAACATATATTGCATTATTTGTTTCAGAGGTACAGATCTGAGATTCAACAGTCTTGCACAATTCACAGCGCTTACCAGAGCACATACCCTCCCCAGTGTCTATCACCCAGTCACCCCATCCCTCCCACCCCACCCCCCACTCCAGCAACCCTCAGTTTGTTTCCTGCAATTAAGAATTCCTCGTATCAGTGAGATCATATGATACATGTCTTTCTCTGTTTGTCATGTCCCTTACCTTTTAATATTTTGGTGTATATTTCCTAAGAAGAAGGATATTTTATTACATAACCACAGTACAGTTACTAAGTATATTAATTTACATTGATAAAATACTTCAATCAACTGTCCATATTCCAATTTTGTCACAGTTGACCTAAAATTGTTCCTATATTATAATAAAACCCTTTTCCCCCTCTACTACAGAAACTAGGCTAGGATCAGACATTGCATTTAGTTGTCATAGCTCTAGCCTCCTTAAATCTAGACTATATCCAAAGTGTTCGTCTTTTATAACATTGACATTTTTGAAGAATAAGGTCATTCTTCCCTCTTCATCCTGCCTTTAAAAACAAAAGTTCCTCATTTTGGATTTGTCTGATGCTTCCTTATGATTAAGTTAAACTCATATATTCCCAGCCAGAATAGTGCATGGGTGATGTGTCCTTCTTAGGTATCACATATGGAGGTACATGATATTGCTCAATTTCTTCACTGTCCAGTTAGGTTTTTTTCCTCTTACAACTAACTAATGGTCTGTAGGAAGACACTTTCTAAGGCCATGAAAATATCCTACTCAGATAAAAAATTCCCCCTAGATTTAGTTTCCAATGATGATTGTTGCTTGACTCAATCTTTATCGTAATGCTTATAAAATGACAGTTTTCCAACTCTAGCACTCTCTCCATTTACCTTTGACAGGATACTATAAGCAAGAGCCCTTCCTTTCCCTTTTACTTATTTTTTATCACTATGGAATCATTAATTCCTATCCCCCCCCCAATGGTTTATAATCCATTACTGTACTTTATTATTTTGGTACTCAAACTGTCCCAGATTTGGCCAGTTTGGTAGGAGCCCCTTTAAACAGGTTTCTGTGTTTGTGATATGGTCCCATCACTCTTTTGAGCACTTCCTTACTTTCTGGCATAACAAGTGGTTCCAGGCTTATCCTGTACCTACCCTGCCCCAGCCCTGTAATGGGCCATTTCTCTGAGAAGCTTTCAGTGGAGTATGTTATTAGAGGTCAAACCTGCAGATTATATGGTGTTCACTGTTACCGAAGTATCTTGGCTTCTTATCCTTTTGAGCAAACAGAGGTAAAAAATATGTGTATGTACAGGCATATATGCATTCATACACATACAAATATACATATATATCCATACACATGTGCCTATATACATATATGTATACACATGATATTTTAAAAATCATGAGCTCACATTAATACCTTCAATTCTAATCTGTCCCCACAGATTCCTCCTTGCATTCTTCCATTTCATATTTACATGTATCTTTTTCCATGTGAGAACTGGAGTTCCTCAAATATCAACTCATTTACAAGTTCATCAACCCAATAATACAACTAAAATAATTTCATAATTTCTTCATCCACACTACCATAATGAATAAACCTGCTAAATAAGAGATTAGGATTTGAATTCTTTTTCCCCTGCCTCCTGACCCCAACCTGCTCAAGACGAAAGATATATAGTCAAATACTGTGTTCGTAAGTTAGACAAATGAATCTTTTCCCCTTCAGTATTACGTTTTATCTTATACCTAAGTGAAGAGAAGTTAAATAACTGTATTAACTTAAAACTAGAAAGAAATTTAATTAGTAACAATAACAGGAACTAACTTCTCCAGCGCAGCCGTAATAGGGGGTTCCCAGCATAAAGACCATACTTCTAGGAGGAAACAAGTCATCCAATGTTTTGATATTGGAGAAACGGGAGTCAAAAGCTCGGATGTCCTATATAGAATGAAATATAAAAGCAAATTATCACAGTCAAAATTTCTATGGATTGCACATCAAGTTTTTCTTCCTCTGGGGTTATTACTATGCTGTGTGCAGATGTGAAGTGTAAAGATTTTCTACGTTAACAATACTAGTAGCTAAAATTAATTGACTTTATATGCCATTCTTCTTGGTACTGCATACATTTATTAGTTCATTTCATCCTCAAGACAACCCTCTATAGCACAGATCATTATTAGCCTCACTTTACACAGGGGGAAACTAAGGCATAGAAAGGCGATGAAATCTCGCCCAAGGTCATACAGCTAAAAAGTCAACTCAGGCAGTCTGTGCTTTTAATCACTACACTATACTGTTTCCCAAAATTACAGGATCAATACATACTTTAAAAAAATTTTGTCTCCTTATCACACCCAAAATTACAAACACAGAAGCAAATGCTTTTATTTATTTATTTACTGATTTATTTAAGGCAAACATTTTTTGGAGAATAAAACTCTAAAATTGCAGGCTGTTAGGCTAATGCTGGGCTTTTTCATTAGAGATTAAGTTTAAAAAATAAATAAAAAAAGACAAGTTCCCTAATCATACATAGAGTGAGTGAGCATATAATAATCCTTTTAAAGACTACAGTTTTTGTGGTGGTTCAAGATGGCGGCACAGGAAGATCCTCAACTCCTCTCCTCCCATGGATACACCAAATCTTCAGCTATATATGGAACAATTAGTTCCCTCTTAAAAAGACCTGAAAACTAGTTGAACAGCAACTCCACAATAAAAGACTAAAAGGTACACATCGATATGGGTAGGAGAGGCAGAGACATACTCTTGCCAAAAACCCCACCCCTGATGTGGAGACCCACAATCAGGAGAGATCTCCTTCTTGAGGAGCAAGGGGTTTGTGTTCCACATCAGGCACTCCAACCCTTGGAAACTGCACTGGAGAGACAGGCCGCCAAAGTACCTGGCTTTGAAAACCAATGGGGCTTATGTCCAGGAGACCCAAAAGGCTGTAGGGAATGGAGATTCTACTCTTATAAAGGGCTTGTGTGCAGACTCACCAGCCCTGAGATCCAGGGTAAAAGCAGCAGTCTGAAAGTGCCTAGACCATATGCAGAAAACATTCATTTGCTAATCTTAAAGTGTTTGCCAGAGGGACAGGGGACTGTTGGGACTTTCTCTGGGCACAGAAGTGCTGGCAGGTGCCATTTTTTGTGTTCTTCCTTTATTTTGCTAGCATTGGCAGGTGTGTCCTGCTGAAGCTGGCAGGCACACCCCACCCCCATGTATATATGTGGTCTCTCTCTCTCTACACACACACATACACACATACACTGGGATACTACTCAGCCATAAAAAATGATGAAAATCTTGCCATTTGCAACAACATGGATGGACATGAGGGTATTATGCTAAGTAAGGTAAGACAGAGAAAGACAAATATATGACTTCAGTTAATATGGAATTTAAAAAAAAACAAACAAATAAAACAAAACACAACACAAGTAACAGATACAGAGAAAAGACTGGTGGCTGCCAGAGGGAAGGGGTTTGGGGAAATGTGTGAAATGGGTGAAGGGGCTTAAGGGGTACAAACTTAGAGTTATAAAATAAATAAATCATTGGGATGTAATAATGTACAGCGTGGTGACTTTAGTCAATAATAATGCACTGCATATTTTAAAGTTGTAAAACAGTAAATCTTAACAGTTCTCGTCATAAGAAAAAAATTTTGTAACTTTGGTGACAGATGGTAACTAAACTTATATTGGTGATCATTTGGCAGTGTATACAAATATTGAATCATTTTGTACACTTCGAAACCAATATGTCAATTATACATAAATTAAAAAAAGACTACAGTTTTTTCAGATTATATTAAATCATAATCTCCATTATGCATTGCTGCATGTCTTCTATTTATAAATAAATATTAAATATGATATAGTCTTTTCTTTATACAGTGGGAGTAGTGTACATTAAGATATAATTGAATTTTTTTTTTTTTTTAAGATTTTATTTATTTGACAGAGAGAGAACACAAGCAGGGGGAGTGGGAGAGGGAGAATCAGGCTTCCTGCGGAGCAGGGAGCCCGATGCGGGGCTGGATCCCATGACCCTGGGACCACGACCTGAGCCGAAGGCAGAAGCTTAATGACTGAGCCACCCAGGCGCCCTGATATAATTGAGATTTGATGGACACTTACCTTTACAATAGTTTGATAAACAAAAGGAAGAACTTGTTTTGACCATTGTTTCTCTAGACGAACTTCACCATTTTGATTTATTTGGTATTTACGACCTGTGAGTAACTGAGCATATACAACTGCAGATGTTTCATTTATTATTATTCCTTTTCTTCTTAGGTAGCTAAAAGAAAGAATAAAAAATAAATGTAGATATGTATGAGTATGTATATATTTTAGGATGATAAACTACCAACTCATAATCAAATATTTAAATAAAATTTAAATAAATATGCTAGCAGTTCTGAGTACCTAACTTAAAATTTTTTTGCATTAGTTTTTTACTGTATGGATACCTCTCCTAATGCCTGTGTGATTAAGTGAGAACTCGTTTAAGTGCTATAAGAAATTCTCGTGTTTCATAATCACTAGGATGGGGATAACAAAAAAAAAAGTGAAAATAACAAGTGTTGGAAAAGATGTGGAGAAACCAAAACACTTGTACATTGCTGGTGGGAATGCAAAATGGTGCACTCACTGTGAAAAGCAGTTTAGCAGTTCTTCAAAAAGTCTAGCAATTCCACTTCTAGGTATTACACAAAGAACTGGAAAGGTACTCAAACAAATATTTATAAAATGAATGTGCATAGCAGCATTACTCACAATAGCAAAAAGGTGGAAAGAACCCAAATGTCTTCCAAGAGATGACTGGATAAACAAAATGTGGTATATTCATACAATAAAATATTTGGCCATAAAAAGAAAGAAGCTCTGATACATGTTACAATGTGTATGAACCTAAAAAATATGCTAAGTGTAAGAAGTTAGACACGAAAGGCCACATATTATATAGGATTCCATTTCTGTAAAACATACAGAATAGGTGAATCCAGAAAGACAAAAAGAGGTTAACAGGGGCATTCAGTGGGCCTTTGCAATCTCAAGTAGGGGTCAGCAAACTACGGTTATGAGACAAAACTAGACTGACTCCAGTTCTTGTAAATAAAATTTTACTGAAACATAGTCATCAACTTATTTACTGTCTATGATGGCTTTTGTGTTACAACAGCATAGTTGAGTGGTTGTGACAAACACTGTAAGGTCTACAAAGCCTAAGATATTTACTCTCTGGCCTCTACAGAAAAAACCTGCCGACCTCTGATCTAAAGATACAATCATTCTTCATCCAAGGAATATTTTTCTATCTCCTTTCCATTTTCTCTTTCTAGAACTTCTATTAGAGAAATATTAGAAATTGACTATACTCTTTTCATCTCTTTGTGCTTTTGTATTATGTGCTAAAGGAATCCCTCAGCTTTTATCTTTTAACTCACTGACTGAATTTTCAGTATGCCTATATTACTATTCAGACCATCTACTGAGCTCATTATATCATAATTTAAATTTTTGTATTTGTGTTTTTATATAAATATATGTATTATAAAATATATACTATATAGTATATAGATGAATTACATTATATATATATACATATATATGTATATATATGTTTTTTTCATAGCAGTTGATACTTTTATGTTGTTCTCAATGGTAGCCTTGGTCTGAAATAAGCAACACCATCTTAAAAAAGAAACAGAAGTTTTCCAACAAATTTTTGAAATGTAGCATTCTGCTACCATTTTCTTTCTTTCTTTTTTTTTTTAAAGATTTATTTATTTATTTGTCAGAGAGAGAGAGAGCACAAAAGGGGGGAGTGGCAGGCAGAGGGAGAAACAGTCTTTGCTGAGGAAGGAGCCTGATGCGGGACTTGATCCCAGGACCCTGGGATCATGACCTGAGCTGAAGGCAGACACTTAACTGACTGAGCCACCCAGGTGCCCTCTACTACCATTTTCTAAAAATTCAATGGGAAAACCTACTACTTTCACTCAAAAGTTATTTAGCCAGTAATCTTGCTACCAATATGACAAAGATATCTCAAGAAAGGAAAATTATCTGCTAATCTTTCTCATGAAAATAAAAGCAAAAATCCTAAACAAAATGTAACAAATCGAATCTAATTACATATAAAAAGGATAATATATCATAGTCTAATAGGATTTACTCCAGGAATTCAGGGATAGATTTATATTTGAAATTCAATCAATATCATTCACCAGATGAAAAAAAGAAAAATCATATGGTCATTTTGACAGATGCAGAAAAAAATTGACAAAATCAGTACTGATTAATGATAAAAACTCTCAACCAACTAGGAATAGAAGGAAATTTCCTTTATCTGATAAAGAATATTGATTAAAAAAAAAACACCTCTATGGCAATCATATTTAATAATGAATTATTTAAGACTTTTCTCTGAAATAATATCACAAATCAATAGTGAAAATTACAAATAAAAGACAGTAGGGCACCTGGGTGGCTCAGTGGGTTAAGCATCTGCCTTCAGCTCAGGTCATGATCCCTGGGTCCTGGGATTGAGCCCTGAGTCAGCTTCCTACTCAGCAGGGAGTCTGCTTCTCCCTCTCCCTCTGACTCTCCCCCCTGCTTGTGCCTGTGCTCATGCTCTCGTGCTCACTCGCTCTCTCTCTCTCTCAAATGAATAAATTAAAAAATCTTAAAAACAAAAACGAAAACAAATACGAGATAGGTAATCAACTCGGAAAAAGGGCAACAGGCATTGCACAAAAGACCACATTCAAATGCCTGAGAAATATGAAAGGATGCTCATCAAGGAAATGCAAATTAAACCAAAAGAAATATCACTATATTACAATGGCTAAAATGGAAGAGACAATAATAAGCACTGATGAGGGTAGAGATAAAAGAAATTCTTATAAATTGTTGGAAGAATGTAAATTGATACAATCACTTTGTAAATCTTTTTGGTGGTATCTACTAAAGCTGAGCTTAAGCATTATCCTATGAAGCAATAATTCCACTCATAATTATGTACCTAACAGTAATGCATACATATGTATTCACTAAAAGCCCCAAACAAGAAACAACTGCCTATCCAAAAAAGTATGGATAAATTGTGCTATATTCATACAATGTAATGTAATCATTAGTGAAAATGAACAAACTAAACTATAAGTAACAACACAGATGAATATTAAGAACCACAGTACTGAGGAAAAGAGGTCAGGTTCCAAAAGAATACATTATGTATGAATCAATTCATACAAAGCTCAAAATAGGAAAAACTAATCTCTAGAGTTATAAGATTTATTTATTTGAGAGAGAGAGTACATGAAAGTGCACGTGTGTATGGGGGGGGCAGGGGCAGAGGGAGACGGAGAGAAATTCTCAAGCAACCTCCCGGCTGAGCGTAGAGCCTGACCCGGGGCTAGATCCCAGGACCCTGAGATCATGACCAGAGCAAAACCAAGAGTCAGAGGCTTAACTGACTGAGTGACCCAGGCACCCCTCTCTATTTACTTTTACCTTACACTTTTATTGCTTTGGAGTCAGTGTTATAGTCAGTATTCTTTTTTTTTTTTTTAAACATCTGTGTTTATTTATTTAAAATATTTTATTTATTTATTTGACAGAGAGAGACACAGCAAGAGAGGGAACACAAGCAGGGGGAGTGGGAGAGGGAGAAGCAGGCTCCCCGCAAAGCCAGGGAACTTGATGCGGGGCTTGATCCCAGGACCCTGGGATCCTGACCTGAGCTGAAGGCAGACGCTTAACGACTGAGCCACCCAGGCGCCCCACCTGTGTTTATTTAAAGTAAACTCTACCCCCAGTGTGGGGCTCAAACTCACGACCTTGAGATTAGAGTCGCGTGCTCTACTGAGTAGCCAGGTGCCCCTAGTCTGTATTCTTTCTTTTTTAATTGAAGTATAATTGGGCATACAACATTATATTAGTGTTATTTTACTATATAGGGAGACTACAAAAATGGCACCTGCCAACTTTGGCACTAGCAAGGTAGAGGAAGAATGCAAAAATGGCACCTGTCAATGCCTCAGTCCCTGGAAAGAATTCCAACAGGCCCCTGTCCCTCCAACAGTTACCTAAGGTTAGCAAATCAATGTCCTTCCCATATGGTCTTGGCACTTTACAAACTTCAGCTTTTACCCTACCAGGGTCCTGGGATAATGGAGTCCACGTGGGAGCTCTTTAAGAGCAGAATCTCCATTTCCTACAGCTCTATGTTTCTCCTGGACACAAGCTCTATTGGTTTTCAAAGCCAGATGTTTTGGGGCTTGTCTCTCTAGTGCAGGTTCCAAGCGTTAAGGTAACTGATGTGGGGCATTAAATTTTTAAAGATACTTACTATATCTCTTCTTTTCTAAATTATAAACAAAACTATCCTTTAACTTTCTCTCATGTAAAATGAGAGTTAGTACTTAAAATATAATTCTGTATTTTAATAATTTATTAATAATTGGTGTTTATCACCAATCCTTTAGTAACCACATTTTTTTGGTTGATTCATCTCTTGCTTGTTTGAGGTACAAGGTTTTGGAACTCCAAATTATCTTCCAAGTGCATCATCTTCTCCATAGCATCCCATAAAGTACTTCCTTGTGTCTTTCTTCTTGTCTTCTTTCTCCAATTCCTAATCCCTTTCACTCCATTATATCCTCAATAGCAACCTCTTTAACTGAAGGTTTCATCAATTCTCTGTGTAGCCCTCTCAAGGAGTAGCTGTTTGTTTTCACACTGTATATGGGCTAGGAGAGGGTGTTGGTGTTCTTACAACCCACTGTGACATTCAAATCCTTCATAGTAAACTACTCTACTCTTTTCCATTCTACCCTTATGCCCACCATCTTCCAGAATGCCTTCAGTGTTTACATAAATAACTTACCTAAGACCTCAGGAATTTAGTTTCACAATCTCCTTATTGCCAATAACCTTTTTTTTCCATTCCACTTCAGCCATCTAATCCTATGGCTATGACTTGGGTCATGACAGCACCCATAATGGTTTCACCTCCAAAATCATTAATCCCAACATCTTATTGTCTAAAAATTTTTCCATCCAACTTGTTTGTTCAACCACTTTATGATTAACTTAATTTGGGATCTCCAATCCACTGACCCTTCTACTTTCTCTGAAACTATTAACTTAACCTTCTACTTTCTTTACTTCTCTTAATATCCCACTTAGATTCCATTGTCCACTATTTAGTAACATTCCCACCAATATCCTAACCTTCTTTGCCTCTTTGTCTTTTCATTATATCCATCTAGCAAAATCCAGTGCTGGTTAAATCTCTCTGCTTTTTCTAGGCCTGTAACTGATCAACTTCAAAAAGGGCCCTCAATATTGCCTAGAATTCAAACATGTTTTTCTGATCAATTGATACTCTTCCATTTTCCCCAAGGACTATTTCTTTTTAAAGTTTATTTATTTATGTAAGTAATCTCTACACCCAATATGGGGCTCGAACTCATGACCCCAAGATCAAGAGTCACACATTCTTCTGAATGAGCCAGCCAGTTGCTCCCCTACTATTTTCAAACCTCCTCTACTTTACTCAAATTTAAGACCAACCTCCCTTTCCCTGCCTCCATTCTCAATAGCTAAATTCAACATTCACTTTACAAAGAAAACAAAAGGCATCCAATGAGAGCTTCTCATCTGCCCCATGCCAAACACACATACCAACCTATATTTGTATACCATCCTGTTTAAAATGGAGGAACTATCTTTTATATTCTTTAAGAATCTATCTTGTTCCATCCTTCAAATATATTGTTTTCTTTCTTTTGAATATTGCACCTCTCTTCTCATTTGTTTTTACACATGATCCTATCTCTCTGAATAAACCAAACACAAAGTCCTTCTTCAGCTATGTCTTAATGGTAGTTTTCATCGGAAAGGAAATCTGTTACACAGGAATACAAAAGGTATGAACACTGTCAAATGTACTTAGTTAGAGGGTTTCTAAAAATAAAATCACATAATTTGGTACTCATGGAAATATGTCATATGTTACATTCACAAAAAAATGATGTACTGAACTTAGGAGAACATGTCTGGGTTAGTAAGATATATGGAGAGATAAGTGAAATAAGTAGTAGGTTCTACATTCTTGCTGTAGAAGTCTTAGAGTTAAGGAGGGTCTGCATAAGCATTACTCCTAATCATTAGAGCCATGAGATCCTCATGCTGATATAATGTGCAAAATCACAAGTAAAGTAAACCAAACCCTCAGGGGCAGAGTACGAGAGGCCTTGTGAATTTCACCTTAGAAGACAGATTATAGAAGAGCTGGGGAGGTGTAGGAGGAGGGGACAAAACGCGAGGTGATATGAGGGAGGAATATGGTGGTAAAAAAAAAAAAAGCAGTCTAAGAAAGTGGTAACCAGAATAAATAAACCTGCTTATGAATCCACATAGCCTTGTCTACCCTACTTGGTTAACAAGAGATCCTGAACTGGCAGGCACCAAAAATCATTCTTTTGTGTGAACCAGCATATATTGCCATCAACTTCAGCAGCAGTGTGCTGCTTTCATTGTTATCTCTGCTCTTTGTGGCCATCATAGAAGATCAAGTAGAACAAGGGGTCAAGAGTTTTTGGTTTACTTCACAACTGAAGTTTCAAGTCGTTTATTCCTATTATGTCTCCATTTCTGTTACTCTCAATCACTCCTCCACCCATACTAGTCTGGCTTGCAGCCCCACTGCTCAATCAGAATAGCTCTTGCTTAATCTTCTTCATAACATTTGACATGACTTATTCCCTTATTCTTCACTCTTTTTCTTTGATTTGCATGAGGTAGCTCTTTCCTGGCTGTTCTACCTCTCAGATTGCCTCGTTCTTTTTCCTTTGTTGCCTCATCTTCCTCATTAGGGTTCCTTTTTGGTTCCAACACTCGAGCCACATTGGTCATTATCATTAATGTTACACATGCTACTTTTCCACTTGCCATAGGGACTTTGTACGTACCTTTCTCTCATCCTGAAACATCCTCCCTTTTCACTCTTTGCCTAACTCCTACCCAGATACCAGTTTAATCAACATTTTCCTCTACTAAGTTTTCTCTAAGGCAAATGCCTCCTTAACTAAGTCTAACTCCTCTTTTATATGGTCTCAGAGAACTACTCCTTGATCGCTTCTCGGCCTTTTGGCTAAGATCAAGTGTACAGAACTACTCCTTGAAAGCAATTATCATAATTACAGTTTGATCAAAAATTCACACAAGATGGGGCACCTGGGTGGCTCAGTTAAATGTCTGACTCTTAGATTCGGCTCAGGTTCTGATCTCATGGCTCCTGAGATTGAGCCCTGCATTGGGCTCCACGCTCAGTGGGAGTTGGCTTGGATATTCTCTCCCTCTGCCCCTTCCCCCACTCACACATACGCTCTCTCTCTTTCAAATAAATAAATCTTAAAAAAAAAAATTCATACAAGACATTAATGCCCATTTCTCATCTACCAGCCGTAAGTTTCATGAGTGTAGGGACTGTGTGATTTAAAAAAAATTTTTTTTTTAATTTTATTATGTTATGTTAATCACCATACATTACATCATTAGTTTTTGATGTAGCGTTCCATGATTGTTTGCATATAACACCCAGTGCTCCATTCAGTACGTGCCCTCTTAAATACCCATCACCAGGCTAACCCATCCTCCCATGCCCCTCCCCTCTAGAACCCTCAGTTTGTTTCTCAGAGTCCATAGTCTCTCATGGCTCGCCTCCCCCTCTGATTCCCCCCTTCATTTTTTCCTTCCTGCTATGGGTGAGTGTGGACTGTGTGATTTTATTCACCATGGTATCTACAGTGCCAACTACTAAACCTAGCAAGTATCAATAATTGCTGAACACATGAACAAATGTCTAAACTCTTGTAGTATTCTGAAGAAGTTTCTTTTCAAAGGAGTTGAACAAAACAATCTCTGTTCACTTAAACAAATATATATTCATTGAGTGCTTTAGCATTAGCCAAGGAATGAGAACAGAGTAATAACAAAAAGAGATGTGGTCCCTCCCTTACGGAGCATACTATCTAAGGAAATGGTCATTAAAGTAATCACACAAATAAATTTATTATTGTGATTTTTATTTATGAACTATAAAATAAAATTCAGTATAGTATGAACTATGACAGGGATATCTAATTTGTACTGTCAGAAGGCAAAAATAGCTCTACCTCCCGAGAGCTACGTTTATCTCGTTTTAGGCTGGATTTTTTTTTTTTTAAAGATTTATTTATTTATTTGAGAGAGAGAGAAAGACAAAGTGTGTGCAGTGCAAGCAGGGGGAGGGGCAGGTGGAGAGGGAGAGAGAATCTCAAGCAGACTCCATGCTGAGTGCAGAGCCTGACATGGGCTCCATCTCACAACCCTGAGATCACAACCTGAGCCGAAACCAAGAGTTGGATGCTTAACTGACTACGCCATCCATCCTATGCTGGATGGTTTTTTATTGTCTTTTTACATTTTCCCTGTTTACTCATCTTTGAATAAGGATATTATAGCCTGGTATTGGCTCCAAAATTGTGTAAGAGGCATCTCCTTAAATTCCCCATTTACCAATGGATGTCATAGTTTTAACAGGAAGGGTAATGGATATACATTTCTAACACCATTCCATGTGCTATTGCCAGTCTCTATTATTCTGTTTTGGTTTAGAGAATTCTAGTACTTGGATGAAGAAAGGTGAGTCATGGTGGGATCATGGAGGAGGGCTAGCGTCTTAGTTATTTGGCTGGTATAGACCTAGCATTTCTGAATTCAGGGGCATAAGGGACTTAGGTGTAGGGAAGGTAGGAGAATGAGCAGGGAAGGTAGGAGAGTGAGCAGGTGAGGAACAGAGGAAAATTTTCCTTCCTATTTTCATTACTTACATGTGGCCAAGAAATTCAATGGCAACCTATTAACTATTATTAACTGTTATTCCTAGTATTATATGATTGTACCCTTTTTTGTACATCACGAAGTATTTTAGTGACAAACTGGGCAAGGCTATAATGGCTCCTAATCAGGTGTTATTTTAAACTAGAACTCATTGTTTTCTTTGGAACATAAAATGAAGATGTAGTCAGTATTCATAGTGATTACTATTTAAGCAGGAAATTAGCTTGAGAACAAGTACATTAGATCACATTCTAGTTCTATGACATTAAATACATTTATGACACTCACTATTCTGAAATTCCTTGTACTTCTTTTGTCCAGTTAGATTGTTCTTTGTCTCCAAGATGGACCACTTTAGATGGTGGGGCAGTTCTTCCCAAATAAAGCTTCTGTGTTCCTGGAGGTTCTTCCAAGTAAAATCTTAAAAATTAAAATAAAATTAAAATTATATTACCCACAAATTTATGGTTTAATATAGTGTTCTAGCAGTATAAGTCTTCAAAGTGGAAAGGTTTCTACATTGTATAACAGCACAAAACCAGGTGTCCTTTTTTTTTAACTGTAACATAAATTTTAGAACAAGGACTTGTAAAAATTTTCATTCAAATATAAAAATTTTATTTTCTCTCTCTTTTTTTTTTTTTTAATTTATTTGACACAGAGAGAGAGAGCACAAGTAGGCAGAGCAGCATGCAGAGGGAGAGGGAGAAGCAGGCTTTCAGCTGAGCGGGGAGCCCGATGTGGGGCTCGATGCCAGGACCCTGGGATCATGACCTGAGCCGAAGGCAGTTGCTTAACCAACTGAGCCACCCAGGCGCCCAAAAAATTTTATTTTCTCTTAAAAAAAAACTACATAATATAAATTTTTAAAGAATTAAAAAAATACGCTTAAATTCAATAAAGTATTTTTGCTAAAAAGTTTAACTCGATTCTGATCAAGCCATTATACCTAACTTCCAGTTGGCAAGAAATATATGGGATGGAGGACCAAGTTAAATGACACTAAGAGGAGACAACCAGGTAAATCCAGAATTCTACAAAATAATTGGTCTGGACTCTTCAAGAAAAGAGGCAGGGAAGTAAGCTTAGTCAGCCAGGTCCCAGGATATAAAGTCGACATATAGAAATCAATTGTATTTCTAGATACTAGCTGGGGAAACTAAAATTTAAAACACAGTATCATTTATAGTTGCTCCAAAATAATTTAAACACTTAGATGGAGTGATTCCTTCTACCTTATTTTTCAAAATTGTTATTTTTGTTCTTTGCCTTTCCATATAAATTTTAGAATACATTGTTCTGCATCTATAAAAATCTGGGAGAGATTTTGATAAGCGTTGCTTTAAACTTATAGATTTGGTATCTTCACTATGTTGAGTCTTTTGATCCAAACGGATCTCCATTTATCTCACCATTTATTTCAATCTTTCTTTCCTCAGTGTTTTGCTTTTTTCAGCATACAGATCCTATATGTAATTTGTTAGATTTATACCTAACATTGAGTCTTATATATAGCTACAGTAACAAGACAGGGTGGTACTGGCATAAAAACAGACATACAGATAAGTGGAACAAAATGGAAAAACCAGAAATAGACCCACACAAATATGCTCAACTGATTTTTTTTTTTTTAAAAGATTTTATGTATTTATTCATGAGAGACAGAGAGAGAGAGAGGCAGAGGAAGAAGCAGCCTCCCAAGGAGCAGGGAGCCCGATGCGGGACTCGATCCCAGGACCCTGGGATCATGACCTGAGCCAAAGGCAGACGCTTAACCATCTGAGCCACCCAGGCACCCGCTGCTCAACTGATTTTTGACAAAGGTGTAAAGGCAATCTAATGGAGGAAGGACAGTCTTTTCAACAAATGGTGCTGGAGCAACTGAACATTCATTCATAGGCAAATATATGAACCTTGACCTAAACCTCATACCTAATACAAAAATTAATTCACAATGGATCATGGATTTAAAGTAAAAGGATGAGGTAAAATTATAAGACTTTTTGAAGAAAATATAGGAGAAAAGCTATGGGACCTAGGGCTAGGCAGAGTTCTTATATCAAAAGTATGATCTGTAAAAGAAAAAAACTGATAAACTGGACTTCAATAAAAAGGGAGGGGAATTGAATTCTGATGATTAAAAAAAAGAAAAGAATTCTCAAGATTTCTTGATACCTCAACAAAAGCAGATACCCACAGAAGAAAAAAATTCATAATGGCACTGATCTCTCATCAACAAAATTATATGACAGAACACAACTGGAGTATGCTTGCAGAGAACTAAGGAAAAAGGATTGGGCCTCTAAAATTCTAAACCTATGTGTGAGGAAAACAAAAATGATCTCTTGGATATGTAATGGCTCAGAAAATGCAAATTTTCTCTGAAAAAAATTACTTTTAAAGGTTCTAGACACATGAAAAATAACAAAATAACAACAATCAGACTAAATTTACATGAAATAAAGATAAAAGATAACAAAGAATAAATTGTCTAAATAATCATTGACAAAATGATCGTGAACTTGAATAAAATAAATTATTTCTTAAATAGAAGCTATGTATTTTTAAAAACTGATGTATTATTTAAATGAAATCTGAGGAATGAGATCTTGCCATTTGCAACGACGTGGATGGAACTGGAGGCTGAGCGAAATAAGTCTATCAGAGAAAGACATGTATCATATAACCTCACTGATACGAGGAATTCTTAATCTCAGGAAACAAACGGAGGGTTGCTGGAGTCAGGGTGGGGGGTGGGTGGGAGGGATGGGATGGCTAGGTGATAGACATTGGGGAGGGTATGTGCTATGGTGAGTGCTGTGAATTGCGCAAGACTGTTGAATCACAGATCTGTACCTCTGAAACAAATAATGCAACATATGTTAAGAAAAAAAAAAAGAAGATAGCAGGAGGGGAAGAATGAATGGGGGGAAATCGGAGGGGGAGACGAACCACGAGAGACTATGGACTCTGAAAAACAAACTGAGGGTTCTAGAGGGGAGGGGGGTGGGAGGATGGGTTAGCCTGGTGATGGGTATTAAAGAGGGCATGTTCTGCATGGAGCACTGGGTGTTATGCACAATGAATCATGGAACACTATATCAAAAACTAATGATGTAATTATGCACAAACAATGAATCATGGAACACTTCATCTAAAACTAATGATGTAATGTATGGGGATTAACATAAGAATAAAAAAAAAACTAATGATGTAATATATGGTGATTAACATAACAATAAAAAATTTAAAAAAATAAATGAAATCTGGGAGGGGCATGGTAAAGGTCAGGTTATATATGCTATTCATTCTTGTTAGAGAAATATATTTGCTAAATAATAATAACTGCTAGCAAAAAATTAGGATATAGAACTTTCACATTATTAAAAGGAAAAGAAAGCAAAAGGGAAAAGATAAATGCATCTAAAATATTTCAGTGATGTACTATGGTTGAACATCGAGCGATGTGATTAGAAGACTTTTGTTTTCACTATAGAGTGTAAATATTTTTACAGTAATTATATCAGTTTTAAAAAGTATCATTAAAAGCCATCAAGTAAGCAAAACAAATATGAATTTAAAAAATATACATCAACTCTTACTTACTTAGTTTCTCCATCTGATATACCAACAACTCTAGCTTCTTCAAGATGAGGCCAATTAACAAAGACAGACTTTCCAAGCACTGATGAAGCTATATTTTCTACACTCTTAAAGTAAAAGCAGAAAAGTTCACTCATGTTTCAGGTCCAAGAGAAAAGTTTACAAAGGCAAAATTAAATAATTAAAAGCTGGCTGTGTTTATAAAGGTCTTTAAAATCAGTAAAAACCTCACCTTAATCATTAAAACAGATATAAATTACCATTTGTTCACTCAAGCCATTTATTCCCTACAGTTCCTGCTCTTCTCAACTTTACTCTCCAACTAATTATTCCACCCACTTGAATTCAGTTAGTTTTCTTAATTTGTCTTCTCTAAGTTGTACCTTTATTGCTAACTACTCTATTTCTTTCTAGTACGTTTCCCAGGATTTCTGTTTAGAGGTTTTTTTTTCCCCTTTCCCTTATTTTTTTATTAACATATAATGTATTATTTGTTTCAGGGTACAGGTCTGTGATTCATCAGTTTTATACAATTCAGAGTGCTCACCATAGCACATACCCTCCCCAGTGTCCATCACCCAGCCACCCCATCCCTCCCACCCCCCACCACACCAGCAACCCTCAGTTTGTTTCCTGAGATTAAGAATTCCTCCTATCAGTGAGATCATAGGATACTTGTCTCTCTCTGATTGACTTATTTCAGTTAGCATAATACCCTCTAGTTCCATCCACGTTGTTGCAAATGACAAGATTTCATTTTTTTGATGGCTGCATAATATTCCATTGTATATATATACCTCATCTTCTTTATCCATTCATCTGTTGATGGACATCTCTGTTGATGGACATCTAGGCTCCTTCCATAGTTTGGCTATTGTGGACATTGCTGTTATAAACATTGGGGTGTACATGCCCCTTCGGATCACTACATTTGTATCTTTGGGGTAAATACCCAGTAGTGCAATTGCTGGGTCACAGAGTAGCTCTATTTTCAACTTTTTGAAGAACCTCCATACTGTTTTCCAGAGTGGCTGCACCAACTTGCCTTCCCACCAACAGTGTAGGAGGGTTCCCCTTTCTCCGCATCCTCGCCAATATCTTGTCATTTCCTGACTTGTTAATTTTAGCCATTCTGACTGGTGTGAGGTGGTATCTCATTAAGGTTTTGATTTGGATTTCCCTCATGCCAAGCGACATTGAGCACTTTTTCATGTGTCTGTTGGCCATTTGGATGTCTTCTTGGCAGAAATGTCTATTCATGTCTTTTGCCCATTTCTTGATTGGATTATTTGTTCTTTGATTGTTGAGTTTGATAAGTTTTTTATAGATTTTGGATATTAGCCCTATATCTGATATGTCATTTGCAAATATCTTCTCCCATTCTGTCAGTTGTCTTTTGGTTTTGTTGACTGTTTCCTTTGCTGTGCAAAAGCTTTTTATCTTGATGAAGTCCCAAGAGTTTATTTTTGCCCTTGCTTCCCTTGCCTTTGGTGATGTTTCTAGGAAGAAGTTGCTGCGGCTGAGGTAGAAGAGCTTGCTGCCTGTGATCTCCTCTAGGATTTTGATGGACTCCTGTCTCACATTTAGGTCTTTCACCCATTTTGGGTCTATTTTTGTGTGTGGTGTAAGGAAATGGTCCAGTTTCATTCTTCTGCATGTGGCTGTCCAATTTTCCCAACACCATTTCTTGAAGAGACTGTCTTTTTTCCATCAGATATTCTTTCCTGCGTTGTGGAAGATTAGTTGACCGTAGAGTTGAGGGTCCATTTCTGGGCTCTCTATTCTGTTCCATTGATCTATGTGTCTGTTTTTGTGCCAGTACCATACTGTCTTGATGATTACAGCTTTGTAATAGAGCTTGAAGTCTGGAATTGTGATGCCACCAGCTGTTCTTTTTCAACATTCCTCTGGCTTTGGCATCTTTTCTGATCTCATACGAATTTTAGGATTATTTGTTCCATTTCTTTGAAAAAAGTGGATGGTATTTTGATAGGGATTTATTAAGTGTGTAGATTGCTCTAGGTAGCATAGACATTTTCACAGTATTTGTTCTTCCAATCCATGAGCATGGAACGTTTTTCCATTTCTGTCTTCCTCAATTTCCTTCATGAGTATTCTATAGTTTTTTGAGTACAGATCCTTTGCCTCTTTGGTTAGATTTATTCCTAGGTATCTTATGGTTTTGGGTGCAATTGTAAATGGGATCAACTCCTTAATTTCTCTTTCTTGTGTCTTGTTGTTGGTGTACAGAAATGCAACTGATTTCTGTGCATTGATTTTATATCCTGCCACTTTACTGAATTCCTGTATGAGTTCTAGCAGTTTTGGGGTGGAGTATTTTGGGTTTTCCACATAATGTATCATACCTGCAAAGAGTGAGAGTTTGACTTCTTCTTTGCCTATTCGGATGCCTTTTATTTCTTTTTGTTGTCTGACTGCTGAGGCTAGGGCTTCTAGTACTATGTTGAATAGCAGTGGTGGTAGTGGATATCCCTGCCGCGTTCCTGACCTTAGGGGAAAAGCTCTCAGTTTTTCCCCATTGAGTATGATATTCGCTGTGGATTTTTCATAGATGGCTTTTATGATATTGAGGTATGTACCCCCTATCTCTACACTCTGAAGAGTTTTAATCAAGAAAGGATGCTGTACTTTGTCAAATGCTTTTTCTGCATCTATTGAGAGGATCGTATGGTTCTTGTTCTTTCTTTTAGTAATGTATTGTATCACATTGATTAATTTGTGGATGTTGAACCAACCTTGCAGCCCGGGAATAAATCCCACTTGGTTGTGGTGAATAATCCTTTTAATATACTGTTGGATCCTATTGGCTAGTATTTTGGTGAGAATTTCTGCATCCATGTTCATCAGGGATATTGGTCTGTAGTTCTCTTTTTTGATGGGGACTTTGTCTGATTTTGGATCAAGGTAATGCTGGCCTCATAAAATGAGTTTGGAAGTTTTCCTTCCATTTCTATTTTTTGGAACAGTTTCAGAAGAATAGGTATTAATTCTTCTTTAAATGTTTGGTAGAATTCCCCTGTCCTTTCCTTTAAGAAATATTTTTCTGTTGTTTTTACCCATCTGCCTTTCTTTAACCCTTTATTTTAGTATGAATCTGTTAAAGCTGACCAAGTTTACCTTCCCCTCTGCCAATCCCTTCTTATGAGACAGGAACTATGACCCACTTAAAGTACTATTCTGCAGTATAAACATTATGACACCAGGAAGCTTGCCTCCTCCTCTTCTCAACAGCAATGGCACTTATTAGTAAAGGGTGGCCCACTGACTTTGATCCTGAATGAAATTACTTGGTGAGAAAATAGGTTTCAGTGAAATTATACTGAAGAGCACTCACCTGTAATGTATTACTGTCCATAATAATAGCCAACATTACTAGAAATATTTAGCAAAAAACCTAGGTTCTTAGTTCTGCTGCTAACTCCATTTAAGTTTCTTAATTTGTAAAATTAATGAGTTGGAATAGATGCTTTACAAATTCTACCCAGTTGTAAAATTCCACAATCCTATCATTCTCATGATTATTTTTCTCATGGAGACTGAGAAAGGTGACAAGAATAGCAGAAATGTCTAGAAAAGGGCTATTATTCATTGTTTCATATCACATAATCAGATAACAGAATCTAAGAAATCTGACTTCATTTCAGTTTGTAGTTGGCATAATGAAGTAAGAACCCTTAGATTTAAAATTAGGAATCATGGGTCCAAATTTGGGTTCTATGTCTTTCCAGCTATTGAGTCGTAGGCAAATCATTTAAACCCCACTGAGGCACAGTTTTCTTATATGAGAATAAGAAATAACATCTACCTCACAATGTTTATTTGGTGATAAAATAATATACACAAAAGCTTTTATAAACTATAAAATGCTGTATAAATATTCTGTATGAAATAATAGGTAAAAATTCTGGTTTTAAAAGGAAACATTATCATTATTATTGGTTAAACAACAACAACTTTGTGGTAGCAACTGAAATTTAAATACAAATTCTCATTCAATTCTTTTCTGTTTATTATGCTTAATCATTATTAGCAAATATTTCTTTAACAATTACAGATGACTATTTTTAGACTTTTTGCAGTAACTTAGTTATATTTAGACATCTCTTAATGTGAACATATAAAACAAAAGAATGACTATTCTGATAAATAAAACAAGTTTCAACATTAGAGCTAGCATCCCATAATTATCTTTTTCCCTTCTATACATCTATTTCTTCTTTCATTCTCCCACTCTTCCCTTTAGTTTTTGAAGGAAAAGTCATTTCTCAAATTAATCCTCAGATTAAGCCTAAAACGAGATCCCTTAATACCTCACATGGGGTCTTGTTATCATTAAGATTCCTTCCCTCTAGTGTCTTTAAGACCTCCTTCCTCCATTAGCTCTACCTCTCTCCTTTTGTATGGATTTAGCTTGTTAAACTGTCTCTTCTCTACCTACAGTTATGTTTCTAGACTTCTTTTCAATGATAATCTTCCTAACCAAGGGCCTAATTCCTGCTACTTCTACTTTCCATCTACTTAGACCCACCAACTAGTTCTTAGGAGTTAGGAATGAAATCCTCAAAGGCCAATAATGATGCCTGAAGGACAAATTCACAGACCTTGTTTTAGTTTTTATTCTTGCACTGTATGTAGTATCTACTTCATGCTTCTGTGATATTACCTAACTTAGAAATCATTCTCTCTCACCTCTCTGAACACTATTGTCTTTTTCACTGGTTCCTTTTCCACTATGGGTATTTCTTCGTGCTGAGACTTGAACTCTCAGAGTCAATTTTCTTCAGGAAAATAAGCCCCAAGGCCTCAGCCATCACCCCTTGCTAATGACTCATATATCCCTACTTCCCTCCAAGCTCTAGCTCCAGGTATTAACTGCGTATAAGCAGCCTTTCTCCACTGAGGTTTTTCATCTGAACCACAGAACACAAAAAATAACTTGACTATTTTCTCAATTCTCCAAAGTATGGTACACAACTAGTCCCACTCTAAATGTACAGAATATAAATTAATCTACTACATTCAAATGGATGACTTAGGGCATTAGGGTTTAAATCTCTTGTGGAACTCTTTGTTGAGAAAGGCTGGCAGGGCAGCACCAGTTAAGCATCCTAGCATTGCCTTAAAATTCTATCATTATTTATCATTAATCCCCTCAAGCCAGAGACTTTCCCACTTTAACTTCCTTATTCCAATAAACAGCAATTATTTTCTGGTTAACCAGGCTTGATATCTCAGTCATATTTAGTATTTTCTTCCTCTTTTCATCCTCTGTGTTTGAACAAATGATGAAACTTGTCGATTTTATTAGTTTTATTCATCCAGATCTATCACTACCATTTTTTGTCATTATCACCTAACACTTCTATAACCACAACCTCTGAACTTGCAGGCTTTTCCATTTTCTTCCATTTCTCTTTTGTGCAATTTAGTCTATTATATTGCCACCAAATTAATCCTTATGAAAGTACGATTTCAAGATAACAGTTATGAAAAAAAAAAGTCCAAACTCCTTAGCCTGGTATTCAAGGTCCTCCATAATCTGGCCTCAATCTGTTTTTTCAACCTTATCTTCTACTACTTCCCAACACAAGTCCTCTGCTTCAGTCAGGTTTATCTATTCTCTCTCCTCAAATACATCACATTTATTCTAAAAAAAGAAAGAGTATTAAGAAAAATTTCAGACATACAAAAAGGTTAAAAAGAATAAGATGATAATGTATCACACATTTATTTCCAGCTCAGGTTATTCCTTTCAACTAGAATACCCTTTCCCTACTTTTCTCCTCCCTGTGATAATCTTTTTCTTAGCACCCAGCTCAAGCCTAGTCTCATTTACAAGCCTGTACTTAATCTTCAGCTCACACAGTTTATCTCCTTTCCAAAATTCATGGAGTACTTTTTGCTCATTACATCACAATTATACATTTCCTTTAAAATTTGTGTAAATGTTTCTTTCCTTTTTCCTTATTTACTATGAACTTTTGGAATTACTACATGTTATATCTCTTTGGTAAATTGCAACTAGAACAGTTTTATGTATAGTTTTATGTATAATAAACACTTAATAAATATATAACAAAGAAAATACTTACAAGTTCAACTGATTCTGCATTCACTAAGATTTCTAACATCATGTTTTCTCCACGACTGCTTTGCTGGAATACTTGAACCCCACTTTTCTTCAAAAAAAACTTTAAAAGAATTCAGAGAATTTAATTTTAATTCTTTCTCCATAATCACGTTACATTCAATAAGGTGAAAAAATTCTGAACTAAACAGCCACTGACTTTGTGTTTGATGTGTTTCAGGGTAGGAAATCCACAGAAATACAGTGCCTTCTGGTCAACCCTGGTTATTTTGTTCTTGCTTATGTCTACACGCCAAGCATCTAATGATATTATTTTATACCTAGAAAATAAATCAAAGCATTTAATTCAAAATTCACACACTACAAGCAATCACAGTTTTTCAGTATTCCCTTGAATATTTTGCAAGAGTCATCCTTGCTTTTAAGCAAGGGAATGACAATTTGTCTTTTAAGACAAAGAAAACATACAGCAGGGCAACCCAGATTCTCTGTTATTATAATTGGCTAGATGCAACTACACCTATAGGTTACTGAATGGAAGTTTTCCCCATTAACTTAGAATAAAACTATACATATATATATTTAATTTAGAAGTAAAAGAACATATAAAGCATGTTACAAATCTCCATATCTCCCATGTTCTATAACCCAGATGGAAAATCAACATTTTATAATGTCTATTCCATCCTTCTCTTTGCTTTAACAAAAAGGAAAAGCATAACTGGGAGATGTTCACTTTAGGTGCCATCTGGGTAATTTGCAGCGAAAATGAGAGAAAAGAAAAAAAAAAAGGACATTTTAATGAGGAAGAGAAAGTAGAAATGGGTTTGAGGCAAGAAATTATAGGACCTCTTTTATTTCTTTTTTTCTTCTTTCTGGTTGGGTGGTTGGGAATGTAAGAGGCAAAGTCATAGCACATCAAATAATGCTAGGAGCAGACACTGACAATGGAAACAAAAATTCATATATCCTCTTGAGGTGGGGAAGATACAGATATACACTAGGGAGGAAAAATTAAAAAAACAAACAAACAAAAAACCCAACTTTAACAGAAAAGAGAGAGCGAGAAGAAGAATCTGACCAAAGCAGAGAACTACAGTTGTGAGAGGGAGATGCTATGGTCTTTGGCAAGTTGGATGTAACTCATTATCAACTGACTGTAACTATCAAAAATTATTTATTAATTCTCCAAGTAGATACTCAAAGCTTCCCCCTCCTCTCTCTTCCCTCCCAAGGGGAGCTCCTTGCTGTTGTTGAAAAATTACCAAATAACATTACCTTGTGCAACAACGTTCTATGGCAGGGAACTTTTCTGGCCATGGTGAGGGGTAGCTGAACTCTGTGTCTCTATCATACCAGCACATGAGGCACTCACTATGTTGGTTTCTTTTCCTTTCTTCCTTTTTGAGGGAGTGGTTACATGTTTCCATGGCTTCCAACAATCGCTTCTAAATTTAAAGATTGAAGAGAAGGGTTAAAAGTATAAAATTTCTGTAAGCTCAACATCCAGAATAGATCTTTTCCCTCAGTACACAGAATCATTATTTGTGTTCTTGAAAAACAGAAATCTTAACTAATGGAATTCTTTTCCATTTTATTACATGAAAAACTGTTTCAAAGAACCCTAGAATATTGCTTGCCATTACAAATTATTCTGAACCTATTATTCCAACAATAGGCACTAAGTGTGAATAAGAACAGCAGAGAATCAGGGCGCCTGGGTAGCTCAGTCGATCAAGTGTCTGCTTTCGGCTCAAGTCATGATCCTAGGGTCCTGGGGTCGAGCCCTGCATTGGGCTACCTGCTCAGTGGAGAGTCTGCTTCTCCCTCTGCCTCTCCCCCCAGCTTGTGCTCTCTTGCTCACTCTCTCTCAAATAAATAAAATCTTAAAAAAAAAAAAAGAACAGCAGAGAATCAAATTTTAAATGTGAACTTACCATAATTATTATAGTTTATCATAACTCATAAAGCATTAATCTCTTACTTTACAAATTCTGCCATGGTATAGAAAATGTTTACCTCCCCAAATTATCTCATACATTTAATTAATTTAATTACATATATTTTAATTTAATTTAATTACATTTAATTCCAGTCAGAATCAAAATTGTTAAAAAAATTTTTTTAAAGGACAAAATTGTTGGTGTTCATATGGAAGAATGTGTGAACTGCAAAAACTGGGAACCTGTCTTACTAGATCCTACCACTTTTAATAAAGCTACGTAATAAAAACACTTTAATATTGACACAAGAAACCCATAGACCAGAGGAAGAGAGGTCAAAACAAATTTATATCTATGTCAAACATAGTATTTCAAATATTTAAATAATGGTGTTGCTATAACCACCCAACCAGCTGGAAAAAGAAGCACATACACTTCCCAACTTCATACCATATACAAAAACATGTATCAGAGTAATAAGACAATGGAAGTATTAGAAAGAAAATCTAGGAGAGAGTATCAGTAATTTGGAGTGATAAACTCTTATAAGAGTGGAAAAAACCGGGCGCCTGGGTGGCTCAGTTGGTTAAGCGACTGCCTTCGGTTCAGGTCATGATCCTGGAGTCCCGGGATCGAGTCCCGCATCGGGCTCCCTGCTCGGCAGGGAGTCTGCTTCTTCCTCTGACCCTCCTCCCTCTCATGCTCTCTGTCTCTCATTCTCTCTGTCTCAAATAAATAAATAAAATCTCTTAAAAAAAAGTGGAAAAAACCTAACAGTCTTAAGGGAAAAGACATTTTTTAAATTTTATTTTTTAAAAGATTTTATTTATTTATTTGAGAGAGAGAAAGAGCAAGAGACAGCATGAGCAGAGGGAGGGGCAGAGGGAGAAGCAGACTCCCCGCTGAGCAAGGAGCCTGACGCAGGCCTTGCATGATCTGAGCCAAAGGCAGATGATTAATCGACTGAGCCACCCAGGCGCCCCAGGAAAAGACATTTTTAAATAATAGAAAATGTATGTGACAGAAGATTCATCAACAAAACAAGAGACAAATGCCATGCTGGGAAAGAATACGCCTATCATACAAAGAACGGACAGAAATCAAGAAAGGAAAATGAGGGAAAGGATATAAACAGGTAATTTACAGAAGGGAAAATACAAAGGGCAAACACACATATAAAAATCTACTCAAATTAGGGATCAGAGAAAAACAAATTTGAGTAACAAAATGGCACCCATCAACAATAGATTGGCCAAAATTAAATGAAGCAGTAATATCTAGGTCTGGAGAGGCAGAGAAGTAGGCACTAAATATTGGGTGAGTTAGACTAGTCTTTTTGAAAAAGAATATTCACTAAATGTAAAAATATACAGTCCCATTAGCCAAGCAATCCTGCTTTTGGGAATCTATGTTAAAAAAACAAAATCTCGGGCGCCTGGGTGGCTCAGTTGGTTAAGCGACTGCCCTCGGCTCAGGTCATGATCCTGGAGTCCCGGGATCAAGTCCCGCATCGGGCTCCCTGCTTGGCAGGGAGTCTGCTTCTCCCTCTGACCCTCCTCCCTCTCATGCTCTCTGTCTCTCATTCTCTCTGTCTCAAATAAATAAATAAAATCTTAAAAAAAAACAACAACAACAACACAAAATCTCCAATACCTAAGACTGCATAAACAAACAAAAAGAATACATGAATACACAGGTAGTTTATTATAGCATTATGCACAGTGACAAAAAACATGAAGATTCACACGTTGCAAAATTAGTACAGAGTGTTCTCATGTACCTTTCACCCAGCTTTCCCCAATGATAACATCCTACACATAGCATCAGTACATTACCAAAACCAGGATACTGACATGAGTACAACACTATTAACTATAGACTTATAGTTAATAGTGTTAACTTAGCTTACCAGTGAAATGTGGTTTTTTGTATGTGATTTTTTGTCTATACACTGCTATGAAATTTTTATCAAATGTATAGATTCATATTAACCACCACTAAAACTGGAATACAGAACTGTTATATCATCATAAAGAAATTCCTTGCTATCCCTTTATAATCACACCCTATCCTCAACTTTAACCCCTAGCAACCACTCCATGTTTTATATCACGGTAATTCTGTCATTTCAAGATTATATAAATGAAACAATATAATATATAACCCTCTGACACTGACATTTTTACTCACTGACTTTTTTCACTTAACTGAATTGTTTTCATCCAAGTTGTTTATATCAATAGTTCTTTATATTGCTGAGTAATATTCCATGATATGGATATACTACAATTTGTTTATCTACTCACTCATTAAAGGGAATTTGAATTTTTTCCAGTTTGGGGTTATTACAAATATACTGCTCCGAACATTCATGTATAGGTTTTCTTGTGTGGACATAATTTTCATTTCTCTAGGATAAATATCCAGGAGTGTGACTGCTGGGTTGAATAGTAAATCTATGTTTAACTTTATAAGAAACTGCTGAACTATTTTCCAGAGCGGCCTCCTAGACTTTTAGTCCAATAATTATCTATGCCATTTTTTAAAACGTTTACAGAAAAAGTAGTATAAAGAGGAAAGAAGTAGCAAAATCTAGAGAAGATTATAGAATAAAACAGATAATACTATACCATAATGTCTTGATTCTAAGATACCATTGATATTGTAAATATTAACACAATAAAATTAATAACAAATTTTCAGGAAACAAATAACAAACTGAATTTCCATAATTACTGTTTACTGACAATGGTATTTACTTACATCCTATTTTCTTCTCTAATGTCACATTCAAAATTTGAGTCTAATCCTTCTTCATATTCAAAATATAAAAAATTGTCAAAAATATATGTATATATATATACTGGGGCCCCTGGGTGGCTCAGTCGGTTAAGCATCCAACACTTGATTCCGGCTCACGTCATGATTTTGGCTTAGGTCATGATTTCAAGGTTGTGGGAGTGAGTCCTGTTTCGGGCTCTGCACTCAATGGGGAGTTTGCTTGAAATTCTCTCTCTCCCTCTGCCCTGCCCCTCCAATAAATAAATCTTAAAAATATAGGGGCGCCTGGGTGGCTCAGTTGTTAAGCGTCTGCCTTCGGCTCAGGTCATGATCCTAGGGTCCTGGGATCGAGCCCCACATCGGGCTCCCTGCTCGCCGGGAAGCCGGCTTCTCCCTCTCCCACTCCCCCGGTTATATTCCTGCTCTCACTATCTCTCTGTTGAATAAATAAAATCTTTAAAATATATATATATATATATATACACACATATACACACATATACATAAAATTTTCTAGGTTACTTGGCTCTGTGAATGTATGAATCTTTATAATCTTATAATCTTGAACACTTTAGCATCTTTAGGGATGGGCAGCATAACATTAAGGTAGAATGATGTTGTAATGTGCTGACCCCCATTAGTACTGAAGGACTTGTTTGCCCAGATGCTGAAAGTGCTACTGGCTTGCAACCCTCCCTCAGCTATCTCTTGGAAATATCCTTAGATGAAAAGTTATCTCACATAAGGTCATGCACCCTTCTGAAATGAAGTCTGCATCCAAGACTGACAGATGAAGGGAATGAGGTCTCAGGTCCTTTGTAGCAACTTAGTAGAACTTTAATGGGCCATTCCAGCTTTTAGAGTGACTTCTGGGGTCAGCTAAGGCCTTTGTTGAGAAAGCACTGTAGCCCAGCCTGTCCTTCTAACCAATCCTGTTTTCTTCTCTACCCAACATCTTAGAGGGTAGCCATCAAGAAACCAAAGTAGGGGGCCAAAAGTCTAGGAGAAGAGAGACTGCAGAGAAATTCCCAGAGAACAGATTTAGCTCTAATTAGGCTCTAATCAAGGAACAATTTGTGCCCCTGGATATAGGGACTCGCTGCATGTTACTTAGTTGGGATTTCAAAATTGTTATAGATCAGTGATTGTTATGTGCATCCTCTTCCTGCCCTTTTTTGACAGGAGCTACTTACTGCGGTAATCCTGTCATTGTCTCTCCAATACAAATTTGGGTATGTTGGGGAGTGTAGATGTGTTTTTTTGTTTTTGTTTTTGTTTTTAATTCACTGGTCTCTGAGTCAGGAGAGCTGTCCCTGGGGAGCTGCATTTGAGGAGTTTAATCCGCATCTAGACTTGATTTAAAGATGAAATTCTAGGCTTTGAGCCTGATGTATAATGAGATGAAATTTTTGGGAGAAGTCAGTGTGTCTTCAATTTGAATGGGATGCAAATTCTAGCCAAAGGGGGCAGACTGTAGTAGATGGTTTGCAAAGACGGCCATAATAATTCCTCCTATCTTCGTATGCAAGCTCCTTTAAATGTTAAGAAAGTGATCTATTTCCCTATTTCTTAAATCCAAGTTGGTCTTATAACTTGCTTTATTCAAAAGAATGTAGTGAAAGTGATACTATGCAAACTCCAAAGCTCAAGAGGCCCTGTAGCTTCTGTTCTCACCTTCCTGGAACCCAAGATCACTGTGAGAATAAACCTGAGTTAGTCTCCTGGAGGGTGAGGGATCACATAGAGGGCTCAGCTCACAACTAACACCAACCACCAATCATATCAATGAGATCATCTCAGACAACCAATTCCACTAGAGAGCAAGAGTGAGGGTGAAGGCAAGGGTGAGAGTACACACGGCAAACAGCTCAAGTCTGCAGGTAAACTGTTTCTAGCACCAGAGTTTGTGTAATAATTTTTCATGAGGCACAAATAGGTCCTATCAATTTCTCAGTTCTGAAAATTTTATCATCTATTCCTATTTAGTAATTTCCACCAGCATATACTTTCACTGACTATCCTGTAACAGGAATTTTTCTTTTTACATCTTACGTACCTACTTTCAGATAACTTCTTGTGTAAATTCTGAGCTTCTGCTCCCAAAAAATATAAAAGAATATGGTAATTCTGCCAGCTACAAGTTTTGTTTCAGTGGTAATACCATAATGCAATTTTGCTGAAAACATTTAAAATTTCATTGAGGTGTCCAACCTTAAAATTCAATCACAATGAACTAACGTGATAACTGGATGAACAACAATATCTACATGGAACTAAGTTTGTACACATGCAGGCTATAATGACTATGTCACAACTTAATCCTGTCTGGTGGCTAGCAAGTATCTCTTCACATATAACAAGTGTTCTTGTTTAAAAATTAATAAGATGTGAATAAACACTTGTTTCCTCCACTCCATAATCATGTCAGTTTCCCCTCCCCCCGTCCCCCGAGAGGACACTTTTTTTGAGGTATAATTTACTTTCAGAGCTTTTGGTTCCATTGATTTTTCTATATTGTTTGTTCATTTTTTATGGATTTCTATTCCTATCTTTATTATTTCCTTCATTCTGCTTAGTTTGGGTTTAATTTCTCTTGCATTTTTAGCTTCTTGTGGTAGGAAGCTTAGATAATTTATTGTAAGACTTTTTCTTGTTCAGTATAAGCATCTAGAAACTTAAGCATCCAGAAACTTAAGCATCCCTTTAAGCACTGCTTTAGCTTCATCGCACAGATTATGTTGTGTATTTATTATCATTTAGATCACAATATTTTCGAATTTCCCTTCTAATTTTTTCTCCTTTCAATTCTGACAGCTTTTGCTTTATGTATTTGAAGCTCTGTTATAAGGTACATATACATTCAGGATTTTTATATTTTCTTGATGAACTGACTTGACTTTTTTTTTTAAGTAATCTCTGTCTAATATGGGGCTTGAACTCATAACCCCAAGATCAAGAGTCACATGCTCTACTGACTGAGTCAGCCAGGTGCCCCAAACTGACTCAATTTTTTTTTTTTAATATTTTATTTATTTGACAGAGAGAGACACAGCAAGAGAAGGGACACAAACAGGGGCAGAGGGAGAAGGAGAACCAGACTCCCCGCTGAGCAAGGAGCCTGATGTGGGACTCCATCCCAGGACCCCGGGATCACTACCTGAACCAAAGGCAGATGCTTAACGACTGAGCCACCCAGGCGCCCCCTTACTCGATTTTTTAATCAATATGAAATATTCTTCTTGATCTCTGGTAATACTCCTTGTCTTGAAGTCTATTTTTCTAATGTGAGTAAAGCCACTCTGGCTTTCTTAGCATACCTAGAAGTTTTGATGCACATAATGAAGAAGAGAGTAGTTAAATCTCATTAATAAAACATAAATGGTGATTAAAACCCATTGCTCATTAACTTACATGAAATAATCTCTAAGAATATATGTGTATAAATGAAAAGATGTTCAACATCACTCATCATCAGTGAAATACAAATCAAAACTACAATGAGATGTCACCTCACACCAGTCAGAATGGCTAAAATTAACAATAAAGGAAATAACAGGTGTTGGCAAGGATGTGAAGAAAGGGGAACACTCTTACACTGTTGGTGGGAATGCAAACTGCTGCAGCCACTATGGAAAACAATATGGAGGTTCCTTAAAGTTAAAAATAGAACTACCCTACGATCCAGTAGTAAATACCTTTAGGTATTTACCTAAAGGATATAAAAATATTAATTCAAAGGTATAAATGCACGATGTTTACAGCAGCATTTCCACCAATAGTCAAACTATGGAAAGAGCCCAATGTCCATTGACTGATGAATGGATAAAGAAGATGTGGTGTATATATACAATGAAATAAATCAGAAAGAGACAAATACCATATGGTTTCACTCATATGAGGACTTTAAGAAACAAATGAATGTAGCGGGGAAAAGGCAAACCAAGAAAAAGACTCTTAATCATAGAGAACAAACTGATGGTTACTAGAGAGGAGGTGGGCAGGGTGTCGGGTTAAACAGGTGATGAGGATTAAGGAGGGCAAGTGTTGTGATGAGCACCAAGTATCATAAGTGATGAATCACCAAATTCTACACCTGTAAATAATATTACACTATACTTTAACTAACTGGAATTTAAACAAAAACTTGGAAGAAAGAAAGAATATATGCATATATGTAACTATTTCATGTACCGACCTCATCAATAAAAGGTATTAGTACCACAGCTTCCCATTCCTGTTGTTTCCCATTTAGGTCAGTTTTAAAATCAGGTGGATAATATTCTATAATTGGTGAGTCTTCACTGGTCATCAAGTGCTATGGAAATATAAAAGAGTAATAGAAATATAAGAACTAGTATCAATATAACTTTTTGTTAATATATTTACAATATTTACTCATTATGTTACAGTTTAAAATTCCTAAGCAAAAGCAAAACTAAAGTTTTACATCTTAGAAATGCTACAATATACTTGCTATATTTTTGATTTTCAGCTATGAGACTTCTAATTTCACTGCTACTCATCACTTTCCCATTCCAGTGACTTAGTTATGTAGCAAAACCATCTTTACTCTGAATTTCAACTTTACCATTTCTATCTTTTATTGTCTTATCACTCTATAAGGCCCACTTAAATTCTGTTCTCAGACTTCATTCACAGGCTTCCAATAGTCCTCCATTTTTAACCTTGTTTACTTTTGTACTTTTGTGTCCTAATCAATTGATTTTGTTAAGTAATATAAGATCTAAGTTTAAATTATCTAAGATAATTTAAAAAGAAAAAAATTCTAAAATCCAAGAATCTCTTCACCACTAATAGCAAAGATGAAAGGTCCAATAAAAAGACATGTTTTCATTAGACATTTTACAACAGAGATAGATGAAGAAAGCCTAAGTATGTCTTCTAGGAAAGAGCTACAAAAGACTATAGTATAACATTTTTTAAATAAGTAAAACAGCGTATTTCTCAGGGTAATACAAAAACATTTAATAACCAGTATGGCATGGGCACAGAACCATCTAGATCTTCTAGGCTTGTATGAGGAGCTCCTAACTATCAAAACAGACACAAAAACATTTAATTTTAAAACTCACCTGGTAGCATGTAGGAAGTAAATTTTTGCTAGCTGCTGGGAGTACAGCAAGAAGCTGTTCAAATGGCTTAAAAGGTTTTCCTAGTTCAAAATGGATTTTGAGTGTACTGATGTTACGGATATCAGATAGGAAAGGGGCATAATGGTAGGGATAATACCTATAAAACAAAACTGAGTTTTAAACAATTGGCAACTTTATGAAACAGGTCAATATTAAATATATACTTTTCCTTATTTAGCAACACAGCAATAACTCTAAAGAAAAAAAAATGATTACCCATAGTACTATCACTTGATTTAAGAAATCAGCAGCACTAGCATATTTAGGTCATGTGATGGCAACAAATGTTGTATTTTCTTAATTTTTTTTTAAAGCTTTTATTTATTCATTTGACAGAGAGAGAGAGAGAGAGAGAGCACAAGCAGGGGGAGCGGCAGGCAGAGGGAGAGGGAGAAGCAGGCTCCCCGCCCAGCAAGGAGCCCAATGCGCATCTCGATCCCAGGACCCTGGATCATGACCTGAGCCAAAGGCAGACGCTTAACCAACTGGACCACCCAGGCGCCCCTGTATTTCCTTAATTTTTAAGGTATAATTTCACATTTCCAAAATTGGGATGTATCATGTAATTGAAGGATATAGATAGAAACACAAATATATGTGTATTTATATAAAATATATGTGTGTGTATATATATGTATGTTACCTAAATAAAATATAATGGTCCTTTTAGCTTCCAAGATATTGAGTGTGAATCTTCCAATCAGTAGACTCTTAGAATATGTACTGACGTGGTCAGAAGACTTTCAGTTAGCACACATGAGCTGGAGCCTCTCTCAAGAGCACAGAGAGAACAGTGAGTCTGAGCTCATGTGGCTGTTACTAGTCAGCTCTAAGAACTTTTATATCTTTGAATTGGTATATATAGGATTAAACCATTTATCAATCATACACACTATTTTTGTTTTTAATGCCTTCCCGTCTATAACTACAGGTATAAATATTATTTTTTTTTAAAAGATTTTATTTGTTTATTTGACAGAGAAAGAGAGAGCACAAGTAGGCAGAGAGGCAGGCAGAGGGAGAGGGAGAAGCAGGCTCTCTGCTGAGCAGGGAACCTGATGCAGGGCTCGATCCCAGGACCCTGGGATCATGACCTGAGCCGAAGGCAGACACTTAACCACCTGAGCCACCCAGGCGCCCCCAGGTATAATTTTTTTTTTTATTCTTCTGTTAATCCCCATACACTACATCATTAGTTTTAGATGAAGTGTTCCATGATAGGTATAAATATTTTTTACAAAGCTTTAAACATACAATTTTTAAATAATTTCACCGTTTTTAATGTTTGACTAAGGATGCTAAAAATAAATATTTTTTCCCCACAATTATAACATATTTCAAAAAGATGAGAAAGTTTAGGAGGCAGATAGCATTTAGAATGGGAATGGATAGACTTTGGAATCAGATAGGCTTAGACTTGATTCTTGGGTGTATGCCTTTAGAAAGATTACTTTCTGGGGTGGCTGGGTAGCTCAGTGGGTTAAGCGCCCAACTCTTGATTTTGGCTCAGGTCATGATCTCAGGGTTTTGAGACTGAGCCCTCCGTTGGGCTCTGTGCTGGGCATGAAGCCTGCTTAAGATTCTTTCTCCCTCTCACTCTGCTCCTCCATCCCATTTTCTCTCTCTCTCTCTAAAAAAAAAAGAAAGAAAGATTGCTTTCTAAAGTAATGGAGATAAGTGAGCCTCATCTGTAAAAGTCAGACAACAATACTTATTTTATAGTGGTGAGGATTATATGAGAACATGCTTTTCAAGTGCCTGGTCTTAATGCATGATACATAATAAGATTAGTTTACACTCACCCTATTAAGAAATGGCAAATCAAGGATTTTTGTCATTAGAATGCTCTTCAGAGAGGCCCTGAGAATTAGGTAGTTATTGCAAAAAATTTTTTTAAAAGATTATAATTAATTGAAATCAATTAATATACATAATTTGTACTAGTTTGTTTTCCTTCATGGTGCTTTAAAACAAAGCCTAGCAAAGGTGCTATCAAAACAAAACAAACAATCTCATCATTTAAAAGTCTCTCCTTTTTCCTGTATCATTTTTTGGTTTGTTATTTTTCTATTCTGGTGGATGGTTTAGAAAAGTAGATGGAACTTGCTGGAATAGGAAACATGAGAGAAATGGAAAATTATTACTATTTCAAGGAAAAGCAAATAATTCCTTTCTCCTTTCTTCTTCACCCTTCCCAGTCTAACATTCAAATAACCCATTCTTTAATAATCACTCTTTTTTTTTCTTAAAGATTTTATTTTATTTATTTGAGAGAGAGAGTAAGAGAGAGAGCACAAAAGGGGGTAGGGTCAGAGGGAAAAGCAGACACCCCACTGAGCAGTGAGCCCGATGCGGGACTCGATCCTGGGACTCCAGGATCATGACCTGAGCTGGAGGCAGTCGCTTAACCAACTGAACCACCCAGGCACCTTCTTTAATAATCACTCTTGATAGAAAAATTTTTTCAAACATACAATAATGTAGCAAAGAATGTAATGAACAACCCTATATAACCATCACTCAGACCCATTAATTATCAACACTCTGTCACAGTTGATTCATCATAATAGAGAATTTTAAATCCTTAGATTTAAAGCGCTTTCATTATTGGCCATCTGCTAGGGCTGGAAGTATCTCTGTTACACAAAGGTCTTTAAAAAGTATTTTCATATAAGAAAAGATTACCTATATTTCATTTAAACTTGGCTATATATATCTTTTTAAAAATGCCACCATAAATAGAAATAAAGAGAAAAGAGAACCCTAAATGAGATTATAGGAGAACAAACCATTATTTAAAAAAAAAAAAAAAATCAAAACTTTATTTTTGTTTGTATTCCTCACCAGCTCCAAGACTGAACTCCGTGATAGTAATAGTGCAAAATCCACTGTATTGCCTGAACATAACATGCAGCTTGATCAGCCAGAAAGTCGCTGAAAATAGAAAAGAATATTTTCATTATAATGTTAATTTTTGAAGACAGGCCATTTGTCTTTAGAGCATGATCTGCTGATACACTCTGCCTCACATATGTTTTATATAATCAATGAATAAGCTAAAAATTGTAATCAGAAAAATTCCAAAATATTATTTAAAACAAATTCCATCCTGTCAGATTAAAGGTTTGCCTTATAGTTTCCCTAAACCGCCCATCAGAATAATACTTAAACCTACTGTGCATATTTATTCAGTCAATGTACTATGCCTGTGGTTTAAAGTTTGAGGATTTGGCCAATGAAGCTTTTGATAAGGTGGCATTACCACTGTCCAAAATAGCCAGGGTGTGATAGGAGACAGGGATGGGAAACTTTATCTGAGAGGATGCCTGAGAAAAATCACAGGAGGAAATGAGGAAGATCACAGAATCTGGGTATAGCAGCTAGAACACACTTTGAAAAATGCTATATTCACTGAACAATATTCCCTCTAATCCTTTCTTTCTCAAAGACCATCATTTAAGGTAAAAAACATTTAAGGTAAAATACATATACACACACCCACACCCACACACGAGACTTGGGCTAAAGCCAAAAAGTAGCCATAAACCTGCTAGTGGCTGTTAGCAAAATTCAGGTAGAGATGGCATTTAGAAATTCCAGATCTCAATATTTCTGGGAGGTACACTTTTGAAAATGAAACATTAATTTTTCATTAAAAAATATTTTCTCATTATTGAAAATCTAGACAATGAAGAAAAGCATTTTTATTACCTTACAGCAATCACTATTACATATTGGTATGGTTTTTTTCAGTCTTTTTTCTATGCCCAGGTTGGTTGGTTTTTTATGTTTAATATTAATTAGAGTATACTGTATACATGATTTTGTGTCCTGCTTTTGAAATCTGTGCTTAATAATATACTATAAGTATCTTTCCAAATTGTTATGAACTTTTTATAAGTACCAGTTTAGCAGTTCTACAGATTCTGAGGACAGTGTTATGGCAAGATGGTGACTATGATACATGGGAAGTGGACATGATTATGAGGACATGTAGATCATTTCTAATTTTGTGCTATTATAAAAAACTCTGCAATAAACATCCTTGTGTATAAGAATCGTCTGTGTTTCAGTTTATATTTTTAAGACAGATTAGTACTTAGAATTACTGAGTCAAAGGGATAAATATTTTAAAGACTTTTGGATATACACTTCCCAAAATAATTTTACCAATTTATATTTCCACCAGTAATTAGGAAAGAATACTACCATCACTTTTGGACCAACATTGAACATAACGATTTTAAAAGATTTGCTTATTTGTTAGGCAAACAAATGGTATCATATTTTCATAAGTCTATATTTTAATATATAAAAGGGAAGGGAAATAAAACACAAGATTTGTTAGCTATCATATTAAGAATGTACTGCCCAAAGCAGGTATTACAGTGCTATATAACTGCAATCAAGGAAATATAAGGATTAAGGAATAAAAGATTAAAAGCATAACTATTTTATTTGTTTTTTTAAAGATTTTATTTATTCATTTGACAGAGACACAACGAGATATCTCAAGTCTCAGAAGTCTTACATGCTAGTGGTACTTGACAAAGCTTTAAATGAGCTGGTGAATTGTACTAGAATTCCTGTACCTCTAGTTCCTAGAGGTCAGTATGAATATAGACCGGAAATACTATGTCTAGACTAGACTAGAAGACAGTCTGAGAGTATATAAAGCAATGTCTAAAAGCTTGGGTCTAAATCTGGGCAGGCTCTAGAAAAGATCTAATATTTAGTGTTTTATTACATTAAAAAAAAGATAAGAACAGTATAGAAAATATCTAAGTATAATATCTAAGTATGTAAAAGGGTACATAGCATTTCATGAAACTCTTATCTCACTTAGAGAGAAGCAGTCTCATCCAGTGGTTAAGAGTATTAACTGGGGGGCACGCCTGGGAGGCTCAGTCGGTTAAGCGTCTGCCTTCGGCTCAGGTCATGATCCCAGAGTCCTGGGATTGGGCCCCACATTGGGCTCCTTGCTCAGCGGGGAACCTGCCTCTCCTCCTGCCTGCTGCTCCCCCTTCTTGTACATGCTCACTCTCTCTTTCCCTCACAAATAGATGAAATCTTAAAAAAAAAAAAAAGAGTATTAACTGGGGGCACCTAAGCTGACAGTAGAGCATGTGATTCTTGATTTTGAGGTTGTGAGTTCTATATCCATGTTGGGTGTAGAAATTACTTAAAAAAATAAACTTAAAAAAGAAAAAAAGAGAGAGAGAGAGAAAGAGAATATTAACTCTGGAGCCAGACTGCCTATGTTCAAATTCTGGCTCTGCCACTCACTGACTATGTCACCTTGGTAAGTCACTTAAGCCTCTCAAATCCTGGTTGGCTCAGTTGGTAAAGCATGCGACTCTTGACCTTGGGGTTGTAAGTTCGGGCCCCACATTGGGTGTAGAGATTACTTAAAAATAAAATCTTAAAAAAAAGAAAAAAATATGGGCGCCTGGGTGGCTCAGTTGGTTAAGCGACTGCCTTCAGCTCAGGTCATGATCCTGGAGTCCCGGGATCGAGTCCCGCATCAGGCTCCCTGCTCAGTGGGGAGTCTGCTTCTCCCTCTGACCCTCCCCCTTCTCATGCTCTCTCTATCTCATTCTCTCTGTCAAATAAATAAATAAAATCTTTAAAAAAAAAAAAAAGAAAAAAGAAAAAAATAATCTACCTAAAAAAAAAAAGCCTCTCCATTCCTTAATTTCTTCTATTGTAAAATAGTAATTTATTTATCTTAAAGAACTGTTGTGAGAATTAAGTCAGTCAATATTTTAAAATTGCTTAGAATAGCACTTGGTACTTGGTAAGCACTTTATAAGATTTTGTTAATTAAATAAAATACAAACATATGTAGTTCATACTGTGGGCTGCAGTTTAAAAGTGTGAAAGTTACCATTCTAGAGGTCAAGTTCTTAAGGAACTTTTGGGCTAGGTATTAACCTGGGGCTAAGCCAGGTAGCCTTTTTTTTTTTTTTTTTTAAAGCCAGGTAGCCTTTGAGATGAGTTTGATGTGAATCCAGAAAATGGAAGGAAAAAAAAACTAACCATTTTCTACCTGCTAACTTTTTACCAAAGGAATATAACACATGTCAATTATCACCTTCTCCAAAACCACAGCAGTTGAAAGATTGACACTACAATAATTTATGTAATCAAAAAATTCTCCTTGCCCACTACCTTAACTATCAAAATTATGCTGTTTTTTGAAGAACTGCAAAATCTAATTTTTTCTATTTTAAAGTAAAAGCATTGGTAAAAACGTACTCAGACACTACATCAACTCCCATCTTCGTCATGTAATATGTTCTTTTATATTGTCTAAACTCAGTTTCAAATAGGTCATCATCTTCAGTTTCATCTTCTAAATTATCTGGAAAAAAAGCCAAAAGACAGTGGCTGAAAATTATAAATATTCTGTTTTTCCACCTAGAATTTTGACAAATACATAGCAAAGCAGATGCCTACAAACTAACATAGAAATCTGTTCCATCCAATATTATTAATTAGTACTTACTAAGGAATGATACAATAATCATCTTGTCAAAAATATAACATAGTGAATACAGAGTTTGTACTCACCCTTAGAAGTTACCACTTCTTCTCCATTTTTGTCTAAAGCAGCCCAACAAATGGCATTTTCCTGGCCCTACAAAAATTATAAATCAATATAAAATTAATGGCGAGATGTATTTCAAAGTAAGATAATTGAACAGGGAGATTTAAAAAATACTAAAAAGAACTGAATGATCCTTAAGTGACAACACTGTGAAAGTTCTTTCAAAAAATAATCCTCAAATACTATGTAAATGTTTTGGTTTTATATCACTTGTTTTCTAAATCTTTATTATTCAGGCCTCTCAAAAATATGTAATAGGTAATTCTCACCTATTGTGTTAACATAATCTATTTGTTTATAATCGAATCCAATGATTACAAATATTACATGTTTTCTGTATCTTTGGATTCCATCATTCTTTTTTTTTTTTTTTAAAGATTTTATTTATTTATTTGAGAGAGAGAGACTGAGAGAGAGAGCACAGGAGAGGGGGGAGGGTCAGGAGGGTCAGAGGGAGAAGCAGACTCCCTGCCAAGCAGGGAGCCCGATGTGGGACTCGATCCCGGGACTCCAGGATCATGACCTGAGCCGAAGGCAGTTGCTTAACCAACTGAGCTACCCAGGCGCCCTTGGATTCCATCATTCTTATAACTCTGTTTTTTATTCTCCACTTCTAAATTTTTCTCTCATGCAACTCATTTGCTTTTCTATAGTTCTCACATCTCATCAGAGGGAGAAGCAGGCTTCCCGCTGAGCAGGGAGCCCGATGTGGGGCTCGATCCCAGGACCCTGGGATTATGATCTGAGCTGAAGTCAGACACTTAATGACTGAGCCACTTCTGGGGCATAGGAAATCAAAGATTCTTCATATCCTTCCCATCTGTTTTTCCCCCCCTTGTGATCTCAACTTTTCTGTCCTCTATTTTCTGATTGCCTATCTACTGCCAGTGATTCTCATTAGTTCTTCTTACTCCCTTATTCCCTCATTAGTTCTTCTTACTCCCTTATTCCCATTTCCCTTTGTTCATCCAAACTATGGCCTCTGCTAACTTCCTTTGCTGGGACTCTTCCTCTAGTTCCTCTCAGTTTGCCAGTGTCTTTAACAGTAACTACATGCCTGAAGACTTGTGAAGCTTAAGGACTGGGCTGAGCTGCGTGGAGCCAGGGATTACTGATTCCCAAATAGTTGCTGAGACTATTTCCTTAAGAGAAAAAACAAAGTAAAAAGCAAACTGACAGCTCCTAAGTTTCACTGAGAAAAATCTAATCAATTAGAAGCACTACACTAGAGAAAATCAGGATAAATACCCTTCCTGGAGCAGAATTACTAGCCTTAAACCTAAATAGAACCAGTATAGCAAGGAGAGTGCAGGAAACTCCTTAATTTTATCAGAACCCAGTAACTATGAATAGACTGAGGAAAATTTCATAAGAGGTTTCTCTTCGAAGCTAACACATATAAGACATTCTTTAGAGCTTATTAGTGATGTTTTATAGGGTATTAGCATATTCTAACTGATTCTATTATTTATTTATTGAGCACCTAGCATTTATTAGCTATTGTGCTATTATTTACTCTTAAACTAGCCTATTGCTGTTTTTTATATATGATTTTATATATAAATTACTTCTAGGGAAAAATCACTGATCTAGTTGATGTTTCAATATTAAATGCTATTAATACCCACATTTTACAAAAGATAACTAATTTTCTGGGCTCTTATATTTAGAAGTTTTTCTTCACTTATTAATAGGATGGATGAACAAAGAAAACACAATGTTCTTCTTCAAAGGTAAAAATAAGAAGTTGATTTTTATTTTATTTATTTATTTATTTATTTATTTTATTTTTTTATTTTTTTAAAGATTTTATTTATTTATTTGAGACAGAGAGAATGAGAGAGACAGAGAGCACATGAGAGGGGGGAGGGTCAGAGGGAGAAGCAGACTCCCCGCCGAGCAGGGAGCCCGATGCGGGACTCGATCCCGGGACTCCAGGATCATGACCTGAGCCGGAGGCAGTCGCTTAACCAACTGAGCCACCCAGGCGCCCAAGAAGTTGATTTTTAAAGATCAGATTTAAATGATAGGATCTAACAAAGAAGAAACCAAAATTTTTAAATGTTCAATAGGAGAAAATAAGAAATGAAAATGAAATGAGGCAACCCTAAAAATCATAAGAAGGAAAATGAGGAACAAGGAATATCAGTTTTACCTTTACAGCTAAAAAAATGAAAGGACACCTAAAAAAATGGACACCTTTGATTTTTTCTTTTCCTTGTAGTTCTTGGCTTCTTCTGCTGCAACACCTGCTGCTTCATTGAGGTACTTGTTACCAACTTTGCTTTCAAACCACTTTAGGTCCACAAAAACTTCACTGAAGTGTTCCCGATCAAACTGTAAAAAATATTTAAATTCATTTAAAAATAATTTAAGTATGTCTGGGAGAATACAAACCAAACTTCTAACATTTTTTTTTTTTTAATGGTATATTGTGATATATCTGCTAGGGTTTTCTTTTTTTCTTTCTTTTTTTTTAAAAAAAATTTATTTATTTATTTGACAGAGAGAGACACAGTGAGAGAGGGAACACAAGCAGGGGGAGTGGGAGAGGGAGAGGGAGAAGCAGGCTTCCCGCGGAGCAGGGAGCCCGATGTGGGGCTCGATCCCAGGACCCTGGGATTATGATCTGAGCTGAAGTCAGACACTTAATGACTGAGCCACTTCTGGGGCATAGGAAATCAAAGAATGTTACTTTTTTATGCACATGGGGACCTCATCTACTAGTCTGAAAATCAAAAATAAAAAGCAAATAAAAATAAATTTAGGTGAAATTACACAGAATGATCAATTGGAGTAGAAGTACCAAAACTTTTTCTTCTGACATTATGTAATTGGCTTCTGACCATTTATAGCTACCCTGGGACAAGAAAATAAAAATATCTAGTTACTTACATCTGATAGTTTCACAAGGTATTTCTCAAATCTAGGTAAGTTGAGATGCCCACTTTCATTAATATAACCTAAAAGGAACAAAATCTAAATTTGTACTAAAAGCGGACACTATTTTTTCTAAACAATTCTACAAAATTCTTTTTATAAAATGTTGAATGTTGGCACTCTACTAACCAAGAAAAAACACTCAGAGTTGGGCTATATAACTGACTCTAGTGTCTATGAACTTGATGTTATAATATAAAACATGTAACAACTAAAGCAAAATAAAAGAAATTCCAGGTTCACATAATAATCCTACCACATTTCCAACATCTGGTAATAGTTAATTACATATGTTCTAAAATCTATCCAGATTATTCATTTAATATGTTAACTTGAGAAGAACTAATGCCCTGCTATTCTGCTGTCTGTTTGATTCAGCATTCACCACTGTTTATCAATTTCTCAATTGAAAAATCTTTCCCTATTAAATATTGTGATACCTATCCATTTAGAAAAATGAACTTCTATGCTTTAATATGAAGGGAGCTAAGTGAAATAAACAACTTCTGCTGGCTTTCTTAAACAATCAAAGGCAGAGATTAGTCAGGTATCAATAAATGAGGCTGCTTAACTCTTGTCATTTTCTTTGCTTGTGAACCACTGAAAATTATAACCCCAGAGCTTGGTGCCTTAGACCAAAAGAAACCCCCAATTTTTTCCCTACTGTAGTTGTGCATGCAATAATCTAATAAACTGAGTGAAATTTTTAGGATTAGCTGAGTGCTAAATTAAAGTAGCCTCCAATGAATATTAAACTTTTCTTACCACCAAGTTCTGGCAGGATGGTAATATATGTTCCATAAAGAAGAGGCAGTGCATCATGATTAATATGTAAATGAGGTAGATGAGGGATAAAATCATTGCCAACAAGAAATCCCATCAAAATCCAATCATCTATTATCCTTTCAATATCATATTTAAAAGTGATCTTGTCCTACAGCAAAATGGAGAAAAAAATCAAATTGTATGGAAATTCCTGCTAACACATCTTTGGTCCACAGCTATATTAATACTTACTTTTAATACTGAAAACTCATAGTCAATATACTCTCTCATTAAAGACAAGTGTAGGAGGTGAAATGTGGTTTCTTCTGGTGCACATACCCTGTAATTAGATAATCAACACAAAATTAATTATATCTTTAAGGTTCAAGTTTAAAAATGCAGCAACGCTTAAAATAAAACATCATTAGAAGATAATTAATTCTTGTAATCCAGGCATATAATTTATATGAAATCTGCAGGGTAGTGTAAAGATAGAAGTATAATAGATATAACATAAAGTTCAAAATAATTGGTCTGCATTATGCTTTCTGTGGAAAGATTCTCAGAATTAAGAAAGCCTAAATAAGATAGAACAGATATAAGAAACCAGTGGGATCTGGCCCATTTAAGTCTGGTCACCAGCAGAAAGCATACAGATAAGTGAGTATTTATACTTTTCTGCCTATTGCAGTACAGTCTAAGGCTTCAATGGTGAGGCACCATCACTTCTTTCCTCTTATCTTTCCCTGGCTTGGTTTAGGGGTCTATATTCCAAGCTATTGGCCAATACTCCAAGTTTAGCCAGAAGTAAGAATATAAACTGACAGTAGTATTTTAAAAGGATTAGATAACACGAGCAAGTGGATTTACCCTGGGAATACAAGGGACGGCTCAACACAAGAAAATAAATCAATGTAATAGATCATATTAATAAACAAAGGAAAAAACACCATACAATCAACTAGCAAAAAAAAACATCTATCAAATTCAATACCCTTTCATGATAAAAGTACTCAGCCAAGTAGGGATAGGAGGGAACCTCCTTAATATAAAAAAGGGAATTTATGAGAAGTCTACATTTAATATAATTGATGGGAGAAGACTGAAGGTTTTCCACCTAAGATCAGAAACAAGACAAAGATGCCCATTTTCACTATAGCTATTCAGCGCGTTGTACTTGAAGTCCTAGCCAGGGCAATTAGGCAAGCAAAGAAATAAGAGGTATACAAATTAAAAAATAAGAAAACTATCTCTCTATTTAGAGATGCCATGATTCCATATACAGAAAATCTCACAAAATCCACAAAAAACTACTAGAGCCAAAAAATGAATTCAGTATAACTGCAGGAAGCAAGATCAACACATAAATATCAGCTGTGTTTCTACATACCAGCAACAAATAACCCAAAAAAGAAATTAAGAAACAATTCCATTTAGAATACCATCCAAAAGAATAAAACACTTAGGAATAAACTTGACCAAGGAGGCAAAAGAAAAAAAAAAAACAAACCAGAGACAAAAAACTGAACTTACAGATGCAGAGAATAGACAGATGGTTCCCAGAGGTGGGGGAGTGAGAGTTGGGCAAAATGGGGGAAGGTGGCCTAAAGGTGGAAACTTTCAGTTATAAGATAAGTAAGTCCTGGAGATGTAATTAATGTATAGCATGGTGACTACATTAATTTTTTTGTTAAATAAAAGGAAAAACAAGTAAGAAAAAAAAAGCTGATAAAAGACTTAAACACTAAAACTACAAAAGGCAGCTGAAAAAAATTAAAGAAGACATAACGAATGGAAAAACATTCTGTATTAATGGATTGGAAAACTTATTATCAAGCTGTAAATAGTACCCAAAAGAATCTACATATTCAATGCCATCCCAATCAAAATCCCAATGATGTTTTCCACAAAAACAAAAAAATCCATCCTAAAAATTAATCTCATGAGACCCCAAATAGCCAAAATAACCCTGAAAAAGGAAAACAAAGTTGGAGGTCTCACCCTTTCTGATTTCAAAACTTATTACAAAGCTTCAGTAACCAAAATACTGTGGTACTGGCATAAAGACAAACATAAAGATCAATTGAATAGAATACAGAGCCCAGAAATAAACTCTTGCATATATGGTCAAACAATTTTTGACCAAGGTGCAAAGACCATTCAATGGGGGAAAAGATACCCTTTTCAACAAGTGGTTTTGGGAAAACTAGATATTCACATGCAAAAGAATGAAGTTGACCCTTACCTTACACCATATACGGTTATTAATAACATGGATCAAAGACCTGAGTGTATGGGCTAAAACTACAAAACTCCTAAAATTGGGAAAAGCTTTATGACATTAGATTTGGCAATTTCTTGAATATTATACTGTAAGTACGGCAATAAAAGAAAAAAATAGACTGGACATTGTCATAATTAAAAAACAAATTTTGTGCATCAAATTTCAGCAGAGTAAAAAGGCAACCATGGAATGGGAGAAAATCTTTACAGATAATTTTTCTGTTAGATGATTACTATTCTTAATTTAACTGCTGTTCTTTCTTCTAACATATATGCAATATGATTTACCTTTGTGTCTTTTTGCCACCAAACCGAACCTCTTCTCTTAAAAGAGAGAAATGTGCCTCGTGACTTGTTAATCCAAGCATAATCTGTTGAAAAGTGATTAAAAAATGTCTCTATTCTCTAATTTTTTATAGTATCAGGTTCATAGAAACAACTAAATAAAAAACATTTCTATATAGAAAAACACATGCTTATTTAATAAAAACAATTAGCACATTAAATACACAAATATCAAAATCTAATCCACTTACTGGTTATGAATGGGGTGAAGTGTGTTTTTCTAAGAAAAAATGTTTACCTTAGACTCACATGACCTTTATAACAATCACTGTTTATTTTATTTCAATCCTGATTCAAACAAAACAGATGAAACAATTATGAAGCAATCAGAGAAATGAGAATACTAAATGGTTATTTGTATATTAAACAGTGATTGTTAATTTTTATTTTATGTAGGATAATGGCATTATGGTTATTTTTTAAAACAACACTTCTCCTTTAAAGAAACATTATAAAATATTTATAGATTAAGTGATACAATGTCTGGGATATACTTCAAGAGTCAGAGGAGTAGGAGAAAGGAGACAGATGGTTAGGAATAAGAAAATGAAAATTATTGAATATTTAAGGTGGATTATTTAAAGTTGAAAATTATTTAAGGTGGATAAAGGACATAGGAAGGTTTATTATATTGTCTTCTCTACTTTATGTTTGAAAATTTCCGTAACAAAAAGTTAAAACAGGGCGCCTGGATGGCTCAGTTGGTTAAGCGACTGCCTTCGGCTCAGGTCATGATCCTGGAGTCCCGGGATCAAGTCCCACATCGGGCTCCCTGCTCAGCAGGGGGTCTGCTTCTCCCTCTGCCCTCTTCCCTCTCGTGTTCTCTGTCTCTCATTCTCTCTCTCTCAAATAAATAAATAAAATCTTTAAAAAAAAAAAGTTAAAACAAAAAAAGCATAGTAAAGTTATTTGGGTCATGGAGTTACCAGAACAGGTATTATTAAAAGTTATATATCAAGCATGAGGGTAGAAGCGCCCTCTACCCTGATCTCAGCAGAGTATTCATAGCACTAGGATCAGTCAAGTATGAAGACTATAGAGACCTGTTGATCATAAACTAGAACAAAAGAGTTCATTTTCCAATTGTTTAAGAACCTTGCTAATGGCAGAAGTAGCAATCCTTATTATGTCTCCAGTATTTGTTTCCACAGCCAGAAAGCTTCTTATATAAGTCTCTTAGATATTTAACTATAATGGCATAAGGTTATAATAATAATAAACATTATACCTACCAAGTCAGCATCTAAACCATAAAGACAATGTCTGGTGTTTGGATCATGATCTGGCTTTGCTTTCTCCGATCTGATAAATTCCATGATTTTATGCTCTCCTTCTCCGGGAGTCTAAATATATGTTTAAAAAAAATGTGGTAATAATGCTATGCTTTAGAATATTAAATTTTTAAAAATCTCTTTAAATAAAAAAAGATAATAACCTCATGGCCTGAGAAGTAGATGGTAACTCCTTGCCACGACTTATCTGTAGAAATTTTCATATTTACAAAATACTTCAGATGTTCATGTAACCTGGCCATGAATTCAGTTCCTATAAATAAAAAGTTTCAAAAAGTTTATAATGAGAGAGACATAAAAAGCACTCTTTTTATGTTCCCAGGGACAACACAAAATTGGATCTGAGTGTCCAGGAAATAGTTAGGTGTAAGATCTCTAAAGAAGTCAAACCCCTCATGCTTATCTTGAAAAGCAAATAATTTTGTACCTTTCTCTAACAAATATTACAACTGTTTCTCATTTCACTGCTCACCCTAAAATCCAGCTAAAGTTACATAGGTAAGTCAAGAAATGTTACTACTGCCTCAAACTATGCTTCACGTATTTTCACACCAGGGCAGTTTCAACTCTCTAATGAAACTCAATCTTTGGGGCGCCTGAGTGGCTCAGTTGTTAAGTGTCTGCCTTCGGTTCAGGTCATGATTCTAGGGTCCTGGGATTGAGCCCCACATCGGGCTCCCTGCTCAGTGGGAGGCCTGCTTCTCCCTCGCCCACTCCCCCTGCCTGTGTTCCCTCTCTCGTTGTCTCTGTGTCAAATAAATAAATAAAATCTTTAAAAAAAAAAAAAAAAGAAACTCAATCTTCTATTTCCTCTGTTGGATTCTGAACCTTTTTTTTAAGGCATGCAGCTTTAATTAGATTGCTAATAACAACAACTATTATTATTACTACTATTTATCTGGAAAATTATTATTATTATCCTAGAAACTGAGTCTACAGTGATTATGTTTCAGGAAAAGTCCAGATGGTCAAGAGTCAATGGCAATGCAGTCTTAAACCACAATTAGGATAAAATTGATTATTAAATCAAGCAATGTATGATAAAGGCACTTAAATGAAAGACAAATTACCACAGTAAAGAATTCATGAATAAATAAGATTTTAAGATTTTTTTTCAAAGGATTGTAATTGTTAGACAAAGCTCTAATAAATACAGAGTATGTTGTTGCACACAAAGTTAAATTAAACTTATAATACTAATAAATTCATTAAAGTCATAGAATTTTTACCTGCCTTTAAGAAGTACAATAGTAAGTACTCTAAAGTAGGAGAACGGGTTTCTTATCCTGATTACAACAGCTAGCTATGTGAACGTGGGTGAGCCACAACCTCACTGGGTCAGTTTTCACACAAATAAATGGTGGGAGTAGGATGGATCTTTTAAGATCCTACTAGGTTTCTGTGCATCTGGGAGAGTTCTGTACACAACTGCTCTTATCGACATCTGCAAATCCCTAGAGTGGGTTTTCATAGGAGCACTTATAATCAAGGTGACCAAAACATCTCCTGAGGGGACACAACTGGGAAAACAGCATTTGGAATTTTAAGGACAAAATAAGTAGAGGCTAGAACAAAAAATGCATTTGAAAAAAAATTTACATTTACATTTAAATCTCTCATAATTTGGGGTGCCTGGGTGGCTCTGCCTTATGCTCAGGTCACTGATCTCTGAGGTCCTGGGATTGAGACCCATGTCGGGCTCCATCCTGAGCAGGGAGCCTGCTTCTCCCTCTCCTTCTGCGCCACCCCACCCCCCCCCCCCCCGCTCATGCTCCCTCTCTCTCAGATAAATAAATAAAATTATTAAAAAAAAATCAATCTCTCAGAATTTTTCTTTCAGTGAATTTACCTGGTGTAATACAGTTGGAATCAAATCTGGCCTCTGTAGGAAGAGTTTCTCCTTTTTCTAATGCCTTTTTTATTTTGTCTTCTGCCTCCTTTGCTGACCTTAAATGTTAAGTAAAAAAAATATCTTAAGGTTTCTGGGAAAAAGTACAGATCTTTACATAAAGTAAACTGTTATTTATTTAGATGCTTCTGTAACTAAAATACTACTTAATCAATTTTAGGTTCAAAACATAATACAAGTTTTAAAATGATTATAATTGATAAAGATGAGCCTCAGAATTGTTCATTTTTACTTATTTAAAAAATTGAGTTTTTCAGAGACAGGACTATACAAGTAGACATTGTAACAGTATAAAACTGACACAGAATGTTACAAATAGTTATAAAGCAATTCTTTTCTTAAGTATATAGCAAATCGATTCTACAAACAAGCTCAAAAGTTGAACATTAAACATTCATCATATATACTACATTCTATATTTAATAGTAACATCAAACAAGTACATTATTAAAATGATCTAAAATGATCTAAGAATATTATATAAAAATAACTGTACAATTTTAATGGATATCTTTGGGTTTCCTTATAAAAACATTTAAAATATAAGCCTAATAACATTAATGACATCATTTGCCAAAATCATCTTATGTTTGAGGCAATAGGATTTACTAGAAAGAACATGAGTTTTAGAGTCGGACGGACCTAGGTCTAAATATAGGCATCCCAATTCCTACCTGCTTCTCCTGGAATCCATTTCTGGCACACTGTATGCCACTGGCATGTAAGTTAGGAAGCTCTGCTTTATGTACATTTTCTACAGCCTTGCTACTAGCTCTATCTACTGTGCGCTGTGGAATTATATTTCTATGATAAACAAACTCCTTTTCATATGTAACCTCTTACCAACCTCCTCAATATAACAAAATCTGAAGATATCAACTTATTTGTAATTTCTCCAATAGAAGCCATTCTTTCGTCTTCTCTCCTTCCTTCGATTCCTTTGATTGAACAAATTCAATGTTACTATGTGACAAGTTTTGGGACTATAACAGCAATGATTCCCATTTTCACAGAGCTTACACTCTAGTGGGGAGACAGAGAACTTAACAGCCATAATGTTTAATGTAGCTGCAACACAGAGAATGTTTGGGACAGGGACAAGGAAAGACTACTAATCTACGTGGAAGATTATGGTAGCCTAGGCTGACCAGTAGCAGTAAAGATGAAAAGTAAATATATATGACAAATTTAAGAGACTGGATAAGGATTGGGTGTGGAGAATGAGGAAGAAATAGTCCAAATTACTCTTGGACTCTTGGGTTGAGCAGCTATTTGCTATTGTTATCATTCACCAAAATAGGAAACAGAAGGAAGGCAGCTTTGAAGTGGACTTCAGTTCTGAACATGTTAAACCTGAAATGTATCTGTGGTATCCAAAAGGAGATATTTAGGAGACATTTGGCTATATAAGGGTTCTGGAGAGAGATATCCACCAGGAAGATAAATTTGGGAGTCATCAGTATAGTCACGGTAATTAAAATCACTGAATAAGATCACTCAGGACCAAGGATAGAACCTTAAGAAAAATCAATATATAAGAAAAAGGCAAAGGAAGAGAAGATAACAAGGAGATCAAGAAGGTGCAATCAGAGAGTGTGGTTACATAAAGATCGAGGAAAGGAAGTTCAAGAAAGAATGAATCATCACATTGTTAAATACTAGAGGTAAATGAAGTTAACATACAGAGAGAATTATTTAGATTTAGTCATAAGAAGTCTATTTGTAATCTTTTAAGGAGGTTTTACTGGTAGGGATGAAAGCCAGATGGCAGCAGATTTAAAGTAAGAGATATTAAATATTATGAATGGAGAAAATAGTATCTGTGGAGAATGAGAAAAAGCTGAGTAGGGGATTTCAGGGAAACATGGAGCACTCAATATCCATTTCATTCTCTTAGGCTGTCTTCTGATACTGGAGAGGTTAGAAACCTAAAAAATTAAAATCTCAGGCCTGCTTGCAGCTAGGTGAGTGAATATAACTTAGATTCTGTCAGATGCCTCCACAAAAGGTTTGGAAAGTGGAAGTGTGGTGAAGTCTGTATGACTGTTGAGGTAGAGGGTTTGTGGGGTGTGTGTGTGTTTCATCAATAGTAGAAGAGCTCTCAATATTCAGTAGTTTTGTAGGTGCTAAGAAGCAAACTGTAGGGCAGATCTACCAGGTACACTGGGGCTCTGGAGCTAACAGATACAGTGGTGGCTTCTTGATTGCTGAATTATAACTAAAGCGATGTATTTTTGGAGCCAATAGTTCAAGTTCAGGTAGTATCTTCTTAATTCCTGGATCATAACTAAAGGAATAAATTCCTGGAACAACCTGTTCTGGTGGGGGCCTCTGAACTCCTCACCTTCTTGAATGTTGTAGTAATCGTGCCACTGGTGGGTCAGTTCTGTGGTGCTGTTCTGAAGTCATTCTTGAAGGCTCACCTAAATTCCCATCCTTTTGGCTCTTACAATGATTCTTTTTTTAAAGATTTTATTTATTTATTTGACAGAGAGACACAGCGAGAGAAGAAACACAAGCAGGGGGAATGGGAGAGGGAGAAGCTGGCTTCCCGCGGAGCAGGGAGCCCGATATGGGGCTTGATCCCATGATCCTGGGATTGTGACCTGAGCTGAAGGCAGACACTTAATGACTGAGCTACCCAGGCGCCCCTCTTACAATGATTTTTATAAGCACCTAATTCTTTGTAATATATCCCCTTCTGCTTAAAATAGGCAGGCTTCTACTTCTGCAACTGAACAGTGACTGATATAGTGGGCTTATATAATCCTTTCTTAACACTAGATTTTCTAGCCCAGCAGTCCCCCCAAACTAGTTTAACAAATACCAGGGGAATCCGGTAAAAACAGTTTCCAGGGCCCAATTTTTGAGATTCAAATTAATTAAGTTTGGGTGGTACTTGAGCATCTAAATTTTAGAAGAGATGGTCCTTGTCTTTAAAGATGTCACAGTTGTTCGAATATCTTCAATATCTTTTCTCTTTTGGTATATAAATCACTACTTTTTACCATCCTTTTCTCATTCTCATTGCTAGCCTTCTCTAAGGTACCCTCCCACCTTCCTTGATGATTTCCATTATTTGATTCACAGGTGCCCTTTCCACTCCTTTACCTGCTGTTGTGATGAAAGGATTCATTATGCTAACAACACATCAAACACACTGGACTCAAGAGTCTTCCCATCAATTCTAACAACCCTCTTAACTTTACTTATCCTACTCATAAATAAGGTCACAGCATGACCTCATTGTTTTTTAAAACTATTCCACATGCTCAGGATTTTGACTTTAAAACTCTACGTGCCTCTTCTCATCCTGTTACTTTTCCTACTATCGAACTCACACACTGGGGATGATAGTATCTCAAGTGTCCTAACTCAGCTCTCTTCTCATACTCCATCAATCACCTTCTAGTCTCACTTGCCTTTCTGTCCAATTTGGACCCATGATCAGTCATAGTCAGCATCTAGCCCAGGGTCTGGGCATTCAACAAATGTTTGTTGAATTAAACTGTCAATGTTTCCATTAGAACAATCTCTCATTGCACCCCATAGTTCTCTAGTTCAGGACAGACTGACTATGAGAGGAGCTTTCTCTACTACAGTTGACCCTTGAACAACACAAGTTTGAACTGAATGGGTCCACCTATATATGGATTTTTTTCAATAAATACAGTATAGTACTGTAAATCTATTTTCTAATGAAATTTTCTTTTCTCTAAGCTTACTATAAGAATATGGTATATAATACATACAACATAAAAAGTATGTGTTTATTGTTTATGTTACTGCTAAGGCTTCCAGTCAACAGTAGACTATTAAGATTTTGGGGAGTTGAGTTATATGTGAATTTTTGACTGTGTGGGGAGTGGGGACTGGCACCACTTAACACTGCATTGTTCAAGGGTCAACTGTACCGCTCTTTCTAAATTACCAAGGAGAAGTTTGAAAAATTTATGACAGAGAACAACAGTAACTACACAGCCCAACATACGCTTTGAGAAGGACACCTCACTTGAATTACTGATTTGTTTACTTGATTGATAAAATGTGACATAATCAGTTATTTCCGTTTCTGGGGGAATTTAAGCAGAAAAGAAACATGAACAGAAGATGCAGTGTACTAAGTCAGTTATCTTTAAAATAATACATTTTATTAGTCTAAGTAGTATTCTAAAATAAACCACAAATGTTTTACCTAAAACGCCTCCCCCGCTGCTGGTTCATTTTTGCTCGAGGAGCCACACCATCAACAGCCATAAAGAACACTTTCCTAGGTTTAATAATGCGAAACAACACCTCCAAGTAGTGAAAAATATCAGTAAAGATTTTATCATCTGAAATTCTGAAGTGAACATCATCATCATTGGGATGGGAACACTGATGTATGATTCCATTCATATCCAGGTACAAGTTATCAAATTCAGGAATCTAAGAAATAAAGAAAAAATGATCAAGATTGTTACTATAATCAACGATGGATATTTAAGCAGCTGGGAAAAACAGCTGATAAGCAGGATATAGGGGCATTCTTATTATATAAAAATAATCACAGTTGAATAAAGAAAGTAAAGAAAAAATGAACAGGAGAAATTGGTAAGATGGAGACATATTATATGGCTATATAATGCACCAATGGCTTGATCAAATTTACTGTCAGGAAATTATCTACCTATTTAAAATACCAAATGGGAAAATTTCAAATGAAGTGCTTGGTTCATTTGGTACTCAAACTATTAGTTTGACATCAGCTTTTCTTTCTTTTCTTCTTTTTTTAAAAGGTTTTATTTATTTGAGGGGCGCCTGGGTGGCTCAGTCATTAAACGTTTGCCTTCTGCTCAGGTCATGGTCCTAGGCTCCGCAGGAAGCCTGCTTCTCCCTTTCCCACTCCCCCTGCTTGTGTTCCCTCTCTCGCTGTCTCTCTCTCTCTCTCTCTGTCAAAATAAATAAATAAAAAATCTTAAAAAAAAAAAAAAAGATTTATTTGACAGAGAGAGACACAGCCAGGGGGAGTAGGAGAGGGAGAAGCAGGTTTCCCGTGGAGCAGGGAGCCCGACGTGGGACTTGATCCCAGGACCTTGGGATCATGACCTGAGCTGAAGGCAGACGCTTAACAACTGAGCCACCCAGGCGCCCCTTGACATCAACTTCTTAATGCCTCAATTTCCCCTATAAATGGGTAACATAATGCCCATTTAAAAGGCTCTTTGTACATGGTCATTAAAAGATTTTACAAGTGATTTAAAGCCTTAGTGTATATTTGATTTCACTGAGAGTCACTGATTTGTTCATATTAATTTAGAAAGCTTAGATTATGCCAAGAAATTTAGGAAATTTTGAAAACAGGGTGCCTGGGTGGCTCAGTTGGTTAAGCGACTGCCTTCGGCTCAGGTCATGATCCTGGAGTCCTGGGATCGAGTCCCACATCGGGCTCCCTGCTCGGCAGGGAGTCTGCTTCTCCCTCTGACCCTCCTCCCTCTCATGCTCTCTGTCTCTCATTCTCTCTGTCTCAAATAAATAAATAAAATCTTTAAAAAAAAAAAAAAAGAAAAAAGAAAACAGATTTCTTGTTTTTGACATGTGGATTAAAAATATCTTAAACTTTGGCTAACAGGTGTCTACTTTCATAAAAAGACTTTCATGGCTCTGGCTCTCATTCATCTTTCCTTTATTTAAATGTTTGTGAGCAAGTAGGGGGAACACTACTGAAACAAATATACACTAACAAGGAAATGAAGTGGGCACAACTTAATAGTTATAATATCTAATTGTAATTAAAGAATTTGAGTAGTGTGTCTTACATACTAACTAAAGTATTTTGAATTTTCAGACATAAAAACATAATGAACTTTTCTTGTATAAACCTTATGAGAGCCATCTCTGAAACACTTCCAAGTTTTACCATATGTACAGAAACGATACATTTTTCTCTTATTGAGAAAATGGCATGCCTCTGAGTTTAGGGAGTGAAAAAGTTTTGGCCTTTGAATCAATGAACAGCATAAAAACGTATTGACAAAACCCCATTTATACGGGATTGTACCAGGCACCACATAAAAAAAATGTAAATGTCCTTACTGAGTAATAAGCTCAAAGGACATGATAATTGTGATCATGAGGTTTAAAAGTATATTCAAGATTTACTATTTGCTTCAAAAAATCTGAACCTCAATCAAAATCTCCAGGTGAGAACTTTACAAAATGATTCCAAAGTTTCTCTAGGAGAATAAACATGCAAGAAAGAATATTAAAAAAGAAAAGTAAATGAAGGAAATCTGCTTTATATGATATTAAAAATTATAAAGGTGATTGAACAAAATAGTTTAGAAATAGTTCAAGTGTGGGGCGTCTGAGTGGCACAGTCGGTTAAGTGTCTGCCTTGGGTTCAGGTCATGATCCCAGGGTCCTGGGATGGAGTCCCACATCGTTGGGCTCTCTGCTCAGTGGGGAGCCTACTTCTCCTTCTCCCTCTGCCCGTTTGTGCGCACCCTCCCCCCCCACTCTCTGTCAAATAAATTATTAAAATCTTAAAAAAAGGGGCGCCTGGGTGGCTCAGTTGTTAAGCGTCTGCCCTCGGCTCAGGTTGTGATCCCAGGGTTCTGGGATCGAGCCCCACATCGGGCTCCCTGCTCCGCGGGGAAGCCTGCTTCTCCCTCTCCTATTCCCCCTGCTTGTGTTCCCTCTCTCGCTATGTCTCTCTCTGTCAAATAAATAAATAAAATCTTTAAAAAAATAAAATAAAATAAAATCTTTAAAAAAAAGTAGTTTAAGTGTATATAGAAATTTAGTATATAAGAGGCATTTCAAACCGGTGAAAGGGATGGGGTACCTAGCTAACTATCTGGAAATAAAACACAACTGTATCTCATCTTATAAAACAAATTCCAGAAAGAGTAAAAATTTTTAATGTGAGAAATAGAAGTAAAAAAATTATAAACAAATATTTTGGTAATTTTAGGGTGGGGAAAGCCAAAAATCATAAACCAAACAAACGATGGAGTTGGCAATCTGTATTTTTTACATCTATAGGGTTAAAAAAAAGTCAAAAACAAGTTTAAACTGAAAATGACAAAATGCAGGGAAATGCTTGCAAATTACGATAAAATCAACATTCCCAATATACAAAAAAATCCTCTAATAAAAGAGCAAATTTTAAAAGCATGAAAAATGCACAGCAATTCAAAAAAGAGACACAAGAGTCTGATAAATATATGAAAAGATGTTCAACATCCCCAAATTTCAAATTAAAATGTATCATTTTTTCCCATTATGTTAGCAAAGATTAGAAAAAAATGATATTACCCAGTTATTGGCAAGGTTTTGGGGAAACAGGTATTTCATATGTTATTAAAAGTAATAGCTGGCATTTATTAGGCACTCATTAGGTGCCAAACATTGGGCCAAACATATTCATTGTCTCACTAAATTATGGTAACTTTAAAAGAAAAATATTTAGATTCTCCATTTTACAGAAGAGGAAAATCCCAGATATAGAAAAGAGAGAGAGATGGCATTTATACCCAGTAGTCTGGATGGGAACATAAATTGGTGTAATAATATGAAAGTATATATCAAAATCTGAAGCATATATATCTCTGACCCAGGATTTCTTTCTTTCTTTTCTTTCTTTTTTTTTTTTTTAAGATTTTATTTATTTGAGAGAGAAAGAGAGAGAGAACCAACAGGGGAACGGAGGCAAAGGGGAAGGGAGAGGCAGACTCCCCACTGAACAGGAAGCCCAACGCGTGGCTCAATCCCAGGACCTGAGATGGTGACCAGAGCCAAAGGCAGACGCTTAACCGACTGAGCCACCCAGGCACCCCCAGGATTTCTACTATTGGTAATTTATTCTGAGAAATAATCAGAAATGTGCACAAAGATGTAAGCACAAGAATATTAATGGCAGTACTATTTAGAAATAAAAAATGAAATCAAAATGCCTAATAACAGAAAACTGATGATGGTACATCCACACAATGGAGTACTACACAGTAATTATAAATTATGATATACATTCATATTTGACATTAGATAATGTGTGTAATACAAATGGTCAAATGACAAAAGTAGGCTATAAAACAGCAGGCATATTATTATCCCATTTATAGAAAATACTTACCTACATGTGTATCTGCATATAAAGGTTAAGAGTACATAGAAACAAGATGGTACTGGTAGTTAACCCTTGATGATGGAATTTCAGTTGTTTATTTTCCTTTGGAAGATATAACAGCTTTTACATCTCTTTGTATTTTATTAATTTTTACATAATGAGCACATACCTTCATAATCCGAAAAAAACCTATAATTATCTTTTTAGAAAAGAAATTTAAAAAATTCTCTTAGGTTTCAGATTAGCAAGAAAAATACAGAATGACTGAGTAACCATTGACTAATTCAGTGAAGAAAATGAGAACATGCAATAGAATCTTGCTCCTTCACAAACACATAATAATGGGGAAAAAAAAAAGAGACAGAGAGAGGCAAACTGAGAAACAGACTCTTAACTATAGAGAATTGAAGACTGCTGGAGGGGAGGTGGGTGGAGCATGGGTTAAATAGGGGAAGGGGATTAAGGAGGGTACGTGTTATGATGAGCACTGGGTGTGGTATGTAAGTGACAAATCACTGAATTCTACACCTGAAACTACTATTACACTCTCAACTAACTGGAATTTAAATAAAAATGGGGAAAAAAACCCAAAGACAATACTGAATTATTACATCTGTAAAACAGAAGTTTTGATGTTATTTTACACTTTCACCTCTCCTCAACCCCCGTATCTAATTAAGTCACTTAGGTTTTGTTTTGTTTTTTAAAATTTAACTGCCAAAATGTCTCTAGAATCCTACCCTAACCATTCCCATTGTGTTAGGCAATCTCACCATTTTCTCCATCCCCAGATTTCCTGCCTTAGTTCAAGCCCTGAGTTTTCCAACTAGACTACTTACTTTTTTTCTCTCCCACCACAGTGTAGTTAGCCATTTTTCTAATATATAATCTGATCATGTTGCTTCCATACTTAAACCCATACGATACTATAAACCTTTAATACCATAAAAGATTCTGTATGATTTGGCTGTTATCTCTCCCACCAATTCCATATTCTTTCCTGTTTGTACATATAGTCTACAAGTTAACTACATACAGTACGTTATTTAGAAAGCCATAAATGCACTGGGCTTTTCCAAACCTCTGTGACTTAATAGATGCTGCTACTACTTCCTGAAATACTTTTCTTTCCTTTATGGTCTTTCTTCCACTGATCTTGCAGATTTTGACTCAGCTTTCAAGATCCAGCTCAGGTATCTTTGGAAGTTTTCTTGTACTTACCCAAGGGGAAATGATGTTCCTTTCTCTATGTCATATCTTATTTGTTTTTGTGTTCCCAATGCACACAAGAATACCAGGCACATATATTACATGCTCTGTACATTTTTGTTGAATGCTGAAGTGTAACGTTTGTCCTTTCCTACTAAACTGTGAGTTCCTCAAATCACGGTCTCTGATTTGAGGAACTCACAGTTTAGCACAAAAGGACAGACAATACACTTAAGTATTTGGTCATGTTTAGAACTCTTGGCATACTACCTGACACAAAGTAGCAAATAAAAATATTTAATAATAAATAGCGGAGCTCTCCCTTTATTAAATGTGATTGCACATGTAAGTTATAACACTTACTTTGAATATGCATTTATACTGCTTTAAATTGTGGTTAAGTATTAACTTTAGTATCTAATTTTCTCAAATTAGTTGAGTTTCTTCTTGCTAGTATACTTTGTATCCCACTTAGTGCAGCTGCAAAATGCATTTTTCATTAAGACAATGTATATTTGACTGTTTATGAGAGCTATTGGCAATTCTTTTGTCCCAGTTCTTTAATCCTATTTACCTTAAACACTCCCAAGATTTTGTTGCTTCAGTTCATTTTTTAATATGCATATTTTTGGGGGGGGGAGGGGTGGAGGGAGAGAGAAAATCCTAAACAGGTTTCACGCCCAGCATAAAGCTCAATCTCACAACCTTGAGATCATACCTGAGTCAAAATCAAGAGTCGGATGCTTAACTGACTGAGCCACCCAGGCGCCCCTTTAATATGCATGTTTTAAAACATACTATGTATTCTTTATGTTATATAGTATGATATGATTAATATTCATTCACTCAATAAATATTTACTGAAGATCTATTATGTACCACAAAAGTAGAGGCAACATATATATCTGATGAAAACTTAACCTTTACAAAAAAAAAGGTCATACAACTAAGATTATAAACTCCTAGAGCCTATGTAGTTCTCTTTGTGATTACAATCTGCTACAGTGCTACTATAATAGCTAAAATATGGGGCACCTGGGTGGCTCAGTCAGTTTAGCATCCAAGTCTTGATTTCAGCTCAGGTCATGATCTCAACGTTGTGAGATCGAGCCCTGCTCCACCCTGGGCATGGAACCTGCTTAGGATTCTCTCTCTTCCTCTTCCCCTCCTTGCTGGTGAGCAATAATTACAGGTAAGATCTGTTAAGCACTTGCCATGTACTAGACAGATTTAAATGCTTTACAGTTGACCTTTGAACAACACAGGTTTGAACTGCATGGGTCCACTTATATGTGGATTTTTTTTCCCCAATAAATACAGTACAGTACTATAAATATATTTTCTATTTTCCTATGATTTTCTTAACATGTTCTTTTCTCTAGCTTACTTTACTGTAAGAATACACGATATATAAGATATAAAATATGTGTTAATTAACTGTTTATGTTATCAGTGAGGCTTCCAGTCAACACTAGGTTATTAGTAGTTAAGTTTTGGGCGAGTCAAAGTTATACTTAGATTTTTGACTGCGTGGGGGTTTGGGGGGGGGGGTCAGTGTTCCTAATCCTCACATTTTCAAGAGTCAACTGTACGTGCATTCACTTACTTAATCATAGCAATCCTAATATTATTATCTCCATTTTGTAGCTGACAAAACTGAGTCACAAAAAGATTTGAGTTACTCACCCATAGCTAGTAAAGTAAGTGTTGGGGCTAAATTTGAACCAAGCAGAATTGCTCTAGAGCAGTATTTCTTAATCTTTCTTACACTATTGTCCCTCTTCCAGGTAGCTCTTTAGACTTCTTTTTTCCCTAATCACCACCCTCCAATGGAATTTTAATACCATAGTTATACTGTATATCTGTTTATACACTGTGGCACTTTAATATGTAAACCTCCACCCTCTCAACAATTTTGGCCCCCTTGGGAGCGATGTTCCTGTTCATAATTCATACTCTTGTGCCTGCATTTTTTTAAACCGTGGTAAAATATACATAAAAAATTTGCCATCTTAACCACTTTTAAGTGTACAGTTCAGTAGTGTTAAGTGCATTCACATGCTTATTCCAGTGCCTGCACTTTTTTTTAAAAGATTACTTATTTATTTATTTGACACAGAGAGAGAGAGACAGAGACAGAGAGCACAAGCACAAGGAGCAGCAGGCAGGCAGAGGGAGAGGGAGAAGCAGGCTCCCCATGGAGCAAGAAGCCCCGATGCAGGGCTTGATCCCAGGACCCTGGGATCATGACCTGAGCCGAAGGCAGCCGTTTAACCAACTGAGCCACCCAGGCGCCCCTGGTGCCTGCACTTTTAAAGCCAATCTTCTATGCATTTTGCTACAAATTGTACAGAAAGAAACACAAGCTAACATTTCCATTTTAAAGTGTGTGCTCTTATATAGGGAGCACATTTGTTTTATCCTTTTCTGTATCTGCCTCAGAATGATGCCTTGGCAAATCAGTTATGAGAGTTCATAGGAGGCCAACTACTCCTGCCCTTTAAAACCCCTTAGTTACAAATACTGCTATATAATTGGCCTACACAGTCTTTTAGCGAATATTCTTTAGTTCTTCTGTTCTCAGGTCCATCAGATATTGCCCCATTGCTTCCTTTTTCCTCTTGCAGGGATGCCAACACCAACTGGGTCTAAAGGCTATTGGTAGTTTGTCCCCACCTACTTGTTTTTGGGGGTTCGTAGGGATACAATATTACATGGTTTTGTCAAAAATGTTCTATGGATTTCAAACTTTGCTATCTAGTTGTTCCTTTTTTTTTTTTTTTTAAGAGTTTATTTATTTATTTGTTAGAGAGAGAGCACAAGCAGGGGGAGTGGCAGGCAGAGGGAGAAGCAGGCTCCTCACTGAGCAAGGAGCCCAATGTGGGACTTGATCCCAGGACCCTGGGATCATGACTTGAGCCAAAGGCAGACACTTAACCGATTGAGCCACCCAGGCGTTCCTAGTTGTTCTGTTTTTATGTGAGGATTCAAAGAGACCAAAAATGATGCTGTTGTCTTTACCACCACCATCTTCCCACAACTTACTCCTCCTCCCAATCTCTTCCTCCCAGGACTAGCTTTTGAATCATTGTGACTTACTTAGGCTTATCGTCTTTTAAATACTGCTTAAGAGAGCAGCTGGTACCCCTTTATAACATTTGCTCTCTTTGTTGTTGTGGTCGTTGTTAACTACAAGAATCAAACATTTTTGAAAGACACCATTTTGATAAGCCAAGTTTTAAACCTATCCTTTTAAACCTATCATAAGACTGCCTTAAAGAGATTGTTTTTGCTCTTCAGTAAAAAAAACTTCTCAGGATGGTGAGAAGCCAAGACAGTTTCACCAAACCAACGTCTGCACCAAAGAGTACAGAATAAAAATATTAATAAACAAATTATATGTTATCAAGTCAATTCGAATAACAATCACATTATAATGACTAATACATGGCAGGCACTCAGACTTTTGTTGAATGAATGACCCAGGAAAAGCCAAAGTCGGTTGTCTCCATTTCTGAAATGTACTAGTAATCTTTTTTTACCCTCTTCTCTGGAAAGAACTATTTCCTAAATCGACTCAACCCATGTTTCAAATAAATGAAAAATAAACTACTGTTTTGGAATTTTTTGTAAGCTCTTCTTCATTTACCAAATCTGACTGGGATCCAACAACAAAGTATCCCTTCTGGAAGTTTAACCCTATCTTCATGCTTATAGTACTTTTTAAGATGAAACCATAATTTAATAAACAGCATGATGGTGCTGGCTGGATTATTTCCCCTCACGACTACTAATAAAATGTTACCCATCAAAACTGATTCATTAGCTATACAAATATCAAAACTGATTTTCCTGTAAAATATAAAACGGACAAGAGATCTACCAAAATCATTAAATGTGACAAACACTAATGTATCACCCAAAGTCTAGTTTACCTAATAGATAAATGCTTACTATTTCTTTCCACAATTCCAATATATAAACATTTTTGGAATCCGCACAAAAACCTTGCACTGGGATATTATTACATACCGGATTACAAACCAGATATTATGACTACTAGTATTAGTGTTCTAACAATCCATTTCTTTCTCTCCTCTCTCTCTCTGTCACACACGGACACTCGCACACTGAAGTCTCCAAATAACTGCCCCTGCCCGTCCAAGTGTATTTTTGTTTCTTTTACGATCTTTGAGATAATCGAAGAAGAGTAACAAAAGGTATCGTAAATATGAATCATCAGCTATGTCAAAAAGTCTAGGCGTTGGGGGTGGGGTGGGATGCAGGTCCTGATAAGGGAAAGTAAACAAGGTGACTCAACTGCGGAGGCACTTATTATTGTTCGTACGTGGGTCTGTTGCTTTCGGGGGGGGGGGGCTCAGAACACCCGCTCCGGCTTTGCTGCCTCTATAAGCTCCCTGGGCAGGAAAGGAAAGAACTCACTAAAACGTTCCTCCCCAGGACTTAATTTCGGAATCGCGGAGGGCCCTGGCCCGCGGCGGAGCTGTCAGAACGGCCCCGATTCCCGCGGCTCTGCCCACAGAAACGAAACCTACATCTTCGCCCCCATTCACATCATCGGGATATCCTCAAACCTTCTCCTCCCCGCCCTTCACCGTTCATTTGGCAGACGACGAGCAGAAAGAGGAGGCTGGGGGGCCCTGTTCCAGGATGGAGGGAGGGCCGCGGGGCCCCGGGTTCTCGGCCTGCTAAGCCGCTGCCCCCTCGCTCACCCACCTGATGCTCTTTCACCACTTCACTGAGGCAGGGATACCGCTCCGAGATCCATCGGTAAAACTTGGGGACTCCCATTTCGACCGTCAGCGCGAATTCCAGTCGGGGCCAAACCGAAACCAAACGCCCCGCCGGGGCCTAAGCCGCTGCCTCCGGCCGTCGCTCCGCGGATGACAACACCCCGCCCGCCCGACCATAGAGAGCACTCGCCGGGCCTAGAGCGGCCGATTCGAGGCCGCGTCCCCGGGGCGGGGCTCTGATCCCGGCTCTAACTCGCCGCCGCCGAGCTCTCCGGTGGTAACGTTGAAGAGCCGGGCGGCGTGGTGGTGCGTTAAATTTAGTTCCGGAATGTTTGTGGACAGAGCTGTGCTTTGTAAGTAGACGTGGGAGTGGTGTGAAAACCTCACGAGCCTGCTGGAAGTTTTGGAACACTGGTATTTGTCCTGCTTCTGTATCCTGGAATTACTGATCTCAGTATTTTTCAACACAGATTTGGAAAGATCTGGTGACTTATTTGGTTTAGTTTATTTTGTTTGGGGAGGGGGAGGTTTTTTTTCTGAGGAATATAACCCTGTATCAAACTTCTTTTAAAAACTTTTTCCCCCAAATTATTTGTTGGAAAAAATGTCCTAACTCCCCTCCACCCCCACCCAGCTTCCTCCTTAAATCAACATTAGGCTCCCCGAGGAAATGGTATACTTTTCACATTCATGTCTCTTGGTTTTCATGTTTTCCCCATCACACTCTAAACGGTGCAGAAAAGCATAATTCTGTCAAGCGAATTTAAGTAAAATTCTGTTATAAAAAATTTTTCCATTTATTTGAATGTAATAATCTCATAATTTTGTAAATATTGTGAATTATTTTAAATCATCAGCAAGAAAACTTACAAAAAAATGAACATTAAAATATCTTTAATTTTAAAATCTTATGAAATTTTAAGTGTCTTCTAAGACCACTAGATTCTGTATTCTGGTAAACTCTCAGTATGACAGAATCTTTAAAATTACATTATTGAGTTTTCAGATTCATGCTCTTTGGTTTATGTTTTTTTCCTATTACATTTTCAGCCATACAAAAAAGAGTTTTATTAAGTGAACTTGATGGGTGTTTTATGTTTATATCTGTTTTATTAGACTAGACAGTTCCTAGAGGGCAGGGCAGGTAGCTCCCTTCAGGAATCTAGCATAGTGCTTTGCCTACAGCATTTATTCAGTGTAATTTTTTGTTGTTCAAATGAATCCTTTTGCTAGCTAGTACTTAAAAGAAAATCAATAAAAGTTATAAAATGAAATTAGGCTGGCTTGTTTCTTGCAAATACATCTTTTAGAGCATAAAAACATAAGATGTTCCATTTCTCCAGTTATAATGAACAATATATATTGAGAAAGCAGTTTAGGGGCACCTGGGTGGCTCAGTCAGTGAAGCATCTACCTTTGGCTCAAGTCATGATCCTAGAGTCCCCGGATGGAGCCCCAAGTTAAGCTCCCTGCTCTGTGGGGAGTCTGCTTCTCCCTCTTCCTCTGCCCCCTCCCCACTTGTGCTCTCTCTCAAATAAATAATCTTAAAAAAAAAAAGAAAGCAGTTTATTTCTTATCAACAACATATATTATTTTAAATATTATTAACAATAAGGGAGTTAATACCATTTACTCCGAGAACATAAACTTACGCTGTACTTTGGAACTGAATATACAATCACAGTTAATACCAAATGCATTAATTTTAGATTATTAGCATATTCTTTGAAGTAATTTCATTTCACATATATGGGGTCCAACCAAGGTACATTTGGCACAGTAAGTTTTCATCAGTAGCTTCTTGTATAAGGTAATGCACATGTCCTTCAATAGATAGTGGCAGCCCTGTCACTCTATTTCGGGTCTTGATTACACCTTGCAGTCGTTGCTCGATGTCAAGAACATGGGTCTTGGCCTAATAAGAAGAAATTGAAAATCATAAGTGCTAAGAACCTAATAACACCTGGATATTGATAATTTGAAATTACTACTTTTCTGGTGTTTGACAAATATTTATGTCATTTTACAAATCATTACCCCCTTTTTAGGAGCAAAAACGGCAAAAGAGAGAAGAAATGAAACAAATGCAGTAACTTGAGATACTGATTTTGAGGCTTGCAATATTGATTTAGCATCAACTGCATGGACATTTTTCTGGACTATGTGAAATACTAGGGACTCTCTTCCACATTACAATTCTAGAAAAATAATAATTTAAAAAATTTACCCCGAAATGTTAGGACTTAAAACATTTGAATGAATATTCTAATCATAGCAACAATACTCTAAATGCCTAATACTTAGATTATGTTACTATGTGCAAATGGAGTTCTAAGCTACTTGGAATGAAAGGTACACATTTCTCTCAATAGGAAAGCTTATAAAAATGCAAAAGTGAGAATGTTGTATTAGAATAACAATCCTCAATCTATTCTCACTTAATAAAAATGATTATCTGCAAACTTTGAAACTTCAACTAATGTTAGTAAGGAGTGAATTGCTATATATTAAAGTTGAGACCTGCTGCTGCTTTCTAAGTTCAGGCAATCTGTGTTCCAAGTTTTTCCCACTATATCTCATAACTGCAAACTGTCTATAATTAAGTGTCTTGAACTTCATTACACAAATGATAATAATGTTAACATTAGTAATGACTAAAGAAAACTTACTGGCACTTTCATACTAAAGAACTACATTTCAGGGGCACCTGGGTGGCTCCACTGGTTAAGCGTCCGACTACTGATGTTGGCTCAGGTCATGATCTCAGGGTTGTGAGATCTGAGCCGCACATCAGGTTCAGTGCTGGGCGTGGAGCTTGTTTAAGATTCTCTATCTCCCTCTCCCTCTGTCCCTTCCCCTCCCTCTCTCTCTCAAAAAAACAAAAATAAAAAAATAAAGAACTAGATTTCAGAGTTCAATGGCCAGTCAATTCAATGACAGTATTTAGAATCAATTCTCATTGACAGAGACGTATTATGTCAGCTCATATCACGCTACACCTTCTACTAACCTTTTCATTGACAACCTCCCCGGTTTCATTCAGTGGTGCTTTGGAATGCCCTTTCACTGGTTTACTCCATTCCACAAGAGGATCATGTAGAAAAGTTTTTAAGACACTAAAATGCAAACAAATATGATGATACAATGTTATCTCTGTATAAAGAAGTGCCGCTATAGTAGGTGAAAAATAAGTGAAGGATGAGAAGCTAATGGTAATATTCTTATAACACACATTAGTACTGCATCAATAAGACATGTGAACTTACTGTTTTGGACTGAGGGGTCGAAAGAAAAGAGGGAAGATAGAGGGGGATCTGAGGTGTTCTTGGAGAGTAGAGTAAGATGAGTTCTGTGTGCCATTTCTAAACGCATACTGTGCACTTCAAATACAACTACCTATGGAAAAACCTACTCAGGCACCTCAAATTCAGTATTTCCAAAGCAAAACTCATTACCCTTTCCCAAACTATTTCGCCTGTGTTCCCCAAATCAGTAAAGAACATTATTCACTCATTTGTCCTAAATAAAAGTCTAGGAATCATCCTTGCCTCTCCTTCCTCTTAACACTCAATTCTACCTCCTAAATCCCTTTAGAATCTACTTACCTTCATCTCTACTATCACTGCCTCATCCAATGCACCATTATTTCTTCCTGAGTTACTCAAACAGTCCTCTAACTAGTTTTCTGGCCTCTAGCCCAGACGGCAACTATAATTTTTCTACAGTGCAAAATCTGATGAATTTCATTTCCTCTTTTAAAATTTGCTTCTTACCCCAACCCCCAATGACTTCTGGTTGTTTTCAGAGCAAGATTTAAATGTGTAAACCAGCCCCATGTGGACTTTTCATAATCTAGCCCTGCTCATCTGTGCCATCATCACAGCACCATCTACTTGAAGTGTACCCTCTAGAAAACAGAATTACATTTTTTAGGCAGTCCAGGCCTTCACTTGCCTTGATATTTCTATCACTCAGAACACTCTATTCCCCTTTGTGTGGTCAATTCCATTTATCATTAAGGTTTCAGCTACTTCCTTCAGAAATTATTTCCTGACTTCCCCAGATTGGATAGGGGCTCTTAGTGTTTCACAAGAGGCTGTACTTCCTCTTGCAGAGAATTTGCCTTTTCCTATGTCTAATTAACCAATATGTTCTACCAAAATGTCTGGTAGAGAGCTTTAAAGAAAGAAGGTGAATAAATGAGCTTTAAAAGTCCTTTTAAAAAACTACATCCTGTAGCTAACATCATATTTAATGGTGAAAGACTGACTTCTATACCCCTAAAATCAGGAATGAGACAAAGATGTAGATTTCTCACCTTGTCTACCTGACATTCATTTAGCTAGGGGCAATTGGCAAGAAAAAAAAAAAAGCACGAGATCGGAAAGGAAAAAACAAAACTATCTAGCTGCAGATGTTGGAGAGAGAAAAATCTTAAGGTATCTACAAAAATAAGTATTAGAACTAATAAATGAGTTCAGCAGTGTTTGCAAAATATGAGATAAATATACAAATATCAGTTGTATTTCTAAACTAACAATGAATAGTGCAAAAATGAAATAAAAATTCCATTTGGAATAGCATTTTAAAAAGCACATTTAAAAAAAATACAAGATCTGGGGACGGCTGGTGGCTCAGTCAGTTAAGTGCCTGCCTTCGGCTCAGGTCATGATCCCAGGGTCCTGGGATCAAGTCCCACAATGGGATCCTTGCTCAGTGAGGAGCCTGCTTCTCCCTCTGCCTGCTGCTCCCCTTGCTTGTGCTCTCAGTCTCTCTGACAAATAAAACCTTAAAAAAAACAACTGTGATTTAAAAAAATAAAATAAAACCACAAGACTTGAAAACTAAAAATCACAAAACATTATTGAAAGAAATTAAAGAATTATATAAATGAGAAGACATCCCACGTTCATAGTTCATAAGACTTAATATTTTTAAAATGACAATATTCCCCAAACTGATTAACAACTCAATGCCATTCCTATCAAAATCCAGGCTTGACTTTTTGAGTTAATAAGATGATCTTAAAATTCCTACAGAGATGCAAAGAACCCATAATAGCCAAACAATCTTGAAAAAGAAGAAAAAACCTGGAGCACACATACTTCCTAATTTCAAAATTTACTACAAAGCTACAGTAATCAAGACAATGTGTAGTAGGAATATGGTTAGATATAGAGATCAATGGAATAAAATTGAGAGTCCAGAAATAAACTCCTGAATATATGCCGAGACAATTAAGTGGAGAAGAATAATATTTTCAAAAAATAGTGCTAGGAAAACTGGATATGCACATTCAAAGGAATAAATATAGACCCTCTACCTCACACTAGAAACACAAAATAACTGAAAATGATCAAAGACCTAGTAAATATAAGAGGTAAAACTATAAAATGC